ATTGAGCAAGGTAATGGATACACTGTTGTATGCTAAGTGGGAAAAAAATCACAGGGGCCAGGGCCCCTATAGGCCCACTAAGCGGTCCGCCTCTGATCACAGCACCAACCAAGAATAAAATTATTAACTTGTATTATATTTGCCAATTAAAAAACTTAATCATTAGCCACTTCATTTTAATCATGGTGTCTAAGTCAGCTTGTTTGCACCTCGATTAGTAGTCTTGGAAAAATTAGAACCGGTGACTATGAGGAAGATCCTTATAACATTATTTACTAATCATTTTCAAAACATTAACATTAATTTGCTTTTTATTATATCTCACATTCTACATAAAAATAGAAAATGAATCAACATATATATTTTATTTGGTAAAAACCTATTTGTACTAAGGCCATCCACATACGGCTTTCAAAGCCAATTGCAAAAGCAGATGCATAAAACTTTAGTTTGCCACATGGGATTTCACTTGCAATTTTTGCAATTGTCTTTGCAAGCCATATCGACATCCACATCCGTATCTACATCCCCACTTTTTCCTTTTTTTAATTGTTTAAGTAAACTAAATTTTTATATAACACATATATATTTTATGTTTTTTTATTAAATTTAGTTATTCTTGTTTAAAAAATATTTTATGTGTATATATTACTTTTAAAATATAATATAAATACAATCGTTTTAATTAACATTGAATTAAAATAAAACATGTTAATAATTAAAAAATAATTAGAATGTATATATAAATAATTTATAAAATAGTTAATAAATGTTGTAGCGGAAACCACTTTTGAAAGTGTAGGTGAATTACAGATGTATAGGTGGTAATTGCAAAAGCTGACGTGACACAGTTGAAAGTGTTGTAGGTGAATTGCAGGTGTGTGGAAGATAATTGCAAAAGCTGATGTGACACAATTGAAAGTATAAATGGATTACAGAGATGTGGATGGTCTAAGTATCTACTCAATGTTTACACTCATCTGTATTTTACAACTATACAATTAATATCGAAGTGGACAAAAAAAAACATAATTAAAATTTTATCTTCTTGACTTTTAAATCAAAACAAATATCACAACATGGTACGGTTACAATAATATATTTATAAAGTTGACAGTTGTCAACGTACCATTATTCAATTCCAATTTCCACCCATTGTTTCGTTCGTGGATAAGCCATTCCACCAAATTTATATATTTGATTATAAAACATATAAATATTTTATAATTATTATTAACGTTATGTGGCGATCATTAATCTGAAATCATGGGATGCAAAAAAATATAACATTTTCTCAAGGAGTTAATTAAAGTTTCAACTAAAATTTATCCATTTATTTATTAATATTTTTGTAAAATATTTTTTTCATTGATTTTGTTTTGTAAGTTTTCTTGAACATATGTTTATAAATGAGCATTTTATGTTACAAGTAAAATGATCAGTTGACTGTTCGATTTTGTCTTTTTCTCGTAATTTACCTATAAAGATATTATAGTCTTTAACTCAATTTGTATTTTTTAAAATAAATAAAAAGATAGGAGCATCTAACTTTTAAGGTTGCGTTTGGTATATGGGACGAGATAGGACATGACGGGAGAAAACTCATTGTCCCACGTTTGGCACGACATGAGATATGGACAGGGACAAGGTGGGACATCATGGGACAAAAAATGTTTTTTTCTAAGATGAGATAAGAATGAAACAGAAACTAAAATATTATTGATCTACCATAAATTGATATATAACTTTAATATGATATTTGTTTTAATGGTCATCACCGCTACTTTCGGTTGCCGCCACCACCGGCGGCCACCTCCACCTCAACCTCAACCTCCTCTTCCACAGCAACAACATCCTCCTCCACCGCCTCCACAACTGCCGTCCACCAAGTCCATCACCACTTCTACCATAGTCGACCACCAAGCACCACCGTCCATTGCCACCCCCACTACCGTCGTTTGCCACCTCCAACCAGGGGCGGACCTGTTTGGTTGGCATGGGTGGCACGTGCCACCGTATTATTTAGCCATCGAAGGGTAAAAAATTTAGGTTTATTAACGGTGCTACCGTATCGTTTTGAAATGTGCTACCATATTTTTTCTGAATTTCAAATAGTGCAACTAAATATAAAACCCAAACAAGCTAAAGTCCAAATAAATTAGATAAGTAAGCCCAACAAATTGATTAATCTAATAACACTAGTTGTGTACCCGCGCAATGCGGCGAGAGCCATGAATTTTAACGATTTTGAAGTTCCACTGGTTTTATAGGATAAGATTTAACGATGATATATGTTACACTTGGTCTTTACATATTAATACAATTTGAATAAATAAGAGTTATGGTTCCAATTACAGACTATCAATGAAAAAAATTGTATGACAGTTTAAAATTCAATATATTTAAAATCCAACATATTTAAACGACTCCACAAATGTATTCGATTTACACCAAGAGCAAAGAACCAAGAAACTTGAGTTTTAAGATAAACACTCAAAACCAATAAAGAAAACTACAAATTTAACAGATCATAAGTCATGAAAAGACAAAAAAAAATGGGTTTTAGAATGAAATTTGGGTATATATTGACCGTTTTCAAAAGATGAAGACGCGTCGGGTACAAGTTTAGGAGTTGCTTATCGGTACTATAAAAACCATATTTTTTGTATTTAATTTTTAAATATATATTATATTATATTAATTATATGGTGCCACCATATGAAAAAATTCCTGGGTCCGTTCCTGCCTCCAACTCCTCTTATGCTACAACTCAACTATGATATATTGTCCTAGGCTGTCGAGATTTTTTTTTTGAGTATATGCTATGATACAATTGTAGTTGAACTCTCATATCGAAAAACAAAACTTATTCTTAACCGGTAAGCACTTTTGTTTTGGAATAGCTCATAATGTTTTCAAGTCTTTGATAAAAATAAATCATGCATTAAGGTTTGTTTGCATAGTATATGAGTTATGTACGATATTAATCTTACTTATACGAGTTATATAAAAAGTTGTCATTTTCTAACTTCATGTCGTAAATTGGAATCTTGTGTTTCTTCTAAATAGTTGCAATTCCACAATTTCATGTAAATTGGAATATTGGCTTCTATTTCAACATTGACTTAATCTACATTCCAAAACAGAGATAACAGTAAATGAAGTTGCAGTGAGCTTATAATCTCAAGTTCAGTTTAGATGGTAAGATTTTGAAAACATTTGTACCTTCCATTTTACAATATATGTTCCCATACAAACCAAGAAAAGTAAAATTTACTAAAAACGACATTTTCATTGTTGGTTACAAAGTAATAGGCATGCAGTTTGAATAATAAATTTAGAACCGTAATACACTTTGAGGCCCTTCAACTTCTTCAATATGTTTGTGTGGTAGCCTTGCAAATACTCCTCCAATGCAATGATATTTTACTGATCTACACAAATAAGCTGATATGCCTCCTTCATTCGCACTGAGAATATGGTATTGTTTGTGAGAAATCTACAACAAAACGTAATATACAACATTGATGATTACAACTGAATATGAGAAAATCTCTAAGAATAAAAAAATGTAAGGGGCTGTTTGGCAGTTGCTGAATGATTTAGTGCAGAATAGTTAAGAGGTCATAATGGTTAAGAGAGTCAGAATGGTTAAGTGCTGAATGAAATAATGTTGTTTGGTAACTGTTATCTGAATGATAATAAATTACCATTTTAACCCTCATCAAACAAAAACCCATTAATCCAAACCAACAGATATGCTTTTCCTTTAACTTCAAGTGATGGGTTCGATTTCAAACAACCAGGTATGCTTTTCCTTTAACTTCCCACTCCATCGAAGGGTCTTGACACGAACAGGGATGGTAGAGTTTGATTTAGGTTTTTGGGTTGGGTTTGATTYGCATACTATTAACTTACTGAGGTCGCCGGCGATGGAGACGATGGAGGTCGCCGACGATGGAGACGATGGAGGTCACCGGCGAAAACCGGCCGAMGTGRGGAAGGGGACGAAGGCGACGGGTTCAAGAGATCCAGAGATGGTGAAGACGATGACGGTCAAAACAGAGAGATCGTAGACAGGGGCTGTTTGTCGGGCGGTTGTCGTCGGTGACGGAAAATAGCAACGAACAAGGGAGTGGAGACGGCAGTGGGTAGAGAGAGTACGAGGCGGCAGCGATCGTAGGTCTGGAGGAGGGGCTGTGAGCGATGTGTGARGATGATGGAAGAGAGGGCAAATATGGAAAAAGAGAAGTCTGAATGGTTGAGAGACCCCTTAGATGCAAAATGGTTAAGAGGGAAAATGTAACCATTCAGAGCCTTATTTTTTTTTGCCAAACACTCCTCACCTCTTAGCGATTAAGAGGTTGGCTCTTAATGTCACCATTAAGAGCCAAACAAACAGCCAGAAGAACCATTTATACATGAAAGTGACCACGAATAACGTTAAAGGTAATGCCAAGCAGGTGTCTTTAAGAAAACCCTTCCGAGTTCCGAATGATATAAACCAAACCCGACCCATAATTTATTCTCTTTTTTGAGATTTTTCCCGCTTTCCTTCCTTTTCTCACCGTCCTTCGTGAAGAAAAGATCAGTGTGGTGTTCCGACGATCGCTGGTGCTTTCGTTATCGGATCAAATGACGAAGAAGCGGATCGTACCTCAGGTACTATGGAAAGTGTTCCGGAACCGAGCGCGCACCCTTGCGGAAACCATACTATCCTTGATCCCTCCACCGTCGTCGGCGACGGTTCAATGCCTGTGCAAGGGTAGTGGCCATTGTCTCCGTTGCTGTTGCGACGGTGACCGTATGTCATTTCTGTTCAGAGAAAACGACCCCTCCGACTACCGTAAACTCCTCAATCAGTGCTTTGTGGTTGTCTCGGACTCGGACAATGCGCCCTCTCCTCCTCCTTTCGATCCTCATTCTCGCTGGTTCCAACTTGAGGTCCTTCTCTCTTTGTATACACTCGCAAATGTACTAGATTTTTATTTGAAGAAAAGCGGTTCCATTTGACGTTCGCTGTTAAACCGAGTAACTTTTTACTGCGAAATCGATATGGATGAAGTTTCGAGATTAGTTTGGTACATAAAATATGCATTTGATTACTTCGAAAGTAAAAAACTCAATTCCATACATGCAGATATGAAATGCAAATTTAGGCATAAAACAGGTTTTATGAATAAATGGCGCTTTGGCCTTTGGGAGGGTGTTGAACTGAAGCTGCCAATTTATGATTCTAAACACAAAAAGCCGTACTCCATATATTGTATTATTATATTAACACCAAACTTTGGACAATTTTGGTCCAGGCTTAGGTTCAACCTTAATATTTTTTTGAATTTTACAAACCAAATATTTTTCCTAGATAATTATTCATAGGAATATTCTTAAGTTGAAAATAATGACCAAGTTCTGGATAATAGTTGAAACTTTGTTAGCAGATCAACCTTGTTTTGATGTTTGAGGTTTAAGTTATGATAGATGTAATTGAAGCGGTACATACTAGTTTTAGATGGGAGTATACAAGCTAATGTTATCATAAGCGAGGTAGCTGGTGGATGGGAATCAATCAATTATGAGGCAATTGTTGGGCTTTGTAACTCTTTCCAAGCCTTAGAACTTGATAAATCCCAACAATCACCCTGATAAGTGATCAATTCTCATCCATAAGCTAAATCGCTTATGACAATGTTAGCTTGTATATCCCCATTTAAAACTACTATATACAGCTTTGATCATGCCTATCATAACTTAAACATCTAACATCAATACAAGGTTGAACTTCTAACAAAGATCAACTATCCTCGTCTCTTTTACTAGAAAGAATCTTTGGAAAATATAAATCTACCATCAAAACTCAAGCTGCATTTTTTTTGTTTTTCTATTACTTGTTAACTTTTAAAGAAACACACATATGTGTGTGGATGAACATGAGTGTGCGTATTACAGGCGTGGGCCCTAAGGGGGTGGAGAAAAGATTTGAACTTAGGACTTCACTTTTGGTGTGAAGTGATCACTACTCCATCTATATGAATCAATTTGAATTTCATTTTGATTGAATGCTGTAAGCTGTTTCTTCTTCTAACTCATACAACTGTATTGATGGCTATGTACAGCTTGTTAGAAGGACAGTCGAAATGATATCATGCGAGAAAGTACCCACAAAAAATGTGATATGCACAGGTTATAATAAGGTAAGCTATTGTTTGGGAGAAGCTGAACTTGTAAGCTGTAACATTTTGTTGTCTTCATGACATTGACTTCCTTTTTTCCTTCCAACAACATGCTATTCGGTACTTCTGTTGTATGTCACTATATTTATGCACAGCAAATTAAACTTACACACACACACACACTTTAAGTTGCATGAGACAAGATCTCTTTGGCTCCTGCAGAAATTGATCTGAACCTTTGCTATTGCCAACTATCTTGATTTGCTTGCTCTGAAATATTGTTCATTCATTATGATAGCAGCCCTCGAGCTTTTATATTATATGCCTAGAAAATGCTTGTAGCAATCACTTCGCATACATTAGGAATGACTTTTTATAAGCGTTCTTACTCGTGGCACTAGATCTTGCGAATTGTAAACTTCCATTAGTCATATTTTTGACTTGATTCCTCGAAGAACTTCTCGTAAGATGACCAATCATTTAAATGGTTTGCTTCGAGTTCTGTAAGTGCAAAAAACATGTATGGTAGTATCTGAGCTGGGAAAAAGCTAATGTTAATCTTAATGGCTCTATATATTTTGACAGTACAATCGCTCAAGCATCTTTTTAGAAGCTCTAACGTCGGCGTCATGGAGCCTGCTATTGCAGAGGGTAATTCATATCTGATTCTTTCAGTTGAATTCTGCAAAATAACTCTAGTTTCTAAAAATGATGGGACGTTTCAAAAGGTGCTCAGATCAAGATACAATAATCTTTCTGAAGATAGAAACTATGAATAAAGTATAAATTGAAAAGGTGGAACTGAAGTATTTACACCAAGGGAAGTGGGCAAGTGGCAACTCATTTGCCAAACTGACCAAGGTGTAAAGGTAACCTTTTTGGACGGAGGATGTTTCTTGTTTTGAATTTTTTTGCCTGTCTATTTATCACGGTTTATTTTTACACGCTATGCAGATAGGAGATGGCCTCATGGTTTATTTACTGAAGCATTCTTCAATATTTATGCCTCTTCATCGAAAGAAACACCATCAGGTGGCTGGAATTCCCATTACCGATTTGTGCTGGAAACTCTTGAAGCATCCATCTGATTCCAAGACTCAGCACCCTGCAGCAGGTAAAATGCTTCATATGTAAACTTATGCTTGTATTCCCCTATCCATCACCTTCTTTCTTTTATTGACATGATTTTATATCTGTGTCTATCATCTGTTCATCATCCTTTTTTGTTTTCTTTTTCACTTTACTCTAAATATGTTAACAAGTAAATAATTAATTTTGCATGTTAAAAATCTGGATATCAGTATCCAAGCCATGCACCTTAGCCAATCAAATTTCTGCCCATGGCACTTGGTTTATAGTCATATGGGAGTAGAAATTAACGAATCTATCGATCTTTTGAGCCTCCTTTGGAATATTTTACTAAAAGGTCGCTTTTGACAGCTTTACCTTAATTGAATTAAAAGGATTCTTTTAACTAATTGTAAAATACCAAAAGTCACGAGGTTTAAGACCCAAAACTTGCAAAAAAAAGGAAAATTAAACAGTAACCCTGAAGTGTAACAAAATTCAAAATTGATTACAAGGCCGAAGTCGAAATCAAATTATAGTGATTAAACAGACGTGATGTTTTTTTTCTTGCATATATAAAATGTAGAAAGAACAATGTAGACAAAGCAGAATAAACCCATGGAAATTGAAGGACCTCAAGATGAAAAGGAGATATATAAGCCAAATGAAAATGGGAACTGTTAATCATGTAGTCCTCCATTACAGACTTCAGGGCAGAACGAGGAACAGGCATATGTCTTCTTTCTATTCAATTTCTAATTTTGGATCAGGACAATAATTTGTAGAGCGCCTAGATGGTCATCTGCTTATGGTTAACAAATTGTTGATATTAATTTAAGTTTCTCTCAGGTGTTCCAGAGAGGTACCATGAAGTTGATTCCAATTCCAAGAACGATGATAATGCGGAATACTCTACGAGGTGTCTTGGCTGTAATGTTAAGGGTTCTGTAACTCCATATATTAGGCTTCACAAGAAACAGTGCTCCAAGATGAGTTGTCATGGTGATCCCATAATTGGCACTGACTGTACTGGAACAGCCCAAGAAAATGCAGTTGTAGCTGTGGCTCAATCTGGGAAGCGATTAAGACCATATGCTTGGCAGCGCAGGAGTAAACGTAGGAAGTGGTCATCTCAGGACATGTGTGATGCAAACTGTTCTTTACCTGAGAAAAAGGTAATCAATTTTCCCTTATATATAGACACCATATGTACACTTCAATATCTGTTGTCAAGTACTCAAATACTATGATTGATCTTCAACTTTCTCACTTCCCTACATAGAACTCTTCAAATGCAATGTAAAATTTCATGAGATGGATGATTATGTAAGCAAACTAAGTGAACTGGTTTTAGTGTTACTGAAAGTTGATCAACAATTGAGATGAATTTTTTTTGGTTGAATAGCAGAGCTAGGCCTCCATGATATTAATTTGGTAGATGCCATTATTTGTCCTAATACTTGCATATGGTCTATGTACAGATGAAATTTCCATGCTCTTGTTGTTCCGTTTGGCAAACGCTGCAGAAAGTTCCCAGAGGAGTTCATATTAGCAAGCGAACGATGTTATATAAACTGGAACGCGCTTCATCAATTCTTCCAGGAGAACGTATCCTGTTCAAGTTGCTATATCAGTTGTATTGAAGTTTGTGATTAATATTAATATAGCTTTTGAAGGGTACCTTGTTGCCATCATTTTGACTGGTAACATGTCTTCATACTAGCAAGTTGAATAGCTGTCTTCCATACCAGTCACCATCGATCAGGTCTTGCATATAATTTCAACTTTTTGAAGTCGTCTATTGCACTACATTCATGCCTGATCGAAATTGTGATCTTTCTTACCCCAAACACCCACCATTCTTGTAAGCAAGGTGAGGCCAATTATGATGTTAAACAGTCTACTTTGCATTTTTTGAGCAATGAAGTTTTGATGACCTTAAGAATGTCAGACATAATAAATTCTCTGAGGCCAAATGTTGCTGGTGCAAATGCTCTCTTCAAAGAAATTTTTGGGTTAACTGAAGCCTGCATTGCTGCTCCACCAACCCCATGCTCGCACAGCAATGACATTTGCATTAGTGGAACAACATGTCTGTGAGTGGAGCAATGGCATTTTTCACAGTTATTATGTAATTTTTGATTATCGTTGTATTGTACCTCTATCTTGTATAACCTTGTTGATTGTCGTTCAACATGAAGACCATTGCTATGTTAGCCAGAAAATATAAGGTAGCAAAAATACAAGAAAATGGATTTCTCTGACAAAGTACAGAAATATTGTTAGTTCACATGAAGGAAATTCGTGAAGAAATGTTACAGTAGAAGAAAAGATAAATTATATTTTCTCCCATGATTTGTTTGTTCATTGCTAGGATATGAGGAACATATTTCTTTTGCTAGTAAAAATTTCAGCCTTATGTTAAGATGACTATAAGTTACAGTTATAAAATTATTGATTAATAACTGCCTTCTTTAAGTGGTAAATGTGGTAGTCCTCAAGTTTCAATTAAACTATAGGCCTTTGAACAAGCTATACTCTCTCTTGTTTCACAATATTTATTCTTTTGCTTGTATGAAATGATTTAGTTGTAGTAATAAGTTAATTGATCTTTTTTTGCAAAAAACACCTTAAGAAACAAAAAAGAAATCCATTTTAGAAGCTGCAGACGTGCATCCACATGAAGTTGCACCTGTTGCGAAATGCCCTTTTCTTTATTCCAACTACATCTTTTGTTTCAGAGGGGAGGATTCAAAAAGTTTGTTTATCAGAGCTCAATGCAACATGTGTAAGACATAGTAGCAATTATTTATAAAAGAAAATAAAATACATAGTAGCACTTGAAACATTTTGTGGCCTCCATTGAGGAAAAGCAAAAGATAAATTCATGGGTAGAAAGCCCTTGCAGGTTTTAGCTTCCATGGGAAAACACTAGCATTAAATTTATGTACCCTTGTTGGTTATATTTTAATCACACATTGGAATCATTGAAGCACTAATAAGGCCTGTTGATGGCTTGTTGGTAATGTGGGATAATAATCTGTCACAGAATATAGCTACAATTCAAGATGGCTAGGATGAGGAATAAAGGAGACTGTAGCATTTGGTGACTCAGGCATTTCATTTGCTTAAGCTGGTGTTATGTCATCACTATGGTGATTATGTATATGCTGATAGTTATGTGTTGAAGCTTTGGTATGCCGCAGTAACCTGGTATCATTATGACCTGGACTTCATGAGCTCATTTAACTGAAACAGTCTTTGTTGTGGGGGGTAAGGCTGGGAGGATAGACCTTCCTGAACCAAAACTACAAAACAATAGAAGCCTCAAGCACTGGTCTGTCCATATTTATTGTATTCATGACCTGCTGATGAGATTATAGATAGCAACATTCTAGTGATTCTCATTTTAACAACAAGGGTGGTGCCTGATTGGTTTGAGCTTAGCTCCAAAGGTCAAAAGTACCAGGAGGTCCCAAGTTCAAATCCAAGGAGGAATAAAAATCCCCTTGTGGCCATGGAGGTTCAAATGCGGTGACTCCGGGCTATCTGCAAAGCAGGTGGTCGCCCTGGGATTAGTCGGCTCGCATGGTGGGTTGGATATCCAGGTTAATCAAAAAAAAAAAAAAGAGCTTTACTTTAAGGGGGTCTATTGAAAGGAGTACGCCTCTTGTATCTTTATATGCTTAAAAGCTTTCCAGGCTTCATTTGTGCCTTTTTTGTACCTAGTTCTATGTTTCTATGGATCAGGATTGTGATTCCTGATTAATAGATTCCTTTTTTAAATCTGTATATTAGGATATAGTTTATTTTTGTAGCTTATCTTTGTCTTGTTCTATTGTAAAATATATGAGGTTTCTTCTTGTTGATAACTTGAAATGATAATACCTTGAATTGTTTCACTGAATCCAAGGTTCTCAAGCCATTCTTTTACTCCCTTGGTTACTCATACAGATATCACTCTCTTCATAAGCTGCTTAAGATTCTTATACGGAAAGCTAATCATTGCCGACGTCTAAGGTTATTGAACAAGCATATCTTCATACCCTCCTTGGATCCAAATCCTAGAGAAGGTGATAGCTCCAGGTTTGAGGTCAGTATCTCATGAGCAAATAATTTAGCTTTTGGATATGTAGAATTTCTTATTGTCACAATGCAAGTCTCAAAGTTAGGTTTTCTTCACTGACTAAAATGATTTGGTGAATGACATTTTAATTTCATTTGCAGTTGACTTATGTTTCCTTTATTTCCATAACTAATGTCTATATTCTGCTTTCAAGTGTCAAATGGCTTAGGGGCCATCTACCAAACGCTTAGCCGGGTAAGTGCTTACCGGAAAAATCCAACACTATCACTTACTTACCGGGTAAGATTTTAGTTCATCGAAACAGTATCGTATGCAACAATTTACCCGGTAAGTGCCAACCGTGGTAAGAGTCATCGCCCTCACTTAAGGGCCGTTTACCAAACACTTACCAAGTAAATGCTTACCGATAAAATTTACCATTATTATTTACTTACCGGGTAAGATTTTAGTCCACCAAAACGACATCGTATGCAACAATTTACCCGGTAAGCGCTTACCGTGGTAAGAATCGTTGCCTTCACTTACCGGGTAAGACTCATAGTCCTTGTCTCGCTTTTACCGGATAAGATTCTTGGTTCTTACCATATTCATCCGGTGAGGTAATGTGACTTGGTAAGCGATTACCCGGGTAAGTGTTTGGTAAATGGCCTCTTACCGGGTAAGACTCTCGGTCCTTGCATTCGCTCTTACAGGGTAAGATTCTCGATCCTTGCCATCTTCATGGTAAGGTAATGTGACTTGGTAGCGCTTACCTAGGTAAGCGTTTACCACCCTAAGTTTAATCTATATCATCACTATATAACCATTCACTAATAGACCTAGGGAGAAGTAATTCGACTCATTCACATCCAAATAGTGAATGTTTAATAAAACTATAAGGTGAGTACTCCAAATATAATTTTTCTTATATTATTACTCATGTTAATTTTGAAATTCTCAAGTACTTGGTTAAACATTAAAACATATCAATCTAGGATTCATGTACTTTTGAATTTTAAAGCAATCAATTTCTTGATTTTAGTGATTAATTAAACCTGATTTTTATGTTTAAAAATATGCAAGGACAACCCATTACATAGTGTAGACAATATTGATATTCTGCAGGGGAATGCTTCTTAGTTTCGCCATATCGTTTGTATGCCGATACGTCATTCACTTTATGCTATTTATTTGTGTAAATTTACCTAATACCGTTAAACATAAATATGCCTACACTTAATCTTCAGATACGACATGGATGATGTTTAATACCACTAAATATTGGAACATAACAATACTTGATGCCTACTTATTAAAAATTGAAACACAGCGGAACTACTATATGCTTACGGCCCTGAATTTGAAACTTATAACACATACAACAAAACTACTACAAGGTTTCCCAGTTAGAATCTAGACATTATTGTCACAATGAATTTTAGGCTACATTTCCAAATTCAGAGAAATTTTGCATTTATGTCTTGTACATCATGCATAAAAAACAGTACATGGCCCTTGATTAGGTAACTTCGACTGCTATCAAACTTGGGCGTAGAAACTCCATTGATAAATCCTCTACTTTCTATCCATGTATTGTGGGAAATAGTAGTCATGCGTATATCACCTCACCTTATAGAATCAGCAGTCCATCTTCTTTCATTCATCTAGTGAGTGGAGCTCATATCATTATCATCTGAACATATCTCCTTCGAATTCAATTGTGATACAGCATGCTCCTTTATTAGACCACCATGATTCGTATTGCTCAAAAAGGCAGGTGGTGTCATTTATATGGGCGGCTTGTAGGAGCATTGTTCCCCGAGAACTACTAGGAACTCCATCTAATTGGAGGATCCTCCGGAAGAATATATCTATGTTTATCAGGCTACGAATATATGAGAAGTTTTCCATACATCAGTGTCTGCGTAAACTGAAAACATCAAACTACCCCTTTCTATTGGATGAACACTCTCTCTGCAACTTGACTAACAAAGTGCAATGTCCTTCAAGAGGGAATGATGTAAACATCGACAAGAAGTTTGGGGAAGCCAGGGTTGACATGTCTATTATAAAACGAAATCTTTTAGAAAGATGGACATATTGGTTCTTTAAATGCCTTGTAGTGCCATTGGTACAAGCTAACTTCTACATAACTGAGAGTGAGCATGGAAAACTAGATGTCTTCTTTTATGAGAAATCGCTTTGGGAGAAGCTGATGAAAAGCTCTCTCTCTTGCTTAAAGGAACAGTGTTATAGTTTGTTGGATGTGAATGCTGTTAAAAGTATTGTAAGTGCTAGGTCATTTGGTTTTTCAAGGGTTAGATTCCTTCCAAAAGCAAATGGGATAAGACCACTTGCTAATCTTAGATCATCGTCAAGATTGCCTCTGGGACAATCCTCTTTGCAAGCTTACAAACGCTGGCCGCTGAGACATCCACTTTCACATTCAAGAAGGGATGCTTATAAGGAATTTAAGGCTGTAAATGTCGTTCTTCGAGATTTGCATGCAGCCCTAAAAGACGTGCAACTCCAAAGACCAGAAACATTAGGCTCATCAGTATTCAGTTACAATGATGTGCACAGAAAGTTTCGTGATTTCATCTCACGTATCAACAGAGGATTGAACACTTTGCCTTGTGTATATTTGGTTGTAGCTGATGTCCGGAAAGCTTATGATTCCATTGATCAGGATAAACTGCTTCTTGTGATGAAAGATGTTATAACTGATGATCATCTCCTACATCAAACACACCAAGTCATCGTGTCAAACAGATACATGCAAGTCTGTCAATACATCAATTTGTCTAGACAATTCCGATCTCATGTTCATGCTTGCTCATCTCATAGCATCCTTGTTAATCAGGTATCAAACCAATTGTCTTTATCTATGTGCATATTTTATTCCATTCACACTTCACAACTTATATGTCTACATTTTTGAGAAAACCTTATTCACTGTTTCAGTTTTAGTAACCATAAAATGAGTAATTGAATTTCACTTTTGTAGCGGTTGCTATAAGTAATCTCTATTTTAATACTTCAGGGAAGAAGCAGAACAGCAAGGAAAGAGGATCTCCATTTTAATCTACAGCAGCATGTGAAGTACAATGTGCTGCATATAGATAAGAAGTTTTACCTGCAAAATGTTGGTATACCCCAAGGAAGTATTTTGTCTTCACTACTATGCTCATTTTATTTTGGGCACATGGAAAATTGCAAACTTGTCCCGTTTCTAGATAAGGTTACTAAAACTGGCATGCCAGAGTCTTCAGATAGACGTTGTATTGGTGATGTTTCTAGTACAACGAGATGTGATGAGTTGGCTGCTCAGCATTTGCTACTCAGGTTTATTGATGATTTTCTTTTCATCTCAACCTCAAAGAAACAGGCTCTTGCATTCTTCTCTAGGCTAGAAAGAGGATTCTGCGACTATAACTGCAACATGAACAGAGAAAAATTTGGCTTTAGTTTTGATGTTGACAACATCAAGCCACAATCAAACAGGGTATATATTGATGAAGATGGTAATAAGTTTCTCCGGTGGAGTGGTTTGTTTATCAACTGCAAGACTCTGGAAGTTCAGGCTGACTACACGAGGTTTCCTCTTCAACCTTGTCATTTTTAGATTCTATTCATTTACCTCTTTTCTTCATTTATCACCACAATGTTGAAATAGGACCAAAAGATGAAATTGGTGCACTCTTGTGTTATTATTTGGATAATGTGTTGGAATGGCGTATGATCATCATCTTAAGCTATGCTTTTATTTACTTATGTTTTGATCAGGTACCTAGATGCCCATTTAAGTTCAACACTTACCGTCTGCTGGCAAGGGAATCCAGGTCGTCATTTCAGTGGAAAATTGTGCGACTATTTGCGACCCAAATGTCATGCCATCTTCTATGACTCAAACATTAATTCAGCAGCTGTCGTCAGACTAAATATCCATCAAGCATTTCTGCTATGCGCAATGAAGTTCCATTGCTATATCTGTGATCTATCTGATATCTGCAGTTTTGACTCAGGATCCTATATGAACATCATCCACAACTCTTTGAGGTAATGAATAGTAATTTATGGATAATCTCAGTGCTCACACGCATAAATGTGTGCACACATACACACCACTACATTGCCCCTTTTGTTACCTGCACACACACACATACATATACATGTGGGCCCCTCTACATTACATCAGTATGGTACAATGACCTTTTATTATACTGTCAATGCATGAGTATGGCACATTGGCCTTTTGTCACCATACTACATAAATACTTTCTTTAAAGTATATAATATTTATTTACAACAAATACTCATAAATACCTCAAATTTGATGAGGTTTAAACTCTTGACCTCATGGGAGGCTGCGCTCTACTAGTAACCCAGGTACCGCTGGGCCAATCACCCTTTGATCATTACAAATGTTTGCTTTTGATTAACTGAAACTTGTGCATCCATTTGATCATAACTTGCTTCCTCCATCCCATAAAATTGCAACAAATTATTTCTTTGATGTCCCATGTGATACATTCAATCTTTCTTTTCCTGGAAAAACTTGATTCAAAACCATCTCTTTGCCCATTAGCTGTAATCACATACTATTACGTGAATTAAGTTTTCATCGAACTGATTCAAACATTACATTTTTATCAGGTTTATGTATAAGCTTATGAAAAAACAGATGTATTCCCTGGATGTTGATCCTAGTTTACGACCAATTCTCAAAGTGAAAAAGAGAGAAGTGGAATGGCTTGGATTAACCGCTTACTTTCAAGTCCTGCAACGAAAGCAATCGAGGTATAAGGAGCTACTTTCTTTGTTGAAGTCACAGTTGAAGTCATGGAACGAAGGAAGGGTCTCATCCGTCTTGAAGTTTGCCGCTGACAAGTCTAACTCCTCGGTACTATGGAAAATCAAGTATTGAACCATTTTTGAGGTTGTTTTCGGACCATCTATTGCCTTTACACTGTCAACATATGAGAGAGGGTGCAACTTCAGTTATTTTAACTAATGCTTGCGGTTTAACTAAAATAATAAGGTATATAAATCATAGTATAATGCCCTTGGTTTAATTGAAATAGTAAAAAATTAACCAAAAATTGTACCGTTATTTGGTTTTCAATCGAATCTTTTAAGTCGAAAACCGAATATTTTTGAGACTCCTAAGTGTGACATCAATCTTGAAAGGTTTCTAGATCTCTCAGGTTAAACATGAGACTTATGACTAGGAGTCTAGACTTCTTTTCTATCAACTATGTCCTCAAATGACCACCTTTCACAAACCAAATATTGGTACATGCTCAAAGTTAAGCACTCTTGGTTCTATAATATATGTAAATGTAATGTCTGATTTACCATATAATTTGTAAAAATGTTTTATCATTGATTAAATGTCGAAGAAAAACAAATAAAATTATGGATTAAAATTAAAGTTATTAAGTTTAAGTATGTAATAATAATGAACAAAACTAAATGTGAACTAAAAACTTGTAATTTTGTGTGTGTTTTTAGTAAGGTTTTAAATGACGTGAGACATGATATGACATGTTGACTAGGCTAAACCTCAAATCTCAGAAGTTAGGTGTGAAGCCACAACATTTTTTTAAGATATTATTTTTGGCGACAAATCTTTTGTTCTCTCTCTCTCTCTCTCTCTCTCTCTCTATATATATATATATATATATATATATATATATATATATATATATATATAATGGTATATTTTCTACTATTACTTAGGGGTTGTTTGTTTACTTCTTAATAGTTCTATTAAGAGACAACCTTTGAATCGTTAAGAGTTGAATCTTGTTTGACAAAAAAAAAGTCTGCCTTTTAATGGTTCTAAAACCCTCTGAATGATATTGTATCCTGGATCTCCCTTAACCATTAACAGCTCTAATTTCATTGTACACAATTATCAAACACTTATATTTCATTTTGCACTATATCATGAGAGCCTCTTAATCATTCTGCATCAAACCATTCAACAATTGCCAAACATCCCCTTAGTTAATGATAGTAAACAATTAAAATTATGTTATATATTAAAACTAACAAGCAAAATCAAATATCACGTTATAAAAATAATGCATTAGATCATAACGTACCAGATGCTTAACATGACGTAGGACATAAGCAATAAGACGTACACCTCGACTGTTACAATGAGTCGTCTAAAATGATGACCGATTTTTAGATTACCTAAAAAAGTAAAACTTTTGCCTTCCTATGTGTTGAGTATAACATTTTATAATAGTTATTTGATTTTAATTTACCATGGCATCTATCTCAATAAATGTGAATAATAATTAACTAGTTGTGTACTCGCGCAATGCGGTGGGAGCCATGAATTTTAACGATTTTAAAGTTCCACTGGTTTTATAAGATAAGATTTAACGATGATATATGTTACACTTGGTCTTTACATATTAATATAATTTGAATAAATGAGAGTTATGGTTCCAATTACAGATTATCGACGAAAAAAATTGTATGACAGTTTAAAATCCAATATATTTAAAACCCAACATATTTAAACGATTCCACGAATGTGTTCAATTTACACCAAAAGCAAAGAACCAAGAATTTTGAGTTTTAAGATAAACACTCAAAACCAATAAAGAAAACTACAAATTTGGCAGATCACAAGCCATGAAAAAACAAAAAAAGATGGGATTTAGAATGAAATTTCAACCGTGTACCCTCTTTCTTATCCAGAATATACAGTACAATTTGGACAGTCTAACCCCAAAACATAATATATATATATATATATATATATATAAATAAATAACTATAAAAGTATAAATCGTAAATATTAAAAATATTTTTTCATAGTATATATAATATATAATAATATAATTAAGTCAAAAACTATTCAATATTAGACTCATTTCGAAGGTATTAACGAGACGATTATAATGATATAACTTGTTAAAATAAAAATTTATTTTTTAAACATGTTTTAATTGATATACAATTATGTATATTAATTTGATACATGTTTAAAATGAAACATTTAAAAGTAAAGGACGTAAAGTAAATTAATTAACTAATTATAGGAGTATAAAGTGTAAATTTAAAATTATAATTTTAAAAAAATCGGTTGTGAGAGGGTGAGTGTATGTCAGGGGGTGAATGTATGTGAGAAGAGGAGGGGTGAAAAAATGATATAAATAGTATCTTGATCATTTATTATTTTAAGATTTTAAGACTTTTATTAAATTCTCAGATACTATAAATATGGATAATCATTTCTTTTTTGTTAATTTTTTGATTCAAAAAATTGTTGACCCGATGGTACAACCCGTAATACATTCATCTGGGTCGCCGGTATCTTGGGGTTGGGTTGTAAAGCTAGTGTCGTCCCTTCCTTTGCAAAACAGTCTCTCCTCTGCTCCCCCATCTGCAGTTTTTAGGGTTCTATCGTAATGGCAATGGCTGCTCGAGTTAGATCAGGCGTCACTGGTTTCACTGAGGCTCTGATAACTGATTCTCTCTCAACTCAGAGATCAACCGTCGCACCGGCCTTGATCTGTTCTAATTTCACCAATATCGAGGTAATGATCATTTTATGAAATGAAGAACCCTAATCGTCTGTTTTATTCTTTGATTTAGGTCCTTTATTTTGATTTGAGATTCTTTTGTTTAAGTTTTTTTTATAGCTGATTTAGTTGAAATCTTTTGACCATTGTTTTGGGAACCGGACTAGGACAAAACTTTGGATCGTTAGGGTTCACTTGAATCTTTGTTGTAACATCTGGTTTTATTCTATCTAATCGCAAGTACCTGTATCTTCTTTAGGTTTACATTTCGTCGTTGGCAAAAATTGCAGAATAAACTTGTACACGTTTTGTTTGAGCTAATTATTTATTATATTTAACATTTTGATAGCATGATTGTGAATAAATGTCTCATCCGTCTTGGGCAAGGCTGTAAATGAGGCTGGAACGGATGAGCAAAACCTTGCTTAGGCTCAGCTCGTTCAATAGGCATTAGACATGCCTAATTTCTTGATCAATCATGAATGGTGCAGGGCTGAAGTTATAAACATCAATGATTTTCAAAAGAAAAGTTCATTACAATATTAGAATGAATAATAATCTATTAAATTTGCAAAGCATTTTATGTTCAATCTTGCCCCATGGTATGTGATGGAAAACTAAGTGTCATTTTGATTATCAAACTTAGGATTGAATGCCATTAAGCAAAATATTTGATTAACAGAATTAACCCTATTATTGTACAAACCAAAAAGCATGCACTGCTTTTAAGTAACAGAAGTCACGCACACATGCATTTACAAAAAGAGCACTATATGGGTGGATGCCTTCAACTTCATTTTGGAAATAAACCCTAAATCTTCTGATTGGATTGGCTCATACAATAACAGAACAAAACTTGAGTGAACCCTAAGTGGGGCAAGCATGCATTTTGCTCATGAATGGTTCATATCATTAAAATCACTAGTCTTGAATCAATTTGAAAAGTTATAATCATGTAGATGTCGCAGTCTTTATGTATCTAGGTTGCAATTGTTTTATGAGTTAGTTGCTTTTGCCCATGAAGTTGGTACTATGTAGGTGTATCCATCGTGCTATACTTATCCATGAACTTCATTTGACAATGATGTTGTATTCTAAAACCTCTTATGAATCGCCACTAACAGAGTGTGTATTTTGACCGTTTCAGAAACAAAAAAGAATGTAAGTAGTAACTTCTAGGTTAAAATTTTAAAATATTTTTAATTTTTTTGCCTGATCTTGTATTCTGGAATACAGTTTTTCAAAACGTTCCCTCATATGGTAATTTAAGTTGTTCAAATTAGATGGTGTTGGCTGGAAATCCCAAAAAATGAGTGAATCCCAGGAGTTCATGGACATGAATGATGTTCTTCCACAGACTCCTTTCTAAGTCCAACTTATTTTGCATGCTCCACTCATGCCCATCTCTCCTCCCTATCTCCCCTATTGTCAATCTTGGCCAACCACTACTTTTGTTAACAAATAATCATCTCTTATTTTACAAGTCTTATTTTCAAACACTTGTTTTCGGAAGTCTATGTCGAAGAGGATTAAATGACTAACACTCCTATAAGCTAGTTCTCACTGTCCAGCCCTCTTCACGAACTTGTACAATCGACCCTCCCCCTCTTCCCAACCCACCCAAATTGTGCTGTTTCTACGTATCTTCAAACTGGTTTGACCATCTCTTTCTCTCCCATTTGCATTGTGCATGTAAGCTCAAATTGTTGTGTGTGCAGAGGTGCAAGCTCAAATGCTAATAATGCTTCTTTAATTTGGAAGAGTTCTGATGAGGCTCTTATTATCTTATACCTTACACCATACTTTGTACTTTATCGTTTGTGTGTTCTGGTTACTAGAAAGTGAAAATATCATTTGCATCTTTTGTTAAACTTTAGCTAATTTTAAGATTTTAATTTTGCAGCAATCAAGAAACTTTGCTTCTGCTTCTGCCCCAAAGGAGCCAAAGATCAAGGTAGTATATCATGTTCAACATGCTGTATTGCTGTATAATATTTTTCTTTATAGGTTTGGCGTCAAAAGAAAACTCTCCTTTAATATGCTTTGACCACTGTAATCTTGGGTATTGAAATGTGTGATGTCTTTTGAGTTAAGAATTCTCTTTGTGGGAAATAATTGGAACTACTTTTCATGATGTTGCTTGTTTGTTTGTACAAGGAATCATGGCCTTTTTGAGTCCAGCTCTTTGCAAACCAGGGTTTTAGAATGCTGTCTATATTTGTGGCTTCATCTGCTTTGTTATATTTGAACTAATTACTCTTGTTAGGATGTTCTCTTCGTATAGTGTTTTTGTAAGAGAAACTATATACAAATAATCATCGGCAATACCTAAGATACTTGAGAGGCCTGAGCGTAAATGAAGATACTTGGATAATGAATTTTTTAAGGATGTGAAAGCACTATCTTTGATTGTACACTTACATTCTCTACTCTTACATTCACATACTTGGGTGGTCCCACGACGTGTCCTAGTTTGCCCACAGAAATGCTCCTTTTGCAGATAATATCAGATTCTGACTAGTTCCTACTTCCTACTTGGCTCTCTAATTTTTTTTCATCTTCTCTATATTTGGTATCTGTATGGAGATTATGATTCTGAATTCTAGTTTCAGTTGGCATACAGACAATAGATATAAGCGGTTTGTTAAGTTCGCAAACAGAAAGGGATATATGTGTTTAAGGTAGATTTGATGTTTGTGGTACCAGTGTACACAAGGTGATTATGGAGGAAGATCATTAATATAGTCGGGGATGGTAAAATAAATGGCAAAAGGCACTTTATATTTGCTTGTTTTCTGGTGATGTGTACTTGTTACTGTAAAAAGATGTTCGGGGACATATTTATGTTAGAAATTGGGAAGGATCTGTAGAATTAGGTAGAGCCTCTTTTGTACTATAGGAAATATATATGGAGTTCTGAAAGCTGGAGTCAGAGAGGATTTGAATAAAAAGCAAGTTAAGGTTAGGATTTTGTGATATTGTCAAATGGATACTTAGTTGAATCATATAGTTTACATAAGTTTAAACATAACTTTTTATTTCCTTTTGTTTCATTCTTGTTTTGCATAGTTAACCAGTTTTTGAAAAAAACATATGCTATATTTTTTTTATTGTTCCTCTGTTTAATTTTGTGTGGGTGGGATGGTTTATAAGACTTATAGGTTCATATTTTTATAAACATAGGCCTGAACAAAAAAAAAAGGGGGGGGGGGGATTTCCCAACTTTGAAGTTGTTTAGGGTCTATTGCACCAGGTGACCACTTTTTGTGTTTGATGGAGGGTTGAATTGGCAGCCATTTAGCCATATGATGAAGGATTGTGTGAGAATAGGAGTTAAGGTGAGAAGCTTTAGAAGGGTTCTGGACCCTTGATCACTTTTAATCTCACCCCCATCCCATGTATTGTGCTTCTCATGGGAATTGATCCGGTGCATCTCATTAGTGTTGATCTTCAATTAGGATTGATCCAAAGGTGGAGATCCCTTCTCTCGCTTCTCACCATGACTTCCGTTCTCACCGGAACCCAACCCTTAGCCATATTCTATATATAAAAATATAATCTTCTGAAGCAGCCAAGTCCATGGTTGGTTATGTGCTTTTCATCTCCATACATTTTTCAGACTTCCTTAACCAATTGCTACATAAATTCCATGTTTAAGCTGTAGAGGCTTCTTATGAACCTTTTATTCTAGTATATCTTCATTCTATATTCAATGACATCTCTACTGCTCAGGTGCCTGTGGCTATGTTTGGGGGCTCTGGAAACTATGCCTCTGCATTATACATTGCAGCAGCAAAAGCCAAAGCATTGGACAAGGTTGAATCAGAACTTCTTGATTTCGTTGCGGCTACTAGTAAAGCCTCTACATTTTCTCAGTTCATGAAAGATTTGGCAGTACCAGCAGATACTAGAGTGAAGGCTATAAATGAAATTTGTGCTCAAGCTAAATTTTCAGAAGTCACAAAGAACTTCTTAGGTACCATGACATTGAATATTGCAATACATAAGTCCTATGCTGCAGATCCAACTTAGATTATCGATCAATTCCAATTTCCTCGTATTGCTTTTATGGCAGATTCCTTTTGAGGATGAAATTAGCTTCTCTGATTAATTCTTTCATGTGATTTGTGCCAGTTGTTTTGGCTGACAATGGGAGGCTCCGACATGTTGACACTATTGCCAAGAGATTTTCAGATCTGACCATGGCACATAGGGGAGAAGTCAAAGCAATTGTCACAACTGTGATTGTAAGTCTGATTATGATTAATAAGTCATAAACATAATTAAATCTTTGCCATTACCTGAATCATTTCATACTTGATCCATTCAATCTTTGTCTTCTTTTAAGTCCACTAAATAGTTTTTCGCTTTTGACCTCCATCTCTTACTACAAAGTGACCTGCTATGTATCTACAATTTACATTCACATACATTATAAACTAGAAAGAACCTGCTATAAACCTAACAAACTTGCCATCTCTTGAATTTGTTTTTTTTGTTGGGTTTTAGGTTCATTATTGATCTCAATAAAGTTCTAAATTTCTCAAGTGTTACTAGTCAATCCATTTATCTGTTTTGATTGACTACATTATAGTTCACTTTGTTAATTGTTTCTTTTTGTTTGGCTGGTTATCTTTAGCATGGTTTCTTCTTTTCCATTCATCACTCATAATTTTCTATCTTTATTGAGTTGCACTCTTGTCTATTGCTGATATAACTGTAATATTGTGATTCTACCAGCCACTCCCTGCTGAAGAGGAGAAAGAACTGAAAGAAACTTTACGAGAAATACTTGGTAAAGGGAAGACGGTTAAGCTTGAGCAGAAGGTAGTGTTCCCGCTTCTTGCTATCATGATCTGCTGACCTATTACTCTTATCAGTCCCAAAAACTTATAAATCTTTATTCGACTTTGGAGTGTCTTAATGGTTTACTTTTCGACTTCCAAAATTGATAATATGGCTGTAGAGAGGAAGTTATGTCAATTATACTGAAGTAACAACAAAAAACATTAAAGCCCAAAAACTAGAGACATCTTTCAATTTTGAAATTGGTAATGTACAACTTTAGAATTCTACAATTGTAAAGGGGAATGGTTATTCAACTTGTGTCAGTAATGGAACTATGCCTGTTCTTTGAACACTTGGTTTTTTTTTTCTTTTTGCATATGAACATCAGATTGATCCAAGTATTCTTGGCGGGCTTGTGGTGGAATTCGGGCAAAAGGTTTTTGACATGTCGATAAAGACCAGGGCAAGGCAAATGGAGAGGTTCTTGCGCGATCCCATCAACTTTGATGCCTAAAAAGGGTGGGTTTTTTTGTATGTTGAGCATGGAACTTCTGAATTTATCATATATTATGTATATTAGGTTGATGCGGAGCCTTTGATTGATGACATTTCTGTTTAATTGAATGAATAAAAAAGCTACTCTTTTCTCGTTTTGCTATTGAGCCAGGAAACAGATTAATTCTTTTCCAAAGTGCAATTCATGGGTGAGGATGTGATTAAAAGTAATCAAGGGTTCAGATCTCTTCTTACCATCACTTCAGTTTTCAGACGATCTTTTTCCTAATGATTAATATACATATAATAAGAGAGTATAGATAAGCATGTCTACAACTTTTAATGATTCAACATTTATTTTATCAGATATATCTCTAAAGCATTGTAAATTTATTCATAAAATCCATCTTTCCATAACATTAACATTCTCTTAAAGCTTGGTTACGGTTTTTGTTACAAATTTGGTCTCATTATCTATTATAAATATCTAGGTGATGAATTTTCTTAGGATAAGGTTACGATTTTAAATAAGATTTTGTTACAACAGGTATATAAAATTTGAAGAATTTATGTTTCTATTGAGGCTTAATTTTTCATCTATCTCCATTTCAAACATATTTTAAAGGGAATGCAATAATTAAAAAAAAATATTTTTTTCATGCTAAATTATAGGAATAATGTATTTTTTATTTATTTTTATACTTTTAAAAGCGTAATTAAGAAAAAATGAGAAAATTTATAGGAAAATAAAATTATATGTATAAAAATTGTACGTATAGATGATAATTAGTTGGCGACAGTTAATTTGCTTAGGAAGTGGTTTACATCAAAACTCAGACATGCTTTATCCTTTTGTCTCGTAATCTCCAACTACTTCCATAAATAACATTCATCTTATTTCTAGATATTTCTAGTATTATAAAACAAATTAAGGCTTATAAACCAGTCATGTTTGGTAAAAACTAACTCATAAATTAACAGACAATATAAAATGACCTAAAATGTAAACTATTGAAAAAACTAGCTTGTCAGCTGACATCTAGCTATTTCAACATGTAGGTCATTCACATCTATCATCTAACTTGTCAACAAGTTCTTTTACCAATCATGATTAGTTTATCAACTAGCAACAATGCTAACTAGCATGCCAACCAACAACTACCTTTTCAGGTAACAACTAGTTAGCTTATAACCGACAACTAGTTTTTTAGGCAAAGACGATTACAGACATTGACGCAGAACTATTTATCTGCTATATAGTTTGTCAAACATATAACCTTTATCAACCGATTTATGGTGTTAATCAAACACGATATAATTCTTTTAATCGACTAATAAATAAGCTAAATTATGATTATTAAACATCATCTGGAATTACACGTATATATGGGGGCAAAAAAGAAGAGATGATGACTTGTTGAAATGGCAATGGTGATGATGAAAGTAATATCGTTTGTGATAGGTGTTGTTAAATCATAGGATAGAGTAGAAAACGGATTGGAGGTGGACCACAACACATCCATCCATCCATCCATCATTATGTGAAGTGGAAGCAAAAATGGTGCCTACGAATTCATTCTCATACACATATCATCAATATCATTACCTTCTGAGTGAAGAAAAATGCACACAAACTTTAATGGAGTCAAACACAAGAACACCAACCGTCACCTTTTCTCTCTCCGCTTCTCTTCTTCTCTCTCTCTCTCTCTCTCTATATATATATATGTATAGATATAGATATAGATATAGATATATATATATATGTATCATCTAATCTGAATCAAACCCCAAACTCCTCATATAGTCTTTTCTTTTTCTGGGGATCAAAACCTCTTGCAATGAGAAAGCCAGACCAAAGTACTGCAGAGAGACAAAAAGTGTGTAATAATGATGGAAGAATGTTGAAGGTTCGAAAAGGGTTGTGGTCACCTGAAGAAGACGACAAGTTGATCAATTATATGTTAAAGAATGGACAAGGTTGCTGGACCGATATCGCTAGGAATGCCGGCCTCCAAAGGTGTGGGAAAAGTTGCCGGCTTCGTTGGATCAATTACTTAAGACCCGATCTCAAGCGTGGCACGTTTTCTTCCCAAGAACAAGATCTCATTCTTCATTTGCATTCGATTCTTGGCAATAGGTATATATATATGTGTGTATGTATAAATTTTACTCATTCTTTTGTAAGAAATCAATTTGCTTTTTAATTTGTTAATTTCGTTAATGTTTTTTATGCGAATTTAGGTGGTCACAAATAGCGGTTCATCTTCCTGGAAGGACGGATAATGAAATCAAGAATTTTTGGAACTCGACAATAAAGAAAAGATTAAAGACCAACAAGAGTAGTGATGGTAGCAGTACAGATGTGATGGAAGGAGGTGGTATGTTGATGATGTCAATGCATGGCCATGAGATGATGACAATGTGCATTGATTCATGTTTAACATCATCCACAACATCATCATCATCCATCCCCATGCTCATGAATGGTGATGGCCAATTTGGTCATTTGCCACCATTTGCCCTTGATAACACCAACTACAGTGACACAGATGGTGGATCTTCAAGTTCCTTGAACTTGGGACAAGGTGGTGGATATGGGGACTGTGGGGATGTTTTTGGGATGCAACAAAATGACACTACTAACCCTGCATTGAACAAGAGGGTGACTGAAGGGGATGTTAATGCTACTGATTTGAATGGGGGTAGTGATGGAAATATGGAAGTGGAGGAGGTGGTTGGGGTTGGAAAGCATTGGGTAGGAGAAAGCTTCAGAATTGGAGAATGGGATTTGGAGGGTTTCTTTACCACTTCCTCTTCAATACCTTATCTTGATTTCTAGAACAAAATTTCCATCTTTTCTTTTCAAAACATACCATTTTTTATACCATATATATATATGCACAAGATACATGATTTGAAGGAGATTTTTGGCAACGATACGTAAACGAGAATTCGGAGAGGGATGTGATATTACGGGGAATACCATTGATAGAGTTTGCATACAGATTCTGTGAATAGTTGAAGTGTAAAATCAGATAAATAAAGAGGAGAAAGCCGAAGTTGTAGTCTTTGTATACAATAGATAAAAGGGGTTTTTCAGAGGATTTGGATGATCGGAATAAAGTTAAAAATAGAAAGTTATGTACGATGAAAAATAAGGTTAAATGAAAAGTTTACTTTTTGGTATGTACGTGTTTAGCGACTATAATTAGGATAGGAACCAAATACTTTTTTTATATGCAAATAGTTATTGTACAATTGTTACTATCGCTACTTAGGGACCATTTACTAAACGCTTACTTGGTAAGTGCTTACCAAATAAAATTTCTTATCGGATGAACATGACAAGGGCCAAAAATCTTATCGGGTAAGAGCGATGAGAATGATGGAGACTTACCCGGTAAGTGAAGATTACGACTCTTACCCAGATAAGCGCTTACCCGGTAAGATTCTTGACCCTTGTTTTGATGTACTAAAATCTTATTTTAGTACATCAAATTCACTACAAGATCGGACCTAAGCGATGGACCAGACCGTCGCTAATCCGTTGCAAATGCTCAATTCCATCGATGATAGTTCGACGGCCAAATATAGTGGTGGATGATGCCATCAAGGACGGATCAACAATGAGATATAACACACATACACGTGTACATATAACACACGTACACATGAGAAAACAAGAAAATAAATAAAATTAGCAACAGCCTCTTAGAATTTTTTTTTTCATTTTTCATCTTCTTAGAATAGAAACTCATGGATTCCGTTGCTAGTTAGCTATAGACACGTGTTCGTCGCTAATCCGCCGCTAATTAGCGACATATCTGCGACGGAAGATGTTTGTGGTCTATTCATCACTAAGCTGTCGCTAATTAGCGACAAAATTTGACCGTCACTAATGTTTGTAGCTAATGTATGTTTTTCTAATAGTGTACATTATTAAGCTGTAAACAAACAAGTAGGTAACCGAATGAATAACATATTAATACCATTCAACCGATTAAGATGAATTAACAACTACTAAGTTTTTGAGTAAACTATGATTTTCGTGCATATGGTTTGTGAAAGATTATGATTTTCATCCCTATGGTTTGTAATTTTTTGTTGTTTCCATCTTTGAGACTAAGGACTGTTCGGTTGTGGCTTAATGAGCTGTATAGCCTATATAGCTTATTCGCTTTGCTATAAGTGGCTGATCGGTTATGGCTTAATCTGGAAATCAATAACTTATTCAGTTAGCCAGAGGAAGGCTCTTGTTTACTTTCAACTGTGTTGGCGAATTGCTGAGTCCGATTGTGGCGTGAGGTGTGGATCGGGTCAGCATACGATATTGGAGTGCAGTCCAAGTCATCAAGTTTAAAAATGAGATAATTATCTATTCCTAAAAAAAGGGGGGGGGGGTTTCCTTTTAGATAATTATGTGGTTTAAACTAAAAGAATCCTAGATATATACAAACGTGTTGGGTTCTGTATATGTGTATATATATATATATATATATATACCGTGTAGGGTAGGGATTGATTTGAATTTTTGAAGTTTTGAGTTATAGTTTCTTCAATAAAAGTTCTTGCGAGTCATACAACATTATTGGTGTTCTACTTTCTGTTTTGCTTTAATTGGTATCAGAGCTAGGGCAAAACAATTTGCAGCCGACGATGTCAGGAGGAAGAGCTCCGCAGCTGCCGGCGAAGGAACCAACATCATTGACGTTTCAATTTCCAATATTATCGTCAACAAACCATACTATATGGAAGATGCGTATGGAGGTACTTCTCGGTATTCACGGTGTCTGGGAGGTGGTCGATCCAGGTTTAGATGATGCCAAGAAGAACAATATCGTGAAAGGGCTCTTGTTCCAGTCCATACCAGAAGATGTAATTCTACAAATCGGAAATCTGAAGACTGCGAAGGAGATGTGGGATGCAATTAAGACACGTAATCTGGGGGCTGATCGCGTGAAGGAGGCGAGACTCCAGACCTTAACTACTGAATTCAAAAACATGAAGATGACAAAGAATGGTACGTTAGATGATTATGCTGCAAAAATATCGGGTATTGCTTCAAAATCAGCTACACTAGGAGAGGTCATGGCAGAAAAAAAAAACTCGTAAAAAAGTTCCTCACAAGCCTCCCCAAACGCTTTCTTCACATTGTTGCAGCCCTCGAGCAAGTACTAGATCTTAAAACCATTGGTTTTGAGAACGTGGTAGGAAGATTAAAGGCATATGAAGAAAGGATCAAATGAGAGGATAAAGTGATCGAAACACAAGGAAAACTGCTTTACTCTAAAACTGAGTCCTCAAACAGAAGCCGAGATTCATCTAGAGGGAGAGATCATGGTTCAAACATACGTGGTCGTGGTCGTGGTCGTGGTCGTGGACGGGGTAACACCCAAAACCATGGTTACCCAGAACCTCCTAAAAACCGAGAAAATCAAAACCAAAAAGGAAAACAACGCGAACAAAGAGATCACTCAAATATCCAATGTTACCGTTGTGATAAGTACGAACACTTCGCTTCTAGATGCCCGGATCGAACCAGAAACCATGAAGCAAACCTTAATGAGACACAAGAAGGATATATGAATCATGAAGAAGGAACATTTTTTTTATGATGAATGCAATTCAAGAAACTGTGTTCTTGAACGAAGCCAAATACGTCCCTCCAAAGGTCGAGTCCAATACCGATGAAGACGGAGTCTGGTACTTAGATAACGGTGCCAGTAATCATATGACCGGTAATTACTCATACTTCTCAGAATTAAATGAACGCATAACTGGAAGGGTAAGATTCGGAGACGGGTCATGCGTTGGTATAAAAGGAAAGAGATCAATTTTGTTCGAAGGAAAAACGGCGAGCAAAAATTAATGGAAGATATTTACTATATTCCATCCCTCAGGAGTAATGTAATTAGCCTCAGACAATCTACAATATCCGGTTGTGACATCCGTATACGAGGTGACCTCTTAACCATGCGAGATGGAGATGGAAAATTGCTCATGAAAGTCACGAGAAATGAAAACCGTTTCTATAGGATCCAATTAAAAATTGGAAAACCACATTGCTTGCAAGCCAAAATCAATGAAGAAACATGGTTATGGCACGCACGACTTGGTCACATCAATTTTGGCGCGGTAAACTTGATGCACAAGCTAGCTAAAGGGGTACCAACAATCCAACATCAAGATCAACTCTGTGAATCTTGCATGGTTGGAAAACAAACGAAGCAGTCGTTTCCTAAAAAGGCCAAGTATAGAGCAACAAATATTCTCGAGATGGTGCATGGAGATATTTGTGGACCTGTTGACCCCCCCACGCAAGCCGCTAACATTTATATTTTAGTACTTATTGACGATTACTCTAGATACATGTGGTCTCTTCTCTTAAAGCACAAAAGCGATGCATCCGGAGTGATTAAAAGATTCAAAACAGTAATAGAAAAACGAACCGGTAAAGAGATCAAGCCATTTCACACAGATAGAGGTGGAGAATTCACGTCACATGAATTGAACTGTTTTTGTGATGAAGAAGGGATTTCACGTATGTTGACGGCTCCTTATGCACCTCAACAAAATGGAATTGTCGAACGAAGAAATCGGACTCTACTCGAGATGACGCGGTGTCTAATGAAAGCAAAAGGTGTACCAAACTACCTTTGGGGTGAAGCAGTCCTTCATGCAACATTCATCATAAATAGAACCCCTACACGAGCTTTGGTAGGTGTCATACCATATAAAAATTTTTATGATGAAAAACCAAACCTTGAAGACCTAAGAGTATTTGGCTGCGTTGCATATGATAGAATAGTTTCAGGAGGATTCCGTCTATTCAATCCACATGAAAATAAAATTATTATAAGCACCCGTGCAGTCTGTGATGAAAACAAGGCATGACAGTGGAATAACCTGTTAGACAAACAAGTTGATGTTGGAGCAGGTACGTTCACGGTACAGTGGGGTGACTCGCAGGCTGTAGCACCGGATCAGCTGCCCAATACTGGACTAGGCCCAACTGCAACCGAGCAAGAACAACCCACAGATCAGGCACAAACCACGGGGAACAATAGCTCGTCACATACAACAGACAGCCCAGCCCGACTTGAAAATGGCCCAGATGACGAAGTGATTCCTGTATGTCGTTCAACCCGTGTATCTGTGTTACCAAGCAGGCTAAAAGACTATGAATTAGATGTTGATCACTTGATGCTAACATTCGATGAAGAACCAAGGAACTTCAATGAAGCCAAAGCGAACAAGGAATGGGTCAAAGCAATGAGAGCTGAGATTGACTCGATTGAGAAGAATAATACGTGGAAATTAGTTCMTCCACCTAAARATGTTAAGCCAATTRGGTTAAGATRGTTATTCAAGATCAAGAGGAATCTAAACGGATCAATTATCAGGTACAAAGCACGTCTAGTGGYTAAAGGCTATGTACAAGAACAAGGTATTGATTTTGAYRAAGTATTCGCGCCAGTAGCCCRTCTCKAGACAATAARACTATTGATCGCTCTCGYAGCTGGTAAGGGATGGARGATTCATCACTTGGATGTAAAAACARCATTTTTGTATGGTGATTTGAAAGAAGAAGTRYACRTTAGTCAACMTGAAGGTTTTGAKAAACGAGSWRAAGAAAGAAAAATCTACAAGTTGGCAAAAGCTTTATATGGCCTAAGGCAATCACCAAGAGCGTAAAACCTAAAGCTTAACGATACTTTAAAGGATATGAGTTTTCAACGATGCTTGCAAGAGAATGCAGTTTATAAAAAAGTGTCTAATGGGGAATTTATTATCATCGCAGTCTATGTAGATGATCTATTTGTGACAGGGACAAGCTTGGAGTTCATAACCAATTCAAGAGAAGGATGGCATACAGTTTGAAATGTCAGACCTTGGTGAATTAACTTGCTACTTAGGCATTGAAGTTACACAAGACAGACTGTGTAAAAGTTAAACAAGAATGTTATGCCATGAAAATCCTAAAAGAAGCAGGTATGCAGAACTGTAATGCAACCCAATGTCCTATGGAGCTAGGGCTAAAGTTGACGAAAGTTGCAAATGAGCCAGAAGTTGAAGCTACCCATTATCGAAAACTAGTAGGTTGCTTACGTTATCTCTTGCATACACGTCTAGATTTAGCATACTCGGTCGGGGTTGTTAGCCGTTATATGCGAAGCCCAAGAGAATCTCACGCACGTGCCATTAAACAAATTCTTCGTTATCTACGTGGGACAACGTCCTTTGGGATAAAATACGAACGATGCGAAGATTTGAAATTGCTAGGATACAGTGACAATAGTCATAATGTTGATATAGACGATGGGAGAAGTACAACGGGACATGTTTTCTACCTTGGTAACTCACCTATCACTTGGTGCTCACAAAAGCAAGACACAGTGGCGTTATCCTCATGCGAAGCAGAATTTATGGCAGCCACTGCGTGTCAAGCAATATGGCTGAGGGAGTTATTGGCTAAACTGACAGGAATGAAGAAACAGAAGGTGCTGATTCGTATAGACAACAAATCAGCAATTGCTCTGTCGAAAAATCCAGTCTTTCATGGTAGGAACAAACATATTCACACTCGTTATCACTTTATTCGAGAACGTGTTGAGAATGAACAAGTGATAGTTGAACATGTTTCCGGGGACAAGCAACGAGCAGATCCTCTAACGAAGGCTTTGGCACGTATAAGGTTCGCGGAGATGAGATCGTTGCTTGGTGTGCAAGAACTACCCTCCACTCAGACATTCAGGGGGTGATTGTTGGCGAATTGTCTGAGTTCGATTGTGGCGTGAGGCGTGGATCGGGTCAGCATATGATATTGGAGTGCAGTCCAAGTCATCAAGTTTAAATATGAGATAATTATCTATTCCTAAAAAAAGGGGGTTTCAATTATCTATTCCTAAAAAAGGGGGGTTTGCTTTTAGATAATTATGTGGTTTAAACTAAAAAAATTCTAGATATATACAAACGTGTTGGGTTCTGTATATATATATACCGTGTAGGGTAGGGATTGATTTGAATTTTTGAAGTTTTGAGTTATGGTTTCTTCAATAAAAGTTCTTGCGAGTCAGGCAATATTATTGGTGTTCTATTTTATGTTTTGCTTTAAATTGGTCTTTTGCTCACCACCCTTGGGGGAAAAACCAGGGCCGGTCCTAAGATTTTTGATGCCCTGTGCGAAAATAATAAAATATGCCCCTAACCCTATTTTTTAAGTCAATGAAACAACGAAACATGCGATTTTTTAAAGAATTTAGAACCTATTCAAACAAAGTATCTCATCCTCATGTTGATTTTCATTAATTATAATAATAAAAAAAATACAATGAGAAGAACATAAAAACCAAAACCCCGAATACAAAATATAAATGATAAATCCTGGATTAAGATCATGCTTATTTCTTTTCCAGTTTTACCTTTTCCAAATTAAAATTAGCAAAATAGAAACTTTATTTCAATATATGGGACTTAAAAGACAAGAAAAACCATAATTAGTTTTTAACTAAGATAGTAAATTACATCCAAGTTATTGTCATAGTATGCAAAAAGTAAAAAACTCAAAAGTTACAGGTCTAATGACTAAAGTTTAAGGGCCTATCTGTTAGCAACTTAATAAGTTTAATGGTTCTAACAGCTTATTCGCTCAACTATGCATGACTGTTTCGTAGTAGCTTAATGATATAGAAAGTGACTTATCCAATAAGCTTTTAGGAGGAACTTTATATAGAAAGCCAAATTTTTTTTCCAAACATATCCCTTTCAACTAAAAAAACGCTCCTTACGTTTGTGAAAAAACTCTCTCAAACAAAAACTTTTCCAACTTATACAAAACAAAAACTTTTCCAACTTTCCAACTTTTTCCAACGATGTGCATTCAGTATTCATCACTACTAAGTCTTGGGCCTGTTTTTATAGTTAAAGCTCAGTTGCTCAATTACCATATTATTAAACCCAAACCTAATAATAAATGACAACTTGATGCCCCTTTAGGCTTTGATGCCCTGTGCGACCGCACGGGCTGCACGTGGCCAGGGCCGGCCTTGGGAAAAACACATCCTCCTCAGTAGATCTATCACTGCTCCTCGCATTGCCCTCACAAATCGACCTTCTCAAATATGTTCTCTATCTGCTTTGCGGCCTAAAGATAATTTTAATTTGATTTAGAATTTAATGAACCGGTTCAAGCTGGGTATGTGCAAAACTCAAGTGGCACAAAATCCGAACCCGAACCAAAACTGAGGTGTTTGTGCAAAAACCAAATGCCCCGAAATCCAAAAATCTGAAACCCGACTTTTGGGGAGATATTTGGGTTTGGGTTGGGTTTGAATTATGGCTACCCTCAACCATCCGAAAACCTGAAATATATATACTTTTTATATTTTAAATATTATATAAATCTATTTATTTATCTGATTATCTTTTGAAAATTATAAATCCTAGTCGATCATACTATTTTTTAATTTCTAAATCTATTATCAATTATCTCAATCGATTGAATTCATCCTCAAAATCGATTATATATATATATATATATATATCTTTTTTTCATTATGACTATATCCAAACCCGAGCAACCTCAACTTAAAAAGCGATCAACCCGAACCTAAAGCAATTCGAAATCTGAAACCAAAATCCAGGGCTGGTTTTCGTATCCGAACTCCAATCTTGTTTTTAATTTGTCCACCTAGACCGCCTAACCCATCCGATCCATATCCCTAGTTTAAGCTTTATACTCGAAGCATTACATAGTAATGATAAGTGAATAAATATTTATGAAGTAAAAAATTATTATTGATCTTTTTACCTCTCTTTATAATACAACAACTACACATTTTAAGCAAGCAAATTGTTTTTGTAAACTCTTTTGGTCAATATTTTGTATGAAAAACCTTACTTTTGTTAGAAAGATCTGAAAATAATTATAACTTATAAACGTTTGTAGTCATTGTACTTGATTTTATCTCGTCAAAAAATCAATATAATTTCGTCAAAACAAGAGAAAACATATTCATGTTTGATAAATACAAGATTTTTGAGATCTCAGAGCATCTTCAAGAGATTCTTTATAATAGAGAATCAAAGGTCGAATTGTCTTAATAAAATCAAACTAAGGGGCTGTTTGACAGATGTTCAATGGTTTTGTGCAGAATCATTAAGTGGTCAGAATGATTAAGAGACTCTCATGATGTTGTGCAAAATGAAATATAATTGTTTGGTAATTGTTTACAATGAAATTAGGGCTCTTAATGGTTAAGAGAGGTTCATGATACAAAATCATTCAGAGGGTTTTACAATCATTAAAAGACAGATTTTTTTTGGCAAACAAGATTCATCTCTTAATGATTCCGAGATTGCCTCTTAATGGAACTATTATGAGGTAAACAAACATCCCCTAATGGTTGTTTATTTACCTCTTAATAGTTTCATTAAGAGGTAACATTTGAATTGTTAAGAGGTGAAATCTGTTTGACAAAAAAGTCTGTCTCTTAATGGTTCTAAAACCCTTTAAATGATTTTGTATCATGGGCCTCCCTTAACCATTTAGCGCCATAATTTCATTGTAAACAATTATCCAAATAATCATATTTCATTTTGCACTATATCATGAGAGTACTTAATCATTCTACACCAATCAAACAATACCTAACTCCAACTGATTTTTATTTTAAAATTTTCAATATTAATTATATTTATAAAATATTATATCATTTATCATTTCATTATACTTTTTAAAAAATAATATAAAATAATAATAATTCAATCTAATCAGCGATAATGAAAAAAAAGATAGTTTAAGAAATCTTTAAACTCTAAAAACGATGGTTAAAATCTGCATGGTATTTGCTGAAATTAAATTATTAGAAAAAAACCAAAAAAAAAAAAAGAAGGTAAATTTATTGTCGGAAGATGCTTCCGAAGTAAAACAACGTCTTTATACTCCTTTGTAAGGTTAAAAATGGCTGTCGGTGACGGTGAGTTGAGATAGATGCAATCTTGATTATTTTCATCAACTCAACAACTTTCTTTTTAATATTAATGTTATTTTATTTTGATGGGGTCAAGAATTTTGTTACAAATCTCATTCTTGATCATATAAAATCTTTATATTGTGTCATCAATCGAGAAAAATAGCGTCGCTTTCGTGTCGTTAGCCATTTTCTACATCACTGCTATTAACAGCTGGAAGTATCACTGCCATTACACAATCAAGACGCTCTTTATATCTATATATAAATCTTTATTCACAGACCCTTGTGTTTCTCAATTATACTCTTTCTTCTCTGATCGATCCATCCAGATCCCTACTTGTTTTCTCTTGGGTCAGATTCGATCTGCGAACCCCATTGATGTCCAATTGGGTTTGACTCTTTTGGTTTCTGCGGCGTCTGATACGGTAAGCTCCAGATCTTATGAAGTACAAATGTTTTGTCTCGATTGTATCTATTTTTATTACACTATTGTAGTAATTAGTCACTACGCTTACGTTGATTGATCGATTAACTGATATGAAATCTGAAATGTATTCTTATATCAGAGATTTAAGATTTCAGTGGGTTTTCCCTTCTGCGATTAATGATTTTTCAGTTGGGTTTAGTGAAGAAGGGAACTGAATCTTTGATTTTCTTTCTACCAGGTGATATCACATTCAGATCCCTGGTTATGTTTACCGGATGCGATTGATTCTTGAGATTTCGTATTGATTGATCGCTCTTCTAAGCAAAGGGGAATGGAATCGGAAGGAGAAACTGGGGTTAGTGTTAATTTTGGTTATAATTGTATCGACTAATTAGACTTTTTGGATCAATTGTTCTGAAATTTTTGATCTGGGTTTTCATTTGAATACTGCAAATATGTTACTAAATTCAATCCAGTTTCACATATTAGTATCTGTTTGCTGTATGATCAAGTTATATCACCGATTTCTTCACCATTATTCTGATTGAGGGGGGTTGGGGAAGTTAATTTGATTCGATCACTAGAATATGGCAGTGGGTTCAGTGCATTTTATATTTGTGTCATTTGGATTGTGCAGGGGACTTCTGTGAAGAATGTTGGGACTCAGGTTTGCCAGATCTGTGGTGATAACGTTGGCACCGCGATGACTGGAGAACCTTTTGTTGCCTGTGATGTCTGTGCATTTCCAGTTTGCAGGCCTTGCTATGAATACGAGCGAAAGGATGGCAATAAGTCTTGCCCTCAATGCAAAACCAGATATAGAAGACTTAAAGGTTTTGTTCATCACCTTCTTCATGATTTCTCATATTCATATTGCTTATCTTACAGGTGGGTCATTTAAGTATATAACCTTGAACGAGATTTTAGTTAAATTCATGACCTAGTTGAAGAAAAATGGCTTCCATACACAAAAATGTTAAAAAACCTGTCAGAAGTCATGGATCTAGTGTATTTCTAAGTTTTAATAGGAGCATACATTTTTGAAGCAAGGGCAGATGAAGGTCATCAAACTAGATTCTTTTTAAAAGGTCATAGCTTCTAATTGAAAATTCATTTAAGGTCATTTATCCGAAGGACCTGTCGTTCTTGGATCATGCAATTGATTTCTGAATTGTCATTTAACACATGTGGGACTTGTTCTATAGATCTAATTTATCATCGACTTGCTTTGACACAGGAAGCCCTGCTATTTCTGGAGACAGAGAGGAGGATGTTGACGTAGATGATGAAACCACCAACTTCCCTTTCTCATCGGAAACTCAAAATGAGAAACAGAAGACTGCAGAGCGCATGTTGAACTGGCAAATGACGTATGGACGAGGGGAAGATACTAATGCTCCAAATTACGATAAAGAGGTCTCTCACAACCACATACCTTTACTCACCAATGGACATGAGGTATGCCATTTGATTTTGTGTGAAATGCATCAAAATGAAGTGAACTTTGCCTTAGTTCCTATTAGTGTAACAAAGTTTCAAGATTTCATATGTTTTACCCATTTTTACTGCTAACTGATGATCTTGTAATATTTGATGACGCCGATGTGAAGTTTATCGTCTACTTTGCTGTAACCCTTTTGTAAATATTTTGTAAACAGTCATGGATATCCACGTCATCAAATGTTATAAGATCGGTAGGTTACCTGTCAGAACAAGAAATTTTGGAACTTTGTAATATTGATTGTTTCGATACACTAAATTGGAACTAAGCTAAACTTTGTTGTGTTTTGATAAATTTTGGTCTTTGATTTTTTCCACGCATGCATTTTTCCAATGTGGCAAATCAAGTGTTGTGAACTGTTTTATCTTGCTTGTTTTCTAGGTTTCTGGTGAGTTGTCTGCTGCTTCTCCTCAACGCCTTTCGGTATCCTCTCCTCCACCCGGTGGGGAAAGACTCACACATTCGCTCCCTTATGCTGCATATCATCAATCTCGTATGTTTTTTGTGCTTCAGTAATAAGAGAATGAGCTATCTTTAGAATAAACTATTTCAATTCTAAAAGTAGTATACTGTTTGCAGCTAATATCAGAGCTGTGGACCCTGTGAGAGAGTTTGGATCCACGGGATTAGGAAATGTTGCATGGAAAGAAAGAGTTGATGGGTGGAAGATGAAACAGGACAAGAATGTGGTTCCAATGACAACGAGCCGTGCTGCCTCCGAAAGAGGTCAAGATATTGATGCCAGTACTGATGTCCTGGTTGACGATTCATTGCTGTAAGTTTTGTTTTAATCCTGTTGAAAGAAAATATTTGGTGCTCTCAAAATGGTTTTAGTTAATGGTGAATTTACAGTTCTAAAGCCCGATTCATCTTTCAAGGGCTTGTTAGTGAGTTTTGAACTATGTGTTGGTTGGTTATATGCTGACCGATTGATATGATCTAATTCTATTTGTGAAGGAATGATGAAGCCCGACAGCCACTTTCAAGGAAAGTGTCTATTCCATCATCAAAGATAAATCCATACAGGATGGTTATCGTACTTCGGCTGGTTATTCTTTGCATCTTCTTGCACTACCGTATAACGAATCCTGTAACTAATGCATATCCACTATGGTTGCTCTCTGTTATTTGTGAGATTTGGTTCGCCGTATCTTGGATATTGGATCAGTTCCCTAAATGGCTTCCAATAAATCGCGAGACTTATCTTGACAGGCTATCTCTAAGGTAACATAATCCCCTTATGGATCGTTCTTTTGTTTGAAAAAACTTATCTTTATGTAAGTTGTATGAGGTTAAGATGGTAATTTATCAAAAAAAAGGAAAACAAGATTTCTAATAGGTTTTGTAGTTCAGGAATTAGGAATCTAATACGGAATTATTTGATAGGTATGAACGGGAAGGGGAACCATCACAACTAGCTGCTGTTGACATTTTTGTTAGTACTGTGGATCCTTTAAAGGAACCTCCTCTTGTCACAGCAAATACCGTCTTATCCATTCTTGCAGTTGACTACCCAGTTGACAAGGTTTCTTGCTACGTTTCGGATGATGGTGCTGCCATGTTGTCATTTGAGTCGCTTTCAGAAACATCAGAGTTTGCAAGGAAATGGGTTCCATTTTGCAAGAAATACAACATCGAGCCACGAGCTCCTGAATGGTACTTTAACCAGAAGATTGACTACTTGAAAGATAAAATTCAACCAACATTTGTTAAAGATCGCAGAGCTATGAAGGTGGATTTTTTTTTTCCATTAGTAGATCACTCATTTTATATCCTCTTTCTATTAGTGGATTGTTTCTTACTTTCCGTTTCGATGCAGAGAGAATATGAAGAGTTCAAAATTCGTGTAAATGGCCTTGTTGCAAAGGCTCAGAAAGTCCCCGATGAAGGATGGATCATGCAAGATGGTACACCATGGCCTGGGAATAATACGAGGGATCATCCCGGAATGATCCAGGTTATTTAACTCTCATGCTGATGGACTGATGTGTGATCATTTCAATATTTGATTTTTTTTTCACTTTGCTGTCAAATTTAGTACTTCATTGCCACACTCGGGGGCCATTTAATAAAAAAATTGGGTAAACGCTGATTGGGTAAGATGATCTGACCAGGTAAGTAAGCCGTTTGCCTCTCACCGGGTCAACATCTCAGTCAGCAACATTTTTTGGTTAGAAGGTGTTGGTAAACAACATTATCTCTTACCCAGTTAGCACTACTTTCCTAGTAAGAGACTATAAGCACTTAGTAAACAACCCCTTACTGTAGTAATAATAATACTCCCTCTGTCCCAAAATAAGTTTCTATTTTTATTTTAATTTGTCCCAAAACAAGTGTCCATTTTCAAAAGTAAGTGTCTACTTTCCAATTCTACCACTAATTATGAGATGGAGAAAAACTTGATTACTCCCTCTATTATTAAGGGTAAAATTGTCATTCAGTTAAAAAACTGTTGTCTTTTACGTTGTGGACATTTATTTTGGGACGGAGGGAGTATCAGATTTGGTCCTCTTCGAAATAGTTAGGTTGCGTCTTTCTAGCATGAACACGCTATCTTGTGCTTTAAGTTTTTGCGACAAATGCAGGGTTAATTAAATATATTAATTTCTTTTTCAGGTTTTCTTAGGTCAGAATGGAGGGCTTGACAGTGAGGGTAATGAGTTGCCACGATTAGTTTATGTTTCCAGAGAAAAGCGTCCAGGATTTCAACATCACAAGAAAGCTGGTGCCATGAATTCCCTTGTGCGTAATTTTTATATATCGACCAACTCAAGTTTATCTTTTTTCTTATATGTGGGTGACCTTTAACTTTCCATATTGATACTTGTAGGTTCGTGTGTCTGCAGTCCTTACCAATGGCCCATTTTTGTTGAATCTTGATTGTGATCATTACATTAACAATAGTAAGGCTATTAGAGAAGCTATGTGCTTTATGATGGATCCAAATCTTGGAAAATATGTATGTTATGTTCAGTTTCCACAGAGATTTGACGGTATTGACAGAAACGATCGATATGCTAACCGAAACACAGTGTTCTTTGATGTGAGTTCTTTCATCTCCCAATCTATCTCAATCTTGTAATTCTTTAGGGTGCTTGGTTCAAATGAGAAAAGTAATTATTTTGAGAACATGGGAACCAACTATTCATGATGAATATCGTGATAGATTTTCATGATGGATAATGAATTTTTTTGGGTAATTCATCATGAAGAATAACTCATGAAATAGTTAATATTTACGGTTCTCATTTGAACTTTCTCCTATGTGTTGAAAAGCACCTCGTTATAGGGTAAATGGGCTTGATGGTTTCAAAATGTATATTCTTGCACACTTATTTATTTGACACTTGTTAATTTTTAAACAGATTAACTTGAGAGGTTTGGATGGTATTCAAGGTCCTGTTTATGTGGGTACTGGATGTGTCTTCAACAGAACAGCGTTATATGGTTATGAACCTCCTCTTAAGCCTAAGAAGAAGAGAGAAGAAGGTTTCTTCTCTTCCTGCTTTGGTGGGTCACGAAAGAAAAGTTTGAAATCAAGTAAGAAGGGATCAGATAAAAAGAAATCAAGCAAGCATGCTGATCCCACTGTGCCAGTATTCAACCTGGAGGATATTGAAGAGGGGGTCGAAGGTACGGTTCTTCAGTATCTATTATTTTTAGTACTTCTAGTTTCTCGCAGAATATTGAGTTATTAACCACGATATTGGGACAGAAGAAAGAGAAAATTTAAAAAGTATAAAAGTATGATGAAACAAAATGTTAACTAGTTAATAGTTATGTAGGGTTACAAAAAGATCTAATCTAATATTTTCTTCGACATTTGAGGCTGATTGGTTGTGTTATGAGAACCTTACGGCGAAAGGGTTTCTTAAAGTAACTGAATAAAATGTCTATGCCCGAGGATTTGAGAATTTGGGCCACTTGGTATATGAGTTCATTAACAACTCTAATCTGAAGACTCAGCAGCATTAGTCCACCTCGAAAGTATCTTTTTTAACCATAAAACTGAAGTTAACTTGAGTTTTTAGGTCTTGACTAATTCGTAGTACATAAGATTGCCTAATTGCTAAATTTTAAGATTATAGTTCAGTTTGGATTTGGATTTCAAGATGAATAAGTATGCTCTTCATGTCATCGGAAAACATCATGTCTTTGGCACAAATATAATTATTTAAAGTTCTTTTTATGTATATTGTATAAAGGAGTGCAAGTTTTATTTAGTGTTTCTTCATTTTTTTAATGTCTCGTAAAATTTCATTGTTTTTTGTTAGTAATTTAAATCCTCCTTGTCCATTCTCCGCCCTCTAAACCTTTTAATGACGAATGCTATAAAGGAAATCTTCCATTCTTGGTTTCGTACATCTTATATATATATATATATATATATATATATAATTATATTCTCCACTTGCTTCATCAGGTGCTGGGTTTGATGATGAGAAGTCATTGCTTATGTCACAAATGTCACTCGAGAAAAGATTTGGGCAGTCAGCTGTTTTTGTTGCATCCACACTTATGGAGAATGGAGGCGTGCCTCAATCTGCAGCACCAGAGACTCTCCTCAAAGAAGCTATCCACGTTATCAGTTGTGGTTATGAAGACAAAACGGATTGGGGAAATGAGGTGAGCTGCTTTTATAATTTTTAATCATTGTTTTTGGTTCAAGCTTTGAAAATGGAGAGGAAATTTCATTCGTTGAATTACACACACATGCATACATCATACACACATATTTATATCTATTTATGTATAGCAGGTTCAAACTAGGACCATAAATATTTTGAATACCTAGAAACCAACTATTCATGCTTTGCTCAGGATGAATGTTTTGATAAATGTTAATGATGAAAATTATTCATAATGAAAATGCATGCTATTCATGATGAATAATATTGATTATTCAGGGTTATTCCGTTCTAGAAACTCTCTTTTCCACTTGGTGCTTATACTAAGAGGAATGTTAACTTTAAATCTGCAGATTGGATGGATTTATGGTTCCGTCACAGAAGATATTCTTACAGGATTTAAGATGCATGCACGTGGCTGGCGGTCAATATACTGCATACCTCCTAGGGCTGCCTTTAAAGGTTCTGCTCCTATCAATCTGTCTGATCGTCTAAACCAAGTGCTTCGATGGGCTTTGGGGTCCGTGGAAATTCTTTTCAGCCGGCATTGTCCTATATGGTATGGCTATAATGGAAGGCTAAAATGGCTCGAGAGATTTGCATACATAAACACAACCATTTACCCCATCACTTCAATTCCTCTTCTCGTCTACTGTACTCTGCCAGCTGTCTGTCTTCTTACCGGAAAGTTTATCATACCACAGGTTTGCTTCATCACCTATTCCTAGTTGCTTTAACTACAAAGAACGTCTTTCGACTTACTGACACCAATCTGTATACTCCCTTAAACTGATGTCATAAAATTTGAAATAAGAAAAAAAAAAACCCTTTTTTGTCAATTAAAAAGAAAAAGATGACAAATTAATGTATCTTGAAATAAGGTTAACTTATTATATGTTTTCATATATGCACTACAATAAAACCAGCTTTATAGGACACCACATGTGTCTAAATGTCTTGATAGATTGCTTTATATGGTTTAAATTTATAGGATCAAACAATTGTTTTATCCTAATTGAAAGTGTTACAATAAGTTGACAGGACGTTTGTGGACATGCTAAGTTTTTAAGGACACGTTTGAAGTGAAGTGTTATATTAGTTTTGTACAAGTGTCCTAAAAATGTGGCTGTTTATAGGCAATCATTTTTACAAGATGTTTTTTCAAATAATGTCATATAAAAACCTAATAGGATGTTTTATTTTTTAATAAACTTGTAAGGACGATTAAAAGCGTCGTATATCAACTTATGCAACACTTTTAGCACAACTGTTTGGTCCTATAAAGCAGTCTATTAGGACATTTAGACATATTTGGCGTTTTATAAAGCTGATTTTGTTTAATGATAGAAAATTTAAGTTTATAATAGCATCTCTATCGTATATTAATTAAATCTTTGATCTTTCATGGCTGCAGATCAGTAACCTTGCTAGTTTATGGTTTATATCCCTCTTTCTTTCCATCTTTGCCACGGGTATACTGGAAATGAGGTGGAGTGGTGTCGGAATAGATGAATGGTGGAGGAACGAACAGTTTTGGGTCATTGGTGGTGTTTCTGCCCATCTTTTTGCCGTCTTCCAAGGTTTGCTTAAAGTACTTGCTGGAATAGATACCAACTTCACTGTCACATCAAAGGCATCAGATGAAGATGGTGATTTTGCCGAGCTTTATATGTTCAAATGGACAACTCTTCTCATCCCACCAACGACTCTCCTCATAGTAAACTTGGTGGGAGTGGTTGCTGGAATCTCGTATGCGATCAATAGCGGCTACCAATCATGGGGTCCACTCTTTGGTAAACTGTTCTTCGCCTTCTGGGTGATTGTACATCTTTACCCCTTCCTCAAGGGTCTGATGGGGAAACAAAACCGAACGCCTACCATTGTTGTCGTGTGGTCCATTCTTCTTGCTTCCATTTTCTCTCTATTATGGGTCCGAATTGATCCATTTACCACGAAGGTTACTGGCCCTGATGTCCAGTTTTGTGGAATCAACTGTTAAATAAAAACATAGAATGCAGGTTTGAAGAAGGTCCTCTGTTTCTAAGTTAACATCTGGATATTTAAGCTTTTTGTAATGTGGAGATATTCCCATTGATGGTTTTTCAAGTTCTCAAATTACTGCATAGTTGCAAGACTGGATACATGTATTATTATTATCTTCATTCTTTTTACAATTTTGTATGCTATAAACCACTTTGTTGCATTTTGTAATTTCCAATTGTTGGACTTTTATTGTAATATTATATACCCTCATTAAAATCCATTTGTGGCTTTTCTGGTTGTACCTGTTTCATTGCTAGTTTCCAAAAGATCAAGGTGCTGTTTGGTTGGTTTTTTATAAAGATCTTTATGGATAGAGTTGTTTATGTGGATTAATCTATCGTTATAAATGGGGAAGGTTTTTGTTTGGAAGAGTTTTTTCATAGATGGAAAGATACATTTTTTTATCCAGAGGGACAGGTTTGGAAAAAACTTTCTGAGAGGCTTATTGAATAAGCCACTTTCTATATCATCAAGTCATTACCAAACAGGCATATATAACTGACCAAATAAGCTGCAAGTCCTGTTAAGCTTATTAAGCTGGTAATAAACAGACCCTAAGAGATATTTTCCATCTGAATCAATTTGGACCATAGAAAACAGACTCAGGGGATAAGACAAAGAAGATACCCTTCTTCTAGATCGTCTGAATCTAGCTATATATGTCTGAATTGTTTGTATAGCTTTGAGCTTTTAGATACCCATTCTTTCTCTTTATAAAGGAAGATGATTGGAGCTATTATGTCTGCAAATTTGAGGTCATACCCATGTCTTGGCTTATCTGCAGAAACCAAACGTAGCTTGAGAACGAGGAAGAAGAATGTAGTGGGCATGAAGTTAACGAATTTGAATTCATATTCATGTCTGAATAGTTCTTTCTTGGATGATGAATGGTATGCAAGAATCGTTTGTTTATCTTTCAGGAAACAACAACAGCAAAAGATCAGAAAGTTTATCGTCAATGAGCTTGGTGGGCAGTACGAAGAGGTCTTCAACGACGTTAAATTGGTAATCTTTTTGTTTCCATTCTATGTTTCTTTCGGTTCTCGAGTCTTTACTACGAAAGATTGAGCAAAATGGTGGTATGGATGCAGGAATTACGCAACTGGTTCACCGCGAAAGCAGTTAGAACTGTTCTTTATCAACTCTATGAGATGAATCCACCTCAGTATATGTGGCTACATAAGCAAGTGAAAGCCATCATTACTTTGTTTTTGTTATCGTGTTTCGTTAAACGCAAGTTTCGTTTGATTTCGGGCGTTTAATTTGCAGTTTCATTGCTGAAAATGATCCTGCAGACGGGAAACTATTTCTCCGGACTCTTGCAAAGGTAATCTTCAAACATTAAACATGTGTTTGGTTTGATAGAATGGTTTTGAGGGATTTGAATTTCATGGAAGGATTTGAAATCGCTACTTTTTTTTTTTTTTTTTGCAGGAATCTCAAGATATTGCTGAACGGGTCATGATAACGCGACTTCACCTGTACGGAAAATGGATTAAGGTGACCTCATTGTTGGTGGAAGTAATCGTCTTTTTGCGAGTGTTGAAGAAAGATAACGGAAATCTAATTTTGTTGTTATTACGGTGATGTAGCAATGCGATCATGCTGAAATCTACAAGGAAATTTCGGATGAAAACTTGGAATTGATGCGGGAAAGGCTCTTGGAAACCATTGTGTGGCCTACGGATGACAAAATTACAGAGTAAACGAATGACTTATATCGGCTCGGTTCATTCTATTTACTGCTACTGTTCTAGAAAAGCGTTTACAAAGGTTTTAGATTAGAAACTTCTTATAACTGATTTTAAAACAAGTGTTCAAAAACATTTTAATCCAAGGAGGAATAAAAATCCTCTTGTGGTCATGGAGGTTCAAATGCGGTGACTCTGGGCTATCTGAAAGCATATGGTCATCCTATGATTAGTCAGTTCACATAGCCGGTTGGATATCCAGGTTAATAACAAAAAAAAGCTTTAAGCAATCGGTTTCAGATAAAATATTTAACAGCTATAATATTGTGTTTTAAAATACGATTTATAAATTGATTCATTTTCTTTACCCAAAAAATTAGAATTCTTGTTTGCATACTTTTTTCCATCATTTCCAAAACTTTGGTGTGTTTTTGTAATTATGAAGGGCCTAAATGTAAAGATTCGTAGAACAATGTGGATAATGTACTTGACACACCTTTCAAGAGCAAAGGAGGATGATCACGTGACCCCTCACGTGTTGTTTAGATCCTATCTCTTCTTAGTCCGTACAATTGCTAAGCCCCCTAAAGTTTAGTTTATACCCAGATTGTAACCTTGAGGTTTTAATAATTTACATAATGAACCTTAAAAGATATAATATTTGATTTAATGATTTTAAAAAGAATTGAGAAAACTTTTTGGTGACAATAAATACATTGATCTTTTATAATGATTAAATAAACAAGTAATTTAAAGAAAAATGTTGATTTTTTTAATAACGTAAAACATGACGAATATTATAAGAGATTCGTATGATAAATGTTTAATTGGTTTGAGCTTGGTAGGAGGTTCCAGGTTCAAATCCAAGAAGAAATAAAAATCTCTTTGTGGTCACGAATGTTCAAATGTGGCGACTCCGGACTACTTGTAAAGCAGGTGATTGTTCTGGGATTAGTCGGCTCGCAAAGCGGGTTGGATATCCAGGTTAATAACAAAAAATTAAATTTTATTTATTTTATATCTGTTATAACCAAAAACTATCTTGTAACTATTAATGATATTCATGTCAAACTGTAAAGTTATACCATAATTCTTGATTTCGCGAAAAATACTAAATAAAAATCAACTGATGACACGTCATTGGAAAACTCGTTTGTCAGGTAAATATGTACGAAATTGGAAAATTAAACATGTAATACATTAGTAGAGTGAAAAATTAATTGTATTAAATAAAAATTAAGGGGTCATTTATAAAAAATCTATAGGGTAAATGTTTACTGACAGAAGTCGTCACACTCAGTTAACTTATCCGGTAACATTCTTAACCATCAAAATTGATTTAAAGTTCATGCCTTTTACCCGATAAGCATTTATCGAGTGACAGTATTCTCCCTTGGTTACTGGATAAATTATTTATGCTTGCCAATGCTCACCGGTTAAAATAATTGATATCTCCCTAACTTAAACATCGTTACTTATTAATACATTTTACCTAACAAAAAATGTTCCACATGAAACGGAAATAATTTATCAGCCAAAATTGCAAATGATTGAAAGTACAAGGACTTGACATAGCAACTAATAAAAGACGCCATGTCGCCAATTATGATCTTATCATGTGACACGTAATCATGCAACGTGGCTTCAGACCCAATTCACCAGACGCGTGTCGATCTGCAGTTGCATTTAAGACGAATTAATGAAATACATTTCTAACATCAATAAACAGTTAAAGCTTCAAGTCCTTTCTATTTTGATTCGCGGGGAAAAAACAAGCCATCTTTGAACGAAGATCTTGGCACCAATGGCGGTAGCTACAGTTGAGGAACCCATGCTTTACAGGCTTGATCGTCTCGATAACATTGTGAGTTTCAATTTATACCGATCCATGCTCATCGATTTCTGTTTTATTCCGGCCGTCGTGATCAAAATTCGATCACCTGGTCAGATCAGGTCGCATATTCTCGAATTCAGATTATCTGTTTAATTTTTCCTCGGCATTAATCGAATTCTCGTGTTCTTCTAACGGATCGATGAATTTAGTCAGTTGAATTGTCGATTCAACTTGTAATATATGCATGATTCATGATTATTGTTGATGTATGATCTTAAATTTGTACGAAGGTGAGGCAATTGGAAGAACTAAGAGGGGGAAATCGAACTCCAAAGAGCTCAAACGCATCAACACCGTCAAGCTGTACACTAACGAGCGAAGGTCAAGCATCATCCCTTGAATTCTCTCCGAGGAGCTTAGAGAAGCACTGCCGGCCGATGGATGACGTGATCGTGGAGACCGGAGTGAAGGGGACGCTGATCGAGAGGCTAATCCACGTGGAAGAGCGTGTAGCGAAGGTAAAGCATAAGAGAAGCAAAGTTTTGTGGGTTTGAGTTAGAATGTTGACTGTGCCATCTTCAGTTGTGTATGCAGTTGGAAGAGGAGATAGAAGCAGAGAAAAGGAGGAGAGAAGAAGAGAAGAAGAAGGAGGTGGTGGTGGTGAAAAAGAGAGGCTTAAAGCAATTGCTCAAATCTTGTGTCACTGCCAATAAATCAACACCATCGTAAATCCAATTTCTACTTTGTTTCTTTTTTGGGGTTTTTGTTGATGTATGGATATCATGGACTCTTTAAATTGATGCCTAATTGTTACTTTATTTTTAATTGTTAGGGTTAGAGTTTATGTTGCAAATATCGATCACACCACACTTGAATCAATCCAAAATCGAGTGGAAACTTAATCAAAATTTAACCCAAGATCCAAAAATAAATTCTACCGAGTTTGTAATGCGAAAATGATAAACTCGAATGCTCAACGAACAATAATCTATACTGTACTTATTATAAAGCATTTGATAAAAAATATTGAAAATTATTTTTTATGCGTAAAATATTATTTATTAATATATATTATTTAAAATTTAAGATTGTAAATAGATTGTATGTAAGTATAACTTATTAAAGCTTTATATGTGAATTCGTATAACTAACTATAAATAAATAGAATCAAATACAAGATAAATACTTTATTTTAAATATAAAATATTTAAAATATAATTAAAATAATTATTGAGTTTTAACAAAATATTTAATTATTATCTTTATAAAAAAATATATTATTAAACCAAAAATAAATTATTTTGTTATTAAACTTAAATTAAATTATACATAAAAAATGAGAACTTTTAAATAGTTGATTTGATGTTAACATTGATATATTTTTAAAATTTTTATTATATTTTTAAATTTATATTTTATTGAAAAATAAAATCATTATTGTTTTCTTAAAAACATATAAAATCGTATTATAACATTGATAGAGACAAATAATAAAATAAAACATTAAAATCGAGATGTGTCTCGTTACATTATGCAAATACTCTTCTAGTAATAAAAATTAGCTTGAAGAAAAAGACCCCAGGGTCGGGACAAGCTTTATGGTTGAAAAAGGGCCCAGACGGGTTTTCCGGGCCCAGGTGTTTTTGGGTTTTAACCGGCCTTTTCCGGGGTTCCTGGGACCGGGTTTAATTTTTTTGGAATTGATCCCTTTTTTGAGCATTTACCCAATATGTATTCTAAAGATTTGTGGAATATTGAAGCGAGTCGAAAATCAATACAAAGTGTCATCCAAATTAACAGAATTTGGCCGAAAGGAGACGAAGAGCAGCAGTTCCAAACATAAGGTAAATCCTGCCTGATAACAACACAATATCACACCTTCCAAGTGTGAGGTCATCTTTTCCAGATCCCAAAAATGTACAACTTTTTTACTAAGATGGTACAACTCTACATTGCATAAAGAGGGTTATGAGATCAGATAGGTTATTAACCATTCCAGCCTTCCAATATCTCTACCCCAGAAGAAGAACACAAGTAACCAAAGCCAAGAATGAATTGCCTGAGAACATATGGGGAAAACAGTCTCTCTCTCTCTCTCTTCCCTGCAATATCAATTTACATAAAATAGTTTAACTGGAGAATCATTAAAAAAGATGGTCAAAATTATATGGATACTGACCTTTTCTCATTTGTAATATGGATCCCTTTTTGGGACTTGATTTACCATATTGCCCTTCTCCCTTTTGAAGTAATGCACTCCCTCTTCCCTGCCCATCAAATGGAAGTTGTATGTTGATGACAAACTGTGGTGATCATTGTTGTTGCCATTTGAGGAAGTGTTTCTTTTGAGCACATCCTCAAAGATGGACGAATTTCCGGCATAATCTGTTGATAGATGATCCGAGTTGAATGATTGCGTTGACATCGATTTTGGCTCCTTTTGTGCTGTGGAATTTGCGGTTGAATCGCTACCGAGCTTTTTCGTATTGAGGAAGCGGCCCCCACAACCCCGAGCTCTTTTCATTGCGTGTTGGTGTCGTGATTCATGAAGATACGGCTAAAAGAGCATGGCAACAGAGCAGGAAAAACAGTATTGTAAGTTGGCTAAAAGTGATTTTTTGGTGACTGAATATTACTGTTGAGAGTCTTACATCGACTAGACTCGAACATTTTCTCCTCAATATATGTTGGAAAACCTCTCTCTCCTAAAAAAACTTTACAAAAAAGTAACCACATTCTCACATAATATTAGAGCTAAGGTCTATCGTTTGGGATATATTTGCCCGTCTAGCCTCCATTAGAGGGGCATGTTACTTGAGGGGCTCATTTAGAGAGTAATCTATTGGTGGCGTGTTACTTGGGGGCTCTTTTAGAGAGTAATCTATTTGGGTTCCACCGTTGCACACATTCTCACAGTTACCATGAAACTCACCATTGGCTCGATAGAATCCCAATCCCAGTTAGGCAATAATATATCTTATTTCGCAGGGTGGTTTATGAACAAAGCATGCAATTAAAAATTCTACCTTTCTGGATTTAATCACTTTCTTTTTCAGTTCTGCTTTAGCTCTTGACTGTCTTCGCCTCAGAATCCCATGATATTGTTTCGCATTCACATAAACAGGGTCCTCTTCCGTTTGAAGGGGCAATGGCATTCTAGTTTGATGGATTCCGAGTAAGCGTGGATGTGCCTGGCTCCAGAGAACAGTAGGAAAAACTCCATTAAACAAAAAACGATCAAAACCTCACAGGCTCACACAACTTATAAGCATGTTAAGAGTTTTCATGCATTAGAGAAAAGAGAATCATCCATACAGCATCTAACAAACCACCACGAATGACCCAATTAAATACGAGATAGTTTAGATAAATACAAACATATAAATGGATAACAAGAATTGATTGACATGCTCAGATTGTCATAACACTGTTCAGCTGAAACCTATAAGAAATATGTAATTCCTTGTTTTTCTATGTTTCAGCATCTACCACTGCCTCCCCTTCCATTTCATGCCAAGAAACATCATTTGACCATCTCATGACCCAGATTTTAGACTTCATGGCACCCTCTAAATGAACTTCGCCCTAGGGATAATCGATGCATTTTTGTGGGTTATTCTTATCGCTGTTATGATCCCCATCTAGTACATAATTTTGTTTCCACTGTTATCACTTTTTCTTGAAACTAGTTTCCTCTTGCCTGTCTTCTTTTCTAGCAAATCACCCAATTCTGATTTCGTTCTAGAATATCCCCAGATTCTGATTCAAATTTACTCTAATATTCCAATCCACTCCATATCCCATTATTGCACCAAACTCCTCCTGATGTGCCTCTTCCTACTTCCTCTAATGGTCCTAATGCTCATTGAAAAGTGTACTTGTGTAGGTAAGCCAATTGATAGACTATCCAACTTGATCATCTAATCTTTGTTGCACTAACATTTATTCGAGTCATTTTGCTTATATCTCAGCAATGTAAAGATGTCATATTCCCAGGCTATTCAGAGACACTAGATCATCCAGGATAGAGAGATGCCAAGTGCGTGGGATTAGCTGACCTTCTTACTCGTAAATATACCACTGTTTGAAAGTGGGTTTACCTTGTCTAACTAAATCCAAATGGCTCTCTTGCTTGCATGAAGGGACTTCTACGACCATTGGGTCAGTTTGGGTTTGCTCCATAGATTAACTTGCATGTATGTTGACAGAACTGCTACAGCTCAGATAAACCCTATATATGTGACAAGTTGAGCATTTTCACTATCTATGCTCCAACTTGAGGAGGAGCGTTAAGATTGTATGCTTAATTATGTCAATATTCCTGTAGGGATTGTAATCTTGGCCATGGCCCACATATGTAAATCATAAGTATAATGCTGCACTATGAGTAAGGACACAATTTCTACGAACTAACACATCTTCATCAACATTATGGTTTCTAGATTCTTTTGTAGCACAAAGCGACTTTTGGCATGACTCATATCCAATGTTCAAAAAGGCGCGATGTGGCGCAAGACGCGTCTCCGCCGTTACGAGGTGTGGCTCAAGCCATGGCACGCTGCAGCATGCGTTTTTTATAAATTTTTTAGTTTTTAATTTTTTTTTATCTTCTTTAATTTTTTTTATCTTTGTGTTTTTACACTTTTAGCTTTAGATTTACACTTTTATAGATTTATCTAATCACATCACTCATAGTTTCACGAATTCATAAACGCAATGGACTCACGGTTAAAACTAAGTGATAAAAATTATTTTTATTTTAAATATTTAATCAAAAACTATTTTTATAATAATAATCTATATGATTATTCTTCTTTTAATATGAATCTACATTTTTTAAATATCATTATCTAATTAGATAAAATATAGAAAACATATATGTAAATATATAATTCTAAATATGACATACAAATTTGCCGCCTTATGTCGCGCCTTGAAAAACCTCGCGCCCTCGCCGTGGCGTGTAAGGCTTGAGGCTTGACCTCGCGGCCACGCCACGCCTCATGCTATTTTGAACCTTGCTCATATCTATGTTCAACTTGAGGACTGTAATAAATATGTATTTCCTAGAGGTCACTCCTCATAAGAGATTATTGCATTTAGACTCAACTTCTCTAAAAGTTTAAATAATTATGTGTCCCTTGAAAGCCTTACACCACCAAACACAATATAAGTGAGTTAAGGATTTGTTTCCTGCAAGTCATTTCATGAAACCTGAGGACCTTCAACATGCAACTTCCGGTTGCATACTTCACCCTCAATATTTCTTTATTGGGGGAAAATATAACCAAATTGGAAATAAGGAGAAGTGTGGTGCTTTGCATCCAAAAGGGGGTTCCAAGTATTAGGTGATACAACACCTACGGTTGGTGTTTTGTTGAAATGGGAGTTCCTAAGAAGTATTTTCTCAACCCCATGTTTTTTGATGGTTACAACAGATTGTTCCTAGAGAGATGAACTTGGAACTTCAACAAGTTGGTTAACTCTCACTTATACATTACCTCATAGACATGTTAAGGGTCGATCAATTCCAGCAGTTGCTACCATAACATGTCAGCCTAGTAATGATTGCACAAAAATTTCCTCTGTAAGCTGTCACAAGAAAAATAATGCAACCGCACAAGTTTAGGGAAAGGGTGCATCACATTCTCACCTGCGTTCCATAAGTCATCATTCCAGTAAAATGTGTATCCTGATATGGATAAGATGTTAAGACCTGCAAAATGTTTATAGTAAGTACATAGCCAGTTGTTTATAACTTTGAAGTTGAATCTCTAGTTAGTAGAGCAGAGCCCCACAACAATGTGCACGTGAACTCATTTTTCACAACTATCTACAGAAGCCCGATAAAAACATATCTGTAGAGAGAGATTACAATTGAGTGGCCCACAAGCTCCATTGGTGAACTTGTTTCAACTTGTTTGACTTGTTGCTCTTGGCCATTATTCATATTCAGTCCTGAAATATTAATTTCAATGTCATTATTACATTCTTCAGTCCTAGTAGAAGAACAATGCACAGAGAAGGCAACCCTTCAACCGAAAAAAGTAGAGTGGTTAAAGGCAACACCATAGAGAATATAGATTCATATAACAAAAATTTCAAGGTCTCGCATAATTGAAACAGATGTCCATGCGAACCTACATCGTCCCAACCAGTTGAGCGAAAAGAGGTCAATCAAAGTCTTTAAGCATCAAAAGACTGGCTTGCTAGGGTAATAACCTGATGCCTCCTAGCTCAAGAACAAAGATTTAAAGCCGGTGGAAGGCCATAAGAGGAAAGTGAATCAAGATCATTAGCCAGTACTGCACTGAATAGCAAAACAATTCTACTAAAGAAAGTTAAAACTAGAAGGGATCCCTCCAATTTCCCCACAATTCCATGATACGAAAGGATATGCTTCTAGAGATGACAAGCTGAAATAGTAAGGACTAACATTATTTATGAAGAAAAAAGATGATAGACAGTTGGATAATTTCAAAGGCCTTAAGAAAGTCACCAAAGAACCACAGTAATACATCCCTGTGATTTCCTATACATCATACCTACTCCAAAGAAGTCAAGCCCTCAAGGATATGGGACTGAATGGAAAACCAACTGATGTATGCCTTCCAACTAAAATGTTATTAAGATTAATGTCGAGCAGGAACATATACCATGAAGTTGATACTTTCCCTTTCCTTGTACTGTTTATGCCAGAGAACTGGTGGAAGAACTTCTCTAAGAGAGTTGGATTTTAGTGGTGGAGGGGAGTTTGCCAGATAAAGATCCCATATCCAGCAGATTCTAGAAATTATTGTGCATCATCTAGCTTGGAAAGAGCTTCAGAGCGAGATGATGGGAACCCCATGGGATACAGGCGTATGAGACGGCGTATGAGACTTCTCAGAACCTCAAAGTTAAAATAAGTCAGCATAATAAACCTTTTTTCCTGGCCAAATTTGTATAGAACCACTATATTCAAAATTCCTCTTTTTTCAGAATAGAACCTTTGCAATGACCTTCCCAAACATCGCTAGCATAAAACCAAAAAAGGACCATACTAGGTATGTGTCTCCTAACCACTTTCTAATATTTGACTTATCCCTGTGTGCACTGCAAATTTTCCTTTTTAAACAACCAACTCAATAAAAAAGGGCTCGATGATTTACCGCTCAAGAGAATCCAAATTCCCCTAAAATACTATCTTCCTGATCAGGGAACATTCGCAGGAAAAATCACTGTTTTAACTTCATCACTGGATTGTCAAGTTACCTATCCTTTTAACGAGGACGCCACTACCCTTATTTATTGTGTTAAAACACTCCTGCATTTTGGGGAGAAGGGAGTAGAAATCTGGATAGCACACTCTCACTGAACCTTGACGCTAGACACTTTGAGGTGTGTGGGTGTGTCATATTGGTCTTATAATATCTTAATAAGTTACTAAGCAACTCAGACATAAACAACGAAAAAGGATATTTGATGTATATAGGCAAAGTTAAGAAACTGTTGCAGCAAATGAATATAGTGATATCTACATAATTTTATAATAAGTCCCAAAAGGAAGCCAGGTCAAACGTCTATACTTCCGACACATAAGCCTGCCTAGATCTAAACCATACCACCTAAAGTGTTGGTAAAGGGACCATAATCATGATTATTATAGGATATCTATATTTATTGCATAATAAAATGGTGCTCTAGAGTTCTAGGAATATAATCATGATTATTACAGGCTATCTATATTTATTGCATTGGGACTCATTTTAAACCATACCACCTAAAGTGTTGGTAAAGGGACCATTAAGCTTAAGACCACATAATAAAATGGTGCCATAGAGTTCTAGGAATATAATAATGATTATAGGCTATGTATATTTATTGCATTGGGACTCATTTAAGCACATAAATCAAACCAAACCAAACCAAACCAAACCAAACCAAAGAGACCCCCTCTTGTAAAGAGTAGAGAGGTAGGGTGAGGGTAAGGATGTATGCAAACCTTGCTATTAACATAGTAGAGAGGTTGTTTCCATGAAGACCCCCTCTTGTAAAACAAAAATTAAAGGAATAGGTAGTGACATCCTCATTAAGCTTCATGAGGCGTCACTACCCTAGTTATGCATCCCCAAAGCCTCCTATCAGATGTCATGTCCTCGGAAATGTCTAAGGCCATGTCCATCCTCAATTGTTCATCCCACGCCTCCTCGGCCTTCTACTCCTCCTTATCCCCTTGAATATCATACTCTCTACCCTCCCCACCGGTGCCGTAGTTTGCCTCTTGCATACATGTCCAAACCACCGTAACCTTCCCCTTCTCAGTTTACCCATGATAAGTGCAACTCCCAACTCCGCATAAAAATCCTGTCCGGTATGTTGTCCAACATGGTCCGAGCACAAGTCCACCTTAGCATCCTTATTTCTACAGCTTGTAACTTCCTTTCATGCGCCATCTTCATTGCCAAACGCTTTGACCATACAACATAGTTGGTTTAATGGCTATATTGTAGATTACCCCTTCAGTAGAGATGGATTCAAGTTATGCCTGAAGATAGATTCTGCAAGTAACAATTTGTACACCATTTCATCTCTAGCTCACCAACACTGCTATGCACAGATTCCTGAGCCATGCAAGGTCATTGGCTATACATTAAGATGATAGCCTAATGATAAAGCTTTCACCCTTTCTTGCCAAGATAACAGGCTCAAGTGTAACTTTTTCCACCCAAAAGAATTAAGTAAAATAAAAATTCCCATCATGATCTGAGCTTATGGGAACATATAATGCACAAGTTTTTTAGTATATTAAACATTATGTTTGGGTATGCCATGAAAAACAAGTTTAGAACTTAATGAAACTGTATCAATAAGAAGCGCTATGAGATTTTCTTTTACCCTGGTTCAATTTCTAGAAGGTTCTCATAATGAAAAAGACTTGCATATTGGTGCTCCAGATTATATAAAAAAAATCACCACTTCATTATATGAACTATACAAAATGAGGACATAAAGGAGTGTGATTATCTGGTTGATAAGACAGTTTCAACTTTCAAGCTCAGTATTTTTTGTATCTTGTAAAATAGAATAGTTGATAATTGATTATAGATATCACAACCATAATGACTCCCCAATTCAGTAGCAATAATTAGTCAATGCTATAACAAAATCTACTATATATCCTAATATTAACATGAAGAGATCTGATCAAGTTACATAAGGAAATTCCTTCTACTATTAGGCAGAATTTTACAATAACTTATAGCATGACAAACTATGGCAATCACCAAACATGTCATTTAGTTCAGAAATGAGGAAGTGGTGAGGTTGGTCGTTACTATTCATGACCTTAATTCATGAACCCAAAAGAGCAACCCAATATATCAAAGCTCCAGGTTTTTTGAGCCTTGGGAAAGAACTCTATGTATGCAACATATCCCTTTCATGACCTTCAAGCCAAAAAGGGGCAACCTTATCGGTTGATCCGAGGATAACCCCTTATCATCATATGCATGTAACCATAATAAAATTCACTAATGTATACCAGACTGTGGGACTGTGGATGCATCAGTATCTTCAGCAACAGCATCACTAGTGGTTTGTAATTGAGCTCCGACCTTAATAACCCCATTTGTTTCACCAAAAGAAGACATCACACCATTTCCAATCCCATGCCACCAAGGTTGTGAATAGACTGCTGACGGAGAAATATTTTGTTCTTCAGCTTCTCTACGGCGATCTTCATCTTGAGGTTTTGCAGGCATCGTCCTTGACTCCTTTGAAAAATAAAACCCCATGTAATCAAAAAGAAGAACCAATACAATAACAAGGTAAAAATTGCAACTATTCATCAGCCGCAAATTACAAACTACGCCTGAGCATAATTATGCTAAAATTAACAAGCAAATACCATTAGGTTCACCATAAATCCTGTAATTCTAACCCCAAAACCTGTATAAATCACCAACCACATCACCCTCATGCCACAATATCCTGCAAGTCAACAAAATTTTCTCAAACAGCAAGTGCGCTAATCATGATAGATTCTTCTCCCAGACCACATCATCAATAACTCAATTTCCTCAAAACAACCCACTTCGCAGCAAATCAATTAACGAGCACATAGTCATAAATTAAGTATGATTAGTATGAACCAATCCATACATCTCTAATTACGCTATCAATTTGTAAGTGGATGCGTGTATAGAGTTAGATATATCCAATCATTTGAAACAGAAAGCCCTAATCGAACTGAAAAACGATAGAATTGACTGACCTGTTGTTGGAAGGGAGTAGAAAATTGGAATCTTCAAGATGATACTGAAACTGAATTCAAACCCATTCATCCGTAATCACCCACAACACAAATAACAAATTAAATAAATACAAAATCAAGAGATAATTAACGAAGAAATGGTTTTGTATTTTTGTCGTATTTATTACATAAATAAAATAATTTTATTCAGAGTTCACGCCAACGTCACTATTCGTGTCGCTGTTAAGGAGAAAACTGAATAAATAAATCCCAAAAGAACCGTCCTGATGCCTATTTACACCAATGCCCCTTCCCCAAGTTTATTCAAAACAATTTATTTATTTTCGCTTCTCAATTTTATGAAAATAAAATTACCAAGGGATTGTTTATTAAATGCTTATCCAGTAGGTGTTTATCGGAAAAAAATTTACACTGGACGAACATGACAAGACCCAAAAATCTAGAGCGGATAGAAAGTCTTATCCGGTAAATGAGGATGACGACTCTTACCCGGGTAAGCACTTACCAGATATATTGTTGCATACGATACCATTTTGATATACTATAATCTTATTCAAAAAATAGATTATAGTGTTGGCTTCTAACGGTAAACACTTACCGCTGAGGGTGCTCAAAAACCCGATCAATCCAACGTGAAATAACTTAACCTGAAGTAACCCGATGTCTAATCGAGTTGTAAAATTGTCAAACCATAGGTATTAGATTGATATTGGGTTACTATTATTTGAAACTGATATAATCCGATGAACCCGATATCCTTTTATTTCTTGAATTTAATATGATTGTTGAATTTCTATTAATATATACAATGGACAATTACACTATCATGTATGCTTTTCATATACACATATTTTCAATCTATTCATGTATCTATATAACTCATTCATATATATGTTCTGTAACTGTGAACATATATATGTAAATTGAGAAAATTAACTCAATCTGATATACGTAAAAAAATATGGATAAATTGTATCTAATGGTTGATGATGAAAAAAAAAATTATTAGTAAAGAAATAACATATTCAAAATTAGAAAAATAATTTTAATATATCAAAGTATCAACCCCGACCAACCCGACTAACCCGTACGGGTTGGGTTGCACTTTGATTTAGGTTGGGTTAGATTAAGATTTTTTCAAACCGCAAACATTAGGTTGAGTTATTTAAATGTCTTCAATCCAATCAAATCCAACTCATAAATACCCCAACTTACCAGATAAACATTTAAGTAAAGAGCCCTTAATAACATCAACATTTTTATATATAGGTGTTTTAATATATTGGACGATGTAGAGTGAATCTGGTTTAGGTGAGGATTAATTTTCTCTTTTATTTTTTTATTAAGTAAATAAAGAGTGGGGTGGAGTGGAGTGTGGACCACTTGGGTGGAAGGCCAGGTGGCATGACACGTCATAGGAGCAGGCAAGTTTGACGTTGACTCATTTAAGGGGCAGGGGGAGGGGGGCAGCACTTGGCTTGATCATAGGCAGCACTCCCTCCAAATCTCCCTTATTTTCCCGCCACCTGGCATTTGCACTCTTAACTAAATTCAGATAATCAAGTACTTAAAATTTAAATATTCAGATGGTTTTGTATTAATCAATTTGAGTGTAATTTCTTCATGAGATTTTATATATTAAAAAGATGTTTTCGAAATTATAATATTGGAAAAAATCCTTTTTTATTATTAAAATATTTATTTCACTCACTTTCACTTTCACATGTTTCCTACCGACACTCCATTTCCATTATATTAAAATAAAAAAGAGATAATTTCAATAATATTTTATCAAATGTACCGAATATTTTAATGGTATAGTCAGTATTATAATTGTTAAAATAGAGTAATTGTTGGGGTTGAATATAATTTTTTTAGAGATTTTGACTTTTAACACTCTGTTTTAAAAAAAATATAACATAGATATTGGAAATGTTCTTAAAAAACAGTGACGAAATCCCAAGACGATCTAGATTTGTTGTAAAAGCCCAAATTTTATTGACGTTAAATCTTTCGAGATTTGGTTTTGTATTGAGTTGCATAAAAAAGAATTGGTTTGATTGACGTTGGATAGAAACGAGATCATGTATGATATTCTTTTAATCAATATACATGTTCAACATAGTTGTTTCTTATAGTAGGTGTTAATTATCATCATTTTAATATACATGTTTATTGATTCATCATATTCTTTAGAATCGTATGGGAAGGAAAGTTACAGTTAAAAGCGTAAGAAGAGATCTAAACTCTTGATCACTTTTAATCCAATGCCCAACTATGAATTGTTTTTTACAAAAGAATTGGTCCAGTATATCTCGATACACCTCATTAATGTTGACATTCAATTATGATTGATCTAAGGATGAAGATTTCTTCTTACGCTTCTTACCATAACTTGTCTTCTTACCGAAACTCAACCCATAGTCAACATATAAGATTTTTCTGTTTTATATTTATTGGATGATAATACAGAATTTTTATTACAGTATCAAAAGTAATATTAACCATTTAAAGTATTTTTGCTTTCAGAATATAATAACAGTTCTTTTACCAGATATATTGATGATAACTAGTGGTTTCTTGGTGGCAGGATTAAATGTATATAAAGAACAATAGAAGTTGAACAATTCCATGTCATCTAGTGTTCCCTTAGGGAATGTTTGGATCATAGAAATTGAAAGGAATTGGAATATCCAATCCTTTGACCAAATTCCAAATGGAGTGTTTGGTTCAATAGAATAAGATCATTGAATCATTTCAATTCCGGTCAATTCCTTCATACACAGATTTCACCATTCCACGGCAACATGCTAGGATTTCAATTCCTTTCCTATAGATTCATCCTCTAATCCTCTAATCCAAATTCATTGAACGCCTTTACCATCTCATCTACTGCATTTCTGGTTCGATCTCCAGGTATGCTCTCTCTCTCGTAAACAAAATTCGATCGCCAATCTGGTTCGATCTTCAATTGATCTCTGATTCGATCTTCAATCGCTCTCTGGTTCGATCCCAAATTGAATGGAATTAGGGCACCGATCACTTCTTTAAACAAAATTTAGTGAACAATTTCAGATATTATTAATATAAGTGAACAATTTCAAATTTTATCTGATGTTAATAATGTAATTTGGTTTAATGGTAATTTTAATTTTTTTTTAAATGACAAAAAAATCATAAAAGATCATTTGTTGATATTTAATTCTGATTCTAAAGTTGAATTCCAACAAAAAAATTCCAATTCCGTTAAGAATTCCATTCCAATTTCATGCAACCAAACGCAATCACAGGACAAGGTCAAATTCCATCAGATTCCATTTCATTCCCTCAAAGTCAAATTCCTTTAATGAATTCTAATTCCATCGAATTCCATTCTATGAACCAAACGCCCCCTTAGAATATCCCAACTGCATAACTTATCCAATAATTTATTATTTTTGCCACGTTAGCTTTTCACTAATTTATTTTAAAAAAAACTCATTTTTAGAAGCCTTCTCTAATGCAATAAGCTTTTGAAAAGCTTTTTATCATTTAAATTTTAACATTCATCATCTTCTATTTAGGTTGTCTTATACGATGATTTTTATAATTTTTTAGGAAAAAGTCTAAAAAAAACCTAATTAACTTTAGTGTTTGAAACGATTAAGTTCTTGGACAATTTTTTAGAATAAATAAATCATTGGACATTTCAGAACCTATTAAATAACTCCTTAGACTTTTTAAAACCTGTTAAATAGATCATTGTTCTTTAAAAATATAACGTGTAACCAGAATAGGAGGTAAACCTCAAATTAAAAATAAAAAAAAACCTAAAACTATCCTAAAAACAGACTCCTTGTCTCCCTCTCGCTGCTTAACCACGTCCTACACCACTGTTCCATCGCCAGTCCCTGCTGCACCACCCCCCGTCGCTACTGCACTACCGCTCGTCGCCCTACACCACCGTCCCATCTCCAGTCCCTGCTGCACCACCCCCATCGCCGCCACACCACCACTCGTCGTGCACCACCGTCCCTATCGTCGGTCGACGATGTAGTTTGATCTAATCATGTTTGTTCCAACATCGTTTTCATTGTTCTAAATTGCATAATAATGTTCTGAACTTCATTGTTCTATTGGTAGAGTCAACATTGTTCTAGAACTCGAATTTGTGGTCCTTTCTTTACATGTATGTTTCTGGTTACATTACACCTCCCCATATTTTCTATGGTCCTCTCTATAGGTATATGTTTCTAGTTACATTTTGGTTAGTGAGATCTGATGTTATAATCTTTTCCATGTAATAGACTTGTTAAAGTTTTTTAACCATTTGATTTTACTGAATTTTAGACAACTAGTTAATATATTAGACCTCCCCAAGTGTGAAAGCAGCACACTTGAGGGTATAGTATATTTCCTTTAACAAGTAATAAGAGCATGATTGTTTGAATCTATCGTTAATACCTAACACTGCTCTCTCTCAAATCAGTTGGTAATTTTACCATTTTAAGAGAAATGCTAATCCTTGTCAAAAAAAACAGTGGTGGATCCAGACAATTATATTATTGGGGGCAAACTTAGGGAGTTGGGGTGTCAAAAAAAATTCTGAAACCGAATAACTCATCCGAACCAAGACGATTTTGGGTTATTCGGTTGTCCACATAAACTGTTCAGTTTAATCAAATAAATATAATTTTTTTCGTTTTTTTGATTACTTTTTACTAGTTCTGGATAAACAGAGACATTGTACATATATTTTTAACAGTACACATTAATAATCAATAACAAGAAATCAGAGGGCAAGAAATTAGATTCAATTAGAAGAAATTAGAGAGCAAAAGACCAATATGCTATAAATAAAAGATAAACTAGTAGTAAACCCTATATCAAAATAACAAACTCAAATTAAAGAACAAACTCAAGAACCCTAAATCAAATATAAAGAAATATAAAATTAATAATCAACAAATAACAGTAATTATAAATCTATAAAAAATAAAATGCAAAAAAGAAAGTTGGGAAAAAAAACAAAAAAATAGTGATGAATCAAATTATTATAATTATAGCAAATAAAACAAGACAAATAAAATGACTTTCAATTATTTAAGACTTAGAAATTAGGGACATTAGAGTTTAATTGATTCTTAAATTGGTAACTTTTTCAGAAAGTTTGATATGGATTGTCTAATATGTTCCATTATGTTATTTATTGGATCACTTTTATTGATATTGTGAACTTACTGGTTTATGGGTATTCCTTTAAAGCATCATGCATAATTTATTAGCATAAATTGATTTTCGGGTTTTGATTCATGATTTACTTGATAAATGGTTTACTTGATTTTTTTGGGTCCAAATTTGTAGGCCATAACTGTTGGCAAGCATAAATAATGCAATGTGAACCTAATTTCCAACACCATGATATCATTTGTGATTGATAGGTTTTCTTTTTATTTGTGAATTCTTAACATCATTTTGTGTCATCCTTTCTAGAGTATGATAGGTTTTGTTTTCATCGATGAATCGTGATGGAATCGTTATTCTTATTTACATAATGATATCTGATTGCGATGGTGATTGTAGTGATTATCCTAGCTATGAAATAAATGATAATTCAAGTGAACATATGTTAGATACTTTATTTTTAGACCTTGAAGACGAGAATGATATAATCAACTTAAATAAAACAGTTGATGATCAGTTTCTAAATAAGCTTTGTATTGTGAACACGATTGACAATGTTGAGTTTAATGTGGATGAAGATGATGATAATGTTGGAAATCATGTTATACAAAAAGGTGTCTGATACCCAATACACGATCCTAATATTCCTAGGAAGTTGATGAAAAGCCCAGACTTGGTGAGAGGTATGAGAATCCTAGTCAAGTAAAACAATGTTTGACTAACTATGCGGTTGTAAATTGCCACCAACTAGAATATGTGAAAAATGATTCAAAAAGACTACTTATTACATGTAGAAAAGATCAAAAAGATCACACATGTCCTTTTAGATTATGAGCATCTTAGATGCAAGAAGAAAAATCATTTCAAATTAAAAGCATTAATTGTAAGCACATATGTAGTAGAAACTATAGTTTTAGATCCCTAGTGACACCAAATTGGATTGCAAAGCATTATGTTAAAGAACTCATTGAAAGAACGTTCATAAAAATCAAGGATATGCAAAATGATATTTTGAAAAAGTTTATGGTCAAAGTTAGCAAGGGTCAATGCATCCAGCCCAAGTCCAGAGAACTTCTTGAAATTAAAGGTTTTTTGACAAAACACTATAGAAAACTTTGGGAATATGGACATGAAATTAGGAGAGCCAATCCAGGATCTACACTTAAGATGGACGTAAATATAATGTCAGATGAAAGCAATGAATTTAAGAGATTTTATGTATGCTTCAAAACACTAAGAGATATGTGGATTAGTGGATGCAGGAAGATTATAAGACTAGATGGTTGTTTTTTGAAGGGGGTGTGCAAAGGAGAGTTAATATTGACTATTGGTTAAAACAAAAATAATCAGATCTACCCTATAGGTATGTACATCCAAACTATGCTTGTTATATTAATATCAAGTGTTATTATTTGTTCAACCACTTACAATGTTAAATGCTTATGTAGCTTGAGTTCTAATATATGTGAAGAACAAAAAGAATTGCAAGTGATTTATTGAACTATTAATAGAAGAAGCAGGGCTTACCATCATGTCTGATCAACACAAGGTATGAATTTTGTTAATATTAACTAGTGTATGCTTTATGCCAACGTACAAGTTTATGCACTATTGCATCACCCATTTTGACCACCTAACACTAAAAAATTCACAACCTTTTGTTCAGATCTTCATTTTCGATGAGGTTTTCGCCTATGCTTTTGTAACAAAATAATATATAACTTCCAATAAAAATATTCTAGAAAAGACCTCCCAATAAAAACATTTTTACATATTTGTAGGTGTTATGTTTTCCTTTGTAATTTTGTTGATTTTGATTTTGAGCTTGGAATCCCGTAAAATATTTCCAACAACTCCTGATAGGTCCAAAACTTAGTTTCAAAGCTTAACATCCCGTCAAACACCTCCCATTTGAGTGTTATGCGCGTAGTTTATCGAAATAACAACGTACTTTGTAAAACTTGCATAAAATACAATCTACGCAACTTTTTCGACTTCTGTCACTTCTAACACTTCATATTAACTTATTCAAAGACGTTCCAACCTTTACATCACCATTTAGATCATCCGTTCATGTTTTGGATAAATTTTTCCATTTAGACACTCTAGTTACTTACCCAATTTTCATTTAGGCAATGTACTTTGTATTAATTACGTCATTTGTGAAGTGTTAACACTAAATTTACCTCATACATCTCATTCTAACTATGCTTTCCTTTGCAATTTTATGCAATAAGACATTGTTGAAACTGTAAAAGAGTTGGCACCATATGCAAAGCATAGACAATATGCAAGACATATATGCTAATTTTTGTAAACGGTTTTAATGGTGTTAAGTATAGAACATTTTGCAGCTACATCCACTTTTAAGGCAAATTTCATGTCACACATAGAAAAGTTTAAGATACAAAACCTTGATGCATATAATCACTTGACAGAGATAGACCCTAATACATTGTGTAAGGCGTTTTTCCAACCCAATAGAGCTTGTGAAGCTGTAGAAAATGGCTTTACAAGTCATTCAATTCAATAATTGTTTTTTAGTATATAATATTTATATACGGCAAATACAACAAATAAACGTAGACACACCCTCCTCACCTTTGGTGAAATTCCGCTGACCTCCTAGAAGACCAAAGGCTACGACACCGCTAGGCCAGAGGCCCTTTGGTTAATTCAGTAATTGTTGATGCAAGAAGAAACCCATAATCACAATGTGATAAAGATAATTGTTATGGAGAGACATTACAGAATATTAAGCAAAGCACGAGAATGGCAATACTCAAGGTTTTAATAATGTATTTTATTATAAATTATACTGAGGTTTAAAATCAAAATTACATTGAAAAAGAAGATAAATGAAAACTTAATGTGAAAAAGTGAATCCATTAACTGGTTGAGGATGCCCAACCTTTTCTTCAAAACCCCATTTGCTCCAATGGGAAGAACCTTTTACAATAGCTAATTGTAAAGATAAATAGCTATGAAGGATGCTCTTACAATAAAACATGTGATATAAGAAGGGCAACATCTCAAGCTAGTAGTACTAGATATTGTCCGCTCGCTTTGTCCATACTTGGACTTATGGTTTTAAAATACGTCTGAATAGAGAAGGTATCAAGTTCCTTATAAGACAACCTTAGTTCCTCTTCCAAGGGATGTGGGATCTTACAATCCACCCCATGCTGGTACACCATTCCGGTTCCAGACTCTGATACCATTTGTAACCATACAAGATATTGTCCACTTTGTCCACACCTGCACTCACGATTTTAAAGCACGTCTAAGACGAGGTATCAAGTTCCTTATAAGACAACCTATGTTCCCCTCCACAGCAATGTGGGATCTTACAGTATCTAGTATCGTTAGCATGGGATGTCGCACCAAGCATTTACTCTAGAATCTGTATCTTGTTGTCGATGCAATACTCTTGTGATCGCCCCGTTGAACTTCATGTGGACACAATGCTCTCACGGTCGCCCTTCATATCGCACACTCAGCCTTATGCTACCTATGTAACGACATCCCAACATGTCTCAGAACGACTAATGCACACGCCTTGTGTCTCCAAACTTAACATTCACCTCCCTCTCCGTCTCCTCAACTAATAAAAATGTCGCCCGTGCATACATACATCATACGACACTCCTTTGAATCTCGGAAAAAAAAAACTCAGCCCCTTCATTTCCACAACTAGTATAATATTGTCTACAAGATTCCTGACACAAGTCGATGTTCACTTAATCACCCATACATATCATGAATGTCGTGATATACCTCCCAAGGTATCCCTCTACCATCCAAGCTCCTCCAAATCACAACCTGATGCACGTTGTTATATAAGCGTTCTCCAACTCGATAAACACCTTCCCTATATTTCTCCATGAGTGACTTCCTTAGCTTGAACCCGAATTAGTTTTCCGTCACCCTCGTTCCACATTGCACTCTATCCTCAATCACTCTCACATAATTTCATGGTGTGCCTAAAAAGCTTTATACCATGGTAGTTTCCACAACACTATTTGTCACCTTTGCACGATCATGGGCAGCAATAATATCAACCTTTTTTACCCAGATTGCCCAAATGAGTAAAGAGAGTTGGTGTTGCTACCGCCCATGACCATTCGAAGAATGGCACAAACAAGACTTTGCTCACTATCAAAATAACAAAGGTATCAAGAAACAAATGATCACCAAATGAAATGGGTGTCTTTACCAACTACCCATCCATATTACTATGATCAAAATTACAACTAAAAAATAAAATGATCAAAAATGTCCATGTTCAACAAGACTATGGACATCATTTGAAGGGCAGCCCGCAGACTGCCATGAATCCCTCAGAATGCCTAGTATCAGCCTGACATGTAGTCGCAGTTCCTCTACCTTACGCTTATAGAAAGCAAAAGGGAGCACCACTTTGCAAATTACATGCACATATTCAGATTACTAAATGTTTCATCATTGGGGTATGGAGAATTTTAATGTAATTCATACAGCAGTGAAGCAAATATAAGAAACAAAAACAAACCAAAGCTAAATAGCTTTACATCACAACCAAATGTACCCTAACACATAGATGGTCAAATGTGTAAAACCATTGTACCAAAAAAAGATAGTGGTGATATTAAACACAAACAGAAATCCAAGAGAAGTGTACATAACAAAAAGTTCTTATTAGGGGTAAGAACAGTCTATAAGATTTGCGACAACAAATATGTATGAAGCATATAAGGAAGAACAAAAATTTATCGGATAAACATGAATAGTTTAAAATGAGACAAATTCACAACAAAAGGATGTTCGCCGATGCATACTAAAAGAATCCACCAACATGAGCAACTAAAATAATTCAAAAACCGATCGGAGTTCATGAGGAAGTTCCAAAATGAAGAACATAATTAGAATTCATCGAAAAAGGTCCTACCTGTTTCACGTTTTGCATAAGCATATATGCATACCGAATCTATAGATTGAACGGATTCGCATTCTAGGATATGCATTCGGCTGCTATTACGGAATTTGCGACGGCGATAACCAGTTTCGGCGAGTGGATCTCTAGGGTTTTGTTGTGTTTCAGGGCTTAACGAAGCGTACAGCTTTTAAAGCAAACAATGGCACGCGTTACGGGTCTATTTCTAAATAAACCACCTATGTTTCAAATAATTACAGAAAGATCACTCATCTCTTGAGTAATTACAAGATCACCCATGTTTTCCAAGTAATTACAAATAGACCACCAATCTCTTGAGTAATTACAAGAAGATCACCCTTGTTTCAAATAATCACAGAGAGACCACCCATTTCTTGTGTAATTACAAGACCATCCACATCTTTCAACTAAGGAGTCGTTTACCAAACACTTACCCGATAAGTGTTTATCAGTAAAATTGTTGCATACAATGTCGTTAAATTGTTGCATACAATGTCGGTAAAATTTTACCAAACACTTACTCGTAAGGGATCCCAAGATGCACATTAGAATAAGATGCATCGAATCAGTCCTTATATCAAACACGATTCATGGGTTGTTTTAAGATTAAAGGTGATCAAGGTCCAGATCCCTTCTTAAGCTTCACACCTTAAATCACCTTTTTGACACGATCCTTCGCCAAATAGGTAATACAAGGTAACCAAATATTATGTCAAAAGACATTTTTACCCTTTTACTTGCAACCAGAAATAAACAAGATCATAAATGCAGAAAGAAAAGAAAACAAGTAGACATAAATACCATAGTGGTAGTATCAATTATATATCACGTATAAAGTATCGGTATGTATACGATGGATTCATATTATGAAACCACGATAGCGTATATCGCAACTTGATGATAAGATATGAACTTGTAGTACATGTAGTAGTATGCATCTACAATTACCCTCCAAAACACTCAGAAATTCGCTTGTTCCTTAATTTGTTCCTGAACGAAAATCAAAAAACACAAATCTTTAAGGATGATACAAGGAAAACACAAGTCCAAAACCACAAAATACATGTTCTTTTAAACTACTATTGTTACTCATTTTGATCTACAGTTTACTTCAATCTTAAATTTAAACTACTATTGTTACTCATTTTGGTCTACAGTTTACTTCAATCTTGAATGCAGAAGAGTTGCAAGGGTATTTTGGGCATTAAACTACTTCCGTCAATTGATGATTGTAGGATCAGTGGCTAGTGAAGTGGTGAGATGGTACAATCTCACTCAACTGAATCAAAGTTTTAGAAGTGACTTTTTGTTTTTTGTTTTTAATCTGATAATTAATTTATAAAAGGCATGTTTTCTTTGTCACTGAACTAACTTTCTTGCTCAAGTATATCCTAGAACCTTATTCACATGAGAAGTTTATCTTAACAACCAACAATTTTAGTGTAGATGTAGAGTGTTTGATATGAATCTAGATTTCCCAAATCCATTATCAGCTAACAAGAATATAATTCAATTTTCTTGGAACACATCCAAGAAGTATACTCTAAACCTACAGCTAAATGGTCCCTAAATGAAGTCCTTTTTGTTGAATAAAAATTATGGTTTGGAAGTTTATGTTGAAAGAATATCCTGCATCTGGAATGCTAAATCATCTATTCTAACAGTGCAACGAAGGAGAATATTGAGAAATCTAATACACTGACCTCAGTCACAAAGAAGGCATGAAAACCGTATGGAACTCTATGGGGGATTGGAACAACTGCAACTGGATCAGGAGACATCGTTTTCGCATCAATTACTGTTACTGATGATTTCCTGCAAATAAAAACAAAGAAACAAATATCATGATGATATATTTTGAATACTGGCCGATATGTCATACAATTTCATATTCACACCAGCAATGAGCTAAAGCAGAATTCAGGCAGAAAGTCGAATAGTTAAGTTAGCATGATGATGGACCTAAGTTTCAGGATCTTCATTTCCGAACCCTCATCTTCTAATATTCCCTCTACTTCTGGAAAACTTTCTATCTATTTCGCACACTTTTCACAAGCCGGGTGTCTTCACAGAAAAAGCCGCTGCAGGACTCTCCCCCCAAGACCCCATCTTCAGGTGGAATATATTGGGCTCATTTGGTTTGGTTTGGTTATCAGATTGCCCCAAAGAAAAGTACGAGATTTAAACTGCCATTTTTTGCCTCAAGCACAGCCAAAATATTCAACAAGGTATTATAGGGTTTCTACAAGGAGGGTGATGTTAATTAAGCCGAGTGAAGAAGATGCATACCCTGTATTCTCATCATGTGTAAAGAAGATCAAGTAGCCATCATCTTCATCAGAATCAAATCCAGGTTGTCGAGGAACAAAAATTGCCTCCGAACCGAATCTACCTGGCCCTAGATCATATAAGCCTTGAATGTTTCCTCCAACTTCAAGCTTTTCTTTTCCAGCCTCGGGTTCCGCATGTAAATCAAATTTAACGATGCCAGTGACCTTCGCAATGCTGTCAAGCCTAGTTGCGTACACATATCGTTGTTTCCTGAAGTCCCACAAATCAATAAGAAAATCTGATGACAGCTTACATAGAATTAAGCTAGCAATAACATAATAAGGGTCTGTTTGTTAGCAGTTTAATGGCTTAATGGGCTCACAACTTATCCAGTCCTCTATACAAAACTGTTTGGTAGTGGCTTAATGATATAGAAAGTGGCTTATTCAGTTAAATTTCTAGGAGGAAGCTTTATGCAGAAAGCCAAAAAAAATCCAAATATGCCCCTCCCAATTAAAAAGCACACTTCTTCCATCTATGAAAAAACCATCCTAGACATAAACCTTCCAAATCTATACAGACAGATTAATCCACACAGACAACTTTATTCATACATGACTTGATGAAAAACCAATGAAACAACCCCTAAGTCACCTGCCAGTGTAGCTCTCGTTCACTCTAGGAAAATCAACAGCAGAAACCGACAACTTTGTCTGAGAAGCAAGACCTGTTTCCATGTTGAATCTCATCTCATACCTGACATATATAAATTTGAAATCAAGAAAAAGTGCAAGAAATCCTTAATCTTTTCGATTCCCATAAAGGATCAGAATCTTACAGCTCATTTGTAAAATTATCAAGCTTTTCTTTAACACCTCCGCCAACCATATCCAAATCTGGATTCTGAAGGCGGCATGTAATCAAAACAACTTCGTCTCCTTGCTCCCATGCATTAGCTGGTAAATGGAGAGGGTTCAAAGGGTTATGCATCAGAATTTCAAAACCTTTATAACAACACGAGAAGGAAGAGTCCTAAGTTGTTCTCAGACGACAAGTTTCTGTTTCAGAGACTCCTTCAAAAATAGCATATATGATTGGATGATGTCACATTTGTTTAAGAATCAAACTTTAAAATCCAAAAAATTTTATAAATCATTGTAGAAGTACATACAAATATTGTGTTTGTTGTGCAATATTTCTGATTACAAATATAGTGTATGTTATGCAATATTTCTGAATCAAGTGTAGACATTGGAAATTCAGAAAAAAGAGCCTTACCGTTGTGAAATATGAAGCAATTTGGAAGCTCAAACCATTTAATTTGGAGCTCGTTCTTTGCATACCGTGGAAGGATACCAAATCGAGCTTTCTTTGTTGCATCAAACGTGAAAATCAACTTTTTACCCTTCACCATTTCCTAAAAGTAGCAAATAACAAAAATAAGACAACTTCTATTAATAATCCTAAGATTAGCAAATTGCATCAGCCAATTCCATAAGATAATTAGTTCAGTAGACGAGCTCCAAGAAAATTTTACATTACCATTCTAGAGAAAGCAAAATTAAAAAATTCAAATTATCTCATGTAAATAGCTATGTTCTTTTTCAGGGTATCCCAATCTATGCCCAGACTAATCCTGGGAAATTGTGACTCTAATACATTAGCTGATAAACTCAATGGCCACAATTGTTGTGGATGCCCGGAATCATATATTTCTTCTTTCTTTTTGAGGATATCATTTCATACATTGGTCAAACTATTGAAGGAGCTCCTTCAATAAACGTTCAAATCGAGCCACAACATATAATAACTGAAGGAGCGACGAGAATGTTAAGAGTGACATACTTTTGGTCTAAAGTATAAAGGAAGATCCATGAATATTGCATAATTCTCAGTAACCGCAAAGTCATGCATCATTATCGATTCTGGTACTGTTATCGGCACTGGATCATTCATAACACCGTCTTTTGAAATCACCCGGTACGTAACAAATGGCGGTGCTTGTGAATATCCAAAAGTAAACATCTCACCTGAAACCAAAAATCCATTTTGTGAAATGATATATAGCATAAGACCAATAATCCAATTAGTGAAGAAAGGGGTTTTTACCAGAAACTGGATCAACCTTTGGATGAGCAGTGAAGGCGTGAGAAAGCCTCTTATCATAATCCATTAAGCCAAGAGTTTGTAGATCACCATCCTCCAAAACTTTAATGGCGTCTGAAAAATGTTAAGCAGTTAAGGAGTATATAGTTAAACTTTTCCTAAAATGAGAAATTATATGTAGTATCAACTATGAATACATCTGCTCGTTTGTGAGCTCAATGTGAGCGAAAAACTTACATGGTTTATCTCCTTCTGATAGTGCTAAGAGCTTTCCGTGATGATATATGAGAGCTGTGTTTCCTGAAAGAAAATAATACGAATTGGTGACTAAATTGTGTGAATTAGATCATGTAAAAGCTGCCCACATCCACAAGAACTGAAAAAAAATGTGAAAAGGAGTTCATCAGCCAACCTGTCCCCTGGCCATAAGAAAGATCCAACACTTTCAACTTGGTTCTAAGCATTTGCACAGTGACCATCAGTAACCCAAACATCCCCTTAAGATCTCCAATCTGAAAATGCAATGGCTAAAATGTAAATAGGACGATAATGTAAACCTATGCAAGAACTAGGGAGTTAGTTTCACAAATTTCTAACTGGTGATCCATTTTTACGTTTCTTTCTCTTTAGGATACAACGATTTTCTGTGGGCCCGGAACACAGAGATGTAGACACAAAGCTAGAAGATAAATACTTATAACTTATGATGTTTTCTGGGGATTGTAGAAGATGGTAAGGTGCTTTAAGAATCCATATGTTGCAGCGCAAGTTATAATGTTTTTTGCTAGAACTTTATTGACATTCTTTTGCTTAATTATATTTGGATGAAACAGTATCCGCTTGCTGTACTAAGGGGCTGTTTGGGTGGTTTTCCATTAAGTCCTGTATGGATAAAGCTTACTGTCGTAAGGAGTCAGTAAAATGTGAATAAAGTCCTCACTGCCAAACAATCATGTATAGCTGACCGAATAAGCTATGAGTCCCATTAAGTTGTTAACAAACAGGCCCTTATGATAGATATGGCCTACTAGAATTGTAGCAATTGGAGAATAACTACAGTTCGACTTCAAGAAACATCCAAGATTATAGCCTAGTATGTTAACTCACAAAACAGAAAAATTATAGATGTTTGGATACAGTTTCATGAGAATACCTTCATAAACTTAGCTCCTCCAAAAAATTCCTCTTGTTCCAGACGAGATGTCTTTATATAACGGGATAGATAAGTTGCTTTTCCATCTTTGATACGCAAGCCATGGATCATGCTGGAGGATAAAGTTGTTTAGACCTATAGCTTTATATTCAGAGTAGCAAGAATCTTACATTGACTAATCAAACAAAAGCCTATATAGGAAGATGAAAGTGCAAGTATATTCGGTAAAGATATCAAGCGGAATGCAGAGAGCACGGAGATGATAACATGATAATTTTACTCTTATCTACATATCTCTTAATCGTTGGAGTGATTGCTTACTGTAATACATGATCTAATATATGAAAGCATTTTAAATTGGACTTCTTTTCTTGAGCTTTCAAGAAGAAAGCGGTTTCCATGTAATCATAAAATTTTATACCACACAGTGACTTCACACTAGACAAAAGGAGTGTACTAATAGAGGCCAAGGAACAAATGGCACATACCCATCTCCATCAAACCTGCACACAAACAAACAAACAAAACCAATATGATATTAGAAAGAGTTACTTTTGAAACAGAAAGAGATTAATCAACAATAGTCCGTAGGCGTAAATTAAAGAACCAGATAACAAAACTTAAGAGCTTCATATGAAATGTGAACCTTTTTGTTCTTTTGAGGCAACAACCATAAATATTTGTACACAAAACAGCATATGCACAAAAAACAACTTGACCAAGAGAAAGGATGTACCAGTGATATCCAGCCACAGGAGCAAACTTTGGGTTAGGACCTACTCTAACGAACTCGCCATTTAGGCACTCCTGCAATCATAAAGATTTTGAAATGTCTATTTAGCAACAAAAGACACGAAAGTTAATGAAGAGAAGTGTTGGAACTAAAACAAAACAATTTTCGCTAAATGCCTGTTTAAAGTATGGTCGTTTTCTGTCATCAGCTTCTCCCTTTTCATCTATTTTGTAGGCCAGTGATCATTTAACAGACCTTTTTATACCCAATTTCCAATAATCTTCCATCTGTTGCAAGTATTACTGCACAAAATTGTGCATATCCAACATATTATTGTCAAATACCCACTTCCTGAAGTCCAGCAGTCGGCTTAGTGAATCATATTTGACTCCCACCAGATTCTATCAGTTTCTTGGCACCGTTCGTCCATTCCCATTGCTGGAACACCTGAATTTTCCAGCCATAGGCACTTTTCATGGAGTAGGTGAACTAATAAACCTTTTGAGGTTAGCTCAATTGACAATAGGTTTGCAGAATGTTAAATGGATGGAATGGAATCTGTTAAACAAATTTGACTTTGAAGGAATTAGATTGGAATGTTGTCAGGTTCGACGGTTGGCAGTGATTCAGATCGACGGTGGTCGAAGGTGGTCAAAGATGGTCATATTGGGTTTTATGATATTAGGGTATACCAGGTTAAGGGCATATTTGGTATTATGAAAATAGAGAATTCCATTCCATCAAAATACCATCTAGTTGCTAAAGAATGTTATTTTTTTATTTGTGGAATTTATAGGATTTTGAACATTCTTTTTGTGAAAAAGAATGAACCAAACGAAGGAATAGAATTTGGTCAATAGAATTCAACATTCCATTTTCATCGGATTCCTTCTGCAAACCAAACGCCCCTAAGACTTGAGCATATGGAATACTCCTCGGAGGTCACCGATTCAAGTCCTTCATTTCCATGGAGTATGTGAACTAACGAAACTTGTGGATCAGCACAACCGACAATAAAACTTGGGCCTATGGAATCTTCCTTCCTTGCTTTCTATGGAGTAGGTGAACTAATAAACCTTGTGGGTTTAGCTCGAAATAAGACTAGAACCAGTGGATCTCAGGTCACCCGTTCGAGTCCTTGCTATTCTTTAGGGTCCTAGTTGAGGTTGGAACAAGCTGGGACAGGACACTCATGGATACAAAAAATTAAAAAGTGAAAAAGTAAAAGAACCGATTTCCTGCCTGAACTTATCAACAAACTCCGATCAATTACTGAATTCTAGCACATTGAATAACACGTCGATAATAACAATAACAATATGATTTCTATAAGAAACAGAAATCAAAGTGATGAGGGTGAATTACCGGTAGGTGACCGATTACAGGTAGGTCTTTGCAAGGAGGAGTTTCCTCCTGAACAGGGGCAAAATTACCGAAAAGCCAGTGATGAGGCTGGGATGAATCATACATGAGCTTCACTATAACCTTCTCTAACCAATCAACTGCTTTGGAGGTAAAACCTTTGCTCGGTTTGGGGCTCACCACCACCACTCCTCCGCCGGCCTCCGCCATTGTTCCCATCTATCTCTCTGACAGTGAGTGGATGAAATGAAAGGTGTTGTACTGTTGTTGGTTATACGTATATATGTATATATATATATATATATATATATATAATATTAATTTGGAGTTTGCGACAAGGAATATTTGGTTGGAGAAGGAAACAGACACGTTGGCGGAGTGCGTGAAGATCCTTTGTTCGGGTGGACACTCGATTTTCATAACTTGAAAATATATTGTTACGTATAGATTACAGCCAGCTAGCTTTACCTCATTAGTCATTAGTAACCACTGACGAGTCGCTTTCATATTCTCTACACATGTACCAGTGAACCTTTTTACATTCTTTGCACTTATTTGGTAAACGTTTACCGGTAAAAGTTATCATTATTATTTTATTTACTATATAAAATTTTAGTTTGTTAAAACAGAGCTTAGCATGGTAAAAGTCGTTGTCTCCATCTACTTGGTAAGACTATTGGTTCTTATTTCGTTTTTATATGATAAGATTGTTGGTTCTTACCATATTCATCCGATAAGGTAATGTGGTTTGGTAAACGCTTATTTGGATAAGCATTTGGTAAATGGCCCCTTAGTTTTTTCTTTTTTACATTTTTTATAAATTTTTTGCCTCTAACTATAGATAGATGTATAGTTTATACAAAAAAAACTACAATAATAAAATCAACAATAAAAGTGTTGTCATTTTGACTATAGCTTTATTAAAATTACCAAGTTTTTTTAATATATAATATGGAATGAATTTACGTGAGACCAGTTTATTTTCGTTAAGAATGGTAAAAAAACTCGAAATCAATGATGAAAACTGAAAATAGAAAACTTCAGGCCAGGTTCAGGGACTTCTTATTTGGGACGGAGCATATTCGGGGATTTTATCCAGGGTGGGGTGGTGATCACCGCCCGACCCAACCCGATATTTGTGTCTATCTATCTATATATCTATATATATATATATATATATATATATGTATATGTATATTAATTTAATCGAAAGACCATATGAGAAGAAGAGTTAAGATGAGAAACGTAATAAGGAATTTGAATCTTTGCTCACTTTAAATCTCAAACTCAGCCATGAATGACATTTGATATGGGGATTGACCCGGTGCATCTTGATGCATCTCATCCTAATGTACATCCAAGAGTGGAGATCTCTTTTTATGCTTCTCACCTTAATTCTCTTTTTCATTGAAACCTAACTCTATTAATTTATATACATACACACACTGTTGGGTCACCTATTGATTTGGTGATGACCCACTGATCTGTTCATCTACCTTAGCAACACTTAGTAGTTAGTGGTTCTTTGTATATTGGTGTCTTGGTACATGCTTAAACCATTGGCAAAATCGAAGACTAGCCGATGTGAAGATAAAAGGTCACCGATATGGTGTTGTGGATCAACTGTCTAATATGTATACCAAGACTCCAAAATAGCTGAAATGAATATTGAAAATATTTTGATGCTACAAGCCGATTGAAGGAAGATCTTCATAGACCGAAGATCGAGAATCTTCATGGACTCAAGATTGAAGATCATGGACCGAAGATTGAAAATCTTCATGGACCGAAAATTTGTGAGTAGCTGCTTGAAGCTACATATCCATCCAAAGGAGATCTTCCTACAGACTGACCATATCTCTGCAAAGTTTGTCTCTAGATGAACAGTGTTGTATGCACGCTGTGTACGATGAAAATGAGATATCAACATTGATCAAGTCAACCCCTGCCTTCTTATCCTCAAGTGACAAGTGTCCCCATGCATTAAATGCTGAAGGTAGTATAAAAAGGCAGTGTGCATCTTCCATGCACATAACTGGCTTTTAAAATATTACTTAGTGAATTCTTAAGGCAATCGGCTATTCTCTTCTTCTCCCTTATCGGCTATTCTCTTCTTCTCCCTTGCTCTCCTATGTGCGAAAAAATTCTTAGTGTTCTTCATTTCTTTTCAAGAACTCTTTGTGTTGTTCTTGAAAGTTCTTCTTTTTGTAAGATTGTTTAGGTTAGGTTTTCCTTTCCTATCTTCCGCAACAATCTTTTGTATTTCTGTGTGTATTAATTCTTGATATAAATCAATAAGAATTAAAAAGTTGAAAAAAGTCTGTGTAATTATATTCAACCCTCCTTCTACAATTACTTCTTGTTTATTGTCATCCCCTTCGGGGCACATACACACACACACATATGTAGATATATATAATCATTAAAAGCAATTACTAGCATTAAATTTAAAAAAAATTAAACACTTTAGCTCAAAACCCTAAATAAGCCTCATGAAAAAGTTTAGTTTGTTTGTCTAATAGTAAGATCGTGATGTTAGTTGGATAATATTTGAACTTCTTTTTACTTTTATATTGTAATCTAAGACATGATTCATAATCGGTTTGATTATGTTTGAGACATTTAGACTTGTATGTTTAAAAAAATAATAATTTACTTTTAGTTGTGAAAATCAACATATTGTAACTTTTTTATCCGGTTTTGGTTTGGGGTATGACCAACAGTGAATGGAGAAACCAACAGGGCACAGAGATTTTTAACGTTAAGCGGTTCCTCAATGGGGATTTGGGAACCGCAAGGATCCGATAGGGACCGGGCGGTTACAGGAACGGTTTTGGTTATCAGTTTCAAAGGACAGTGATACCAATAACCGGTCCGAATCCGGCCTGTTGTCATTCCTAGTTCGTGAGACCATGAGACCACAAAATAACACTAAAACTTCACAGTAAAACACTGTGAAGGTATAAAAACTCTTGAACCCTTTACAACAAAAACAATGTGAAGTTTTATATTTAAGAGCGTTTTCCTATGAAAATGTGTGTTGTTTACATGGTCATACGGATCTCACGAAAACAGTATAATCTCAAATTATCCTAAGTAGCAATGTAACAGATAATGATAATTGTAGGAGATGTGACGAATAATAAATGGAAAAAGTTTTGAAGATAAAAAAAAGTTAGGTATGGAAGAAACAAGAACATCTTATTGTTTGGTAAATGTTGGGAGTCTGAATGCAACACCTATAGACCTTAAATAGTACATCCCTGTACTTTCGGAAAATATAACATGTCAAGTCCTTTTTATCATTTAGGTTGGGGTCCCGTGAGAATTAAGGCAAAAAGCGTAAGAAGAGATCTTCACCATTTGATGCACATTAGGCTGAAATGCACCGAGATGCTTCAAATCAATCCTCATATCAAGTACGATTCATGTGTGGGTTTGAGATTAAAGTTGATCAAAAGTCCAGATCTCTTCTCAAGCTTCTCACCTTAACTCTACTTATATAATTTTTCGTCTAATATGTTAATTGCAGATCTCTTATGGATAATTATTATATTTGATTACAGTATTTTCATTTTATATTCTATACAAAATAATTATTATCTTTGATTTTTCAGAAAATTACTGTAAGCAACTATAAAACTAGGTTTATCATTTAATTCTATTTAAATTTTGAAGGGAAAAGAAAATATATTAATCGTTGTTTAATTTCGTTAAAAAGTTGAATTTATTTGTTTATTGTTTGCTTTCAAAAATCAAGACATTGTTTAATGAAATCAAATATCAGATCAATTTTAATGTTTCTTTCATTTATGACACAAAATTTTGGAAGTTGGACTAAAGAGTCTTTGGCCTAGCGGTATCGTAGCCCTTGGCCTTCTAGGAGGTCAGGGGTTCAAACCTCACCATATATGAGGAGGGTGTGTGAGTTTATTTGTTGTATTTGTCGTATATAAATATTATATACTTCAAAAAAAATTGGAAGTTGGTTAAAAGTTACTATTTTGTTAAGGTAATAAATATATTAATATTAAAAAAAGGAAAAGTTAAAAAAAAAACTCAAGGAACTATCTCATTTTGAATGATTAAGTTTTTGGACTATTTTTTTGAATGAAAAAATCATTAAATTTTTTCATTTTTAATGATTAAGTCATTAAACTGTAACACTTTATTCATATTTGCATAAAACATACATATTTCATATAACATGGAATATAATTAATACACACTGGTCTGAAATATACACATTGCTACTAGCAAAAGTTAAAAAACAAACTTTTTTTTCACAAAATACATGACTTGAATAATACAACTTCACAAGTTCATGTATGAACTCAACTTCCACAAAATTCACTTTCATCATATACACATATGTAACGTTATAATACTTTAATTCACATCTTTCCCTTCCCTTTACCTTCCATATGTATCCAACCTGTAATGCACATTTTTAAAAACAAAATTGGATTGGACCATAAGGTCTAGTGAACAATCTCTTGATGACTATTACAAGATGAAAATCACCAAAATACTTTTGGAAAGCTAATCATTGTAAAATTAACATATAAATAACATGTATCACATCAAACCTCAACTTGTCATACCAAAGAGATAGACAACCAACTCATCGTATCACAAGGATGAGATAACTCATTTTATCGCATCAAACAGATGCAATAACACATTTTATTGCATTACACTGATGCGATAGCCACCACTTGTCGCACCAAGCAGATGCGATAAACACAACTTGTCGCACTACACTGATGCGATAACCACCACTTGTTGCACCAAGCAGATATGATAAACCTCACTTGTCGCACCACTGTGATACGATAACTCATTTCATCGCATTACACTGATGCGATAAAAACCAACTCATCGCATCACACTGATGCAATAACAATAACTCCTATGATCAAAATCTCATTTTTTAACAAAACCGTTGAGTATGTCACCCATATCCCAACATACATCTTTCCTGATTATGCCACCCTTATTTCAGAATATACAACTCTCCTGATTGTGTCACTTTTATTTCAAAATATACATCTCTCCTGATTATTCTACCATTATTTCAAAATATACACATTTCCTGATAATGTCACTTTTATTTCATACAATTGATAATACAATAACAAAAACCCAATTATGCTAACAAATAGCAAATAATTGTATCCGAAAAACACCCAAATTCGAAATCTATATGGTTCCTTATTGAAAACATATCAAATGAAGTTTATGAAATAAAACTCAACTTGAATCACAAATAGATGGTAGACTTTAAACCGACACAAAAATTTAGATAAGAACACGCAGATGTTTCCTTCTTCCTTCTGTTTGTACGAACCATGGAACAAAATATCCTTCTCACCTATTTTCTTCTTTCTCCTTCTTATCTTTTCAAATTAGAGAAAGTGAAAAAGAAAGACACATGCATACATACATACATACATACATACATACATACATATATATATATATAAGATGAGCCGGCGGACTCTTATATATTTTAAATCAACTTTTTAAAATACATCCCTCAACTTTTCATTGTCTAGTAAAACCAAAAAGAGAATGACTAAAAAATCACAAGGGTGGTGTCTGATTGGTTTGAGCTTGGCTCCAAATGTCAAAAGTACCTAGAGATCTCAGGTTCAAATCCAATGAGGAATAAAAATTTCTTTATGGCTACAGAAGTTCAAATGCGATGACTTCGGGTTATCTGCAAAGCTTACGGGGAAAATGACCATTTTAATCCATTTCTCCTGGTTTGGGTTTGTTGTTTATGTAAAATTCAAGTGATTGATTGAAGGGTAGTTGTGACAAGTTGAATTTTGTTTCTTATTTTCTTATTTCTTAAGGTAAGGATAAGGTAGAAAAATTGTAACTCTTTTTTTATTAGAAAATAAATATCAAATACTTTTTGTTACATGAGTTATTATATGGATATCTAATACATGATATCTTGATATAATTTCATACCATATTAATTATAATTATAGATTGCTCAAAATATAATATCACAGTAAAAAAACAGCTTGAATATACAATATATATTTTAATATGAAAAAATAAAAATGCAACATATAATAACATGCACATATATATATATATATATATATATATATATAAACCAAGAAACAACTGCAATTACCAATATGCACATATGCATACAGTTTAGAAGAACGATTAACAGGGTGTTTCACACACACACACACACACACATATATATATATATATATATGTGTGTGTATGTATGTGTGTGTGTAGAAAGAGAGAGAGAGACATTCTTTTGTTAACCAAAAAATTAGTATTAACTTTGTTGACCGGGGCTTTTTGTTTCTTTATATATTAGTGTCGCATTCCTTAAATATCTCATCCATTTAATTACAACATTCCTTAAAATATATGGCTTCTTCACTAAATTATCACATTTTTTAAATATTAAGGAATATTACTTAAAGTTCATTCAATTATTGTTTCACCTATAAAATTTCTAATTTAACCTATGAACTTGTATAAACTTCTTTAATTATCTCATTCATTCTCTAGTTTCACCTATGAACTTTGGTAAAAAAAAATTGGAACAAGCAAAGTTCATAAAGAAAACAAAAATCAATGTTTCACCTATAAAAAAAATCATTGTTTCACTGATGAACTTTAAACAAAAATCATTGTTTCACTAATGAACAATTTAGTTTCACCTACGAACTCTAGAGATGGCCAAAAACCGGTCCCAGGCCCGGTCCTTTGTCGGTTTCGGTCCCGATCCTCCGGCAGTCCCGGGCCGGGCCAGGCCGATTTGGCCCATCTCTAACGAACTTTATTAAACATTTTTTAATATCTCATTCATTTTCTGATTTCACTTGTGAATTTTAGTAAAAGAATTAGAACAATCAAAGTTCATACACGAAAAACATTTTTAACTTTAAATCAAAATTACTATTTTACCTATGAATTTTAAACAAAAATCATTGTTTCATTTATGAACTTTTTAGTTTCACCTATAAATTTTGGTAAAAGAAATGAAACAATCAAAGTTTATAGAGAAACCTAAATCGAAACCATAAATATATCAAACCAATTTTCAAATATAAAACCCACTTACTTTAGAGATAAATGGGGTTATAAACTTTTTTTGATTAACCTGGATATCCAACCCGCTATGCGAGCCGAATAATCCCAAGACGACCACCTGCTTTGCAGATAGCCCAGAGTCACCGCATTTGACCTCCATAGCCAAAAGAGATTTTTATTCCTCCTTGGATTTGAACCTAAGACCTCCTGGTACTTTTGACCTTTGAAGTCAAGCTCAAACTAATCAGACACCACCTTTATAGTTGAGGTTATAAACTTTTTAAAGTTAGATATACCTACAGAATTCAAATATAAATTTTTAACTGTAATACAGATGATGCAATTGCAATGTAAACCAATCACAAAGGACAAACCCATCCCTACCAAGGTTGGAACTTGGAAGAAACCACCACCAACACTAACCCCACCCAAGCACCTCCTAAAATCAACTTATGTATATAGAACCAACATTATTATAATCATTTATTATTAAAAGTAATCTAAGAAGTTGGACATCTAATATAACAAGACAAATAAATCATCTTTATAGCCTTTTCAAAAAAATAAAACCATTTATTCGTTACGTCAGATTGCACAAAAGCTAATAAGATGATTTATCTCTTGTGTCATATTGCACAACTCTTAAGTTCATCCCAACCACTTATTACACCACCATTACATAAAATGTTCAACGACCGTTGAACGTCTCACCAAACCACCCATTTCCAAACCACCCATTTTGTTGTAGTGAATGAACGTTCAATTTACACGCACGAAACTTCCGAGAGTCGGACTGCCATGTAAGCATGAACCCACAACCATTTGGATATGAATGAACGGGGGGCTGTTTGGCAATTGCTGAATGGTTTGGTACAGAATGATTAAGTGGTCAAAATGATTACGAGGTTCTTATGATATAGTGCAAAATGAAATATAATTGTTTGATAATTGTGTACAATGAAATTAGAGCTCTTAATGGTTAAGGGATATCCAGGATACAAAATTATTCAGAAGGTTTTAAAATCATTAAGAGGCAGACTTTTTTTTTGCCAAACAAGATTCACCTCTTAACAATTCAGAGGTTGCCTCTTAATGGAACTATTAAGAGGTAAACAAACATATTTTACCAAGCACAACACATTCCACACAAAATTTCAACAATCTCTAAAGCCTACAATTTTATAATTAAAAACATCTGAATAGGATCCAACAGTCAAATACCACAACTTTTAGACTCATAAACTGGAACAACAGCTACAGTACAAGAAAGGTTGCACAGAATGAGCCATTAAGCAACTCATACCAGGCTTTTCCACAAGCCTATAAACCCCAAAACCTCCAACTTAAAACAAATCTATAACTTCAGATTTTGCAGTTAAATAAGTTTAAGCTTTTTAACTAACCTGATTAATAAACAGGACAACGAGCCATCAACTCACCGTCTCTGCTTCTGCGAAACAAACCGGATTCCTTGTTTGCTAAGGTCAACATTACTGGTCTTTCCGTCATCTAAAGTAACAGAAACAATGGATGTGCCTTCAAAGACTTCAATTATAGTACCCTTGTGCCTGCAAGAACCATCACAGTTTGAGGAATATCTAGGGCTGTAAATGAACTGAGCGAACACAAACGGAGGCTTGTTTGTGTTTGTTCGTTTGACTTAACCGAACAAACAAATGGTAAACGAACAAATTTTTTTGTATTCTTGTTTGTTCATTAAGAAAATGTGGTTGTTCATGTTCGTCTGTTAACATGCGAAACGAACATAAACGAACGGAATTTTTTGTGTTCATATATGTTCGTTAAGATACTAAACAAACTTGGTGAACATAAAAAAATGGACACAAATGAACTGAAAACAACCACCATTACTCATCATTTCCCTCCTCTAAGACAACAAAATGTAAAACCGGGTAAATTTTAGGGGAAACTGAAAAGGAATTCTAAAAAACTTAATTTAATTATAGATTTTATATATTGTCATAATATATAAATATATTTATATATAAACAGACGTAAACGAACATTAATGAACGAACAAGAACATTGTTCATATTCGTTCATTTAACTAAACGAACAAAAAAACAAGTTTATGTTCATCCATTTATTAAATAAATGAACATAAACGAACTTCCCAACGACCGGTTCGGTGAATGTTCGGTTCGTTTACAACCCCAATTAGATCAGGAGTGAGACCACGCCTAACCGAATCCGGACCTTTAATTTTAGGTTTATTAACAATAATAATCGCAATGCTCCCTTCAAGTCACAAAATAGAATACACTTTGCAATTTCTGTTTGTTCCCAGAAAAGGCCCCTATCAAAATTTAGCACTAGCACAAATTTGTGTTTCTACATCACCCATCCTTTCGTAAGGATTGGGCAAGCAGTCATATAAACCAAACGAGCCCAGTATGTCCCACCTAGAGGCGGGGTTGGGGGCAGGGGGTATGCAAACCCGACCTCTATCTTAGATAGTAGAGCGGTTGTTTCCATGAAGACCCCCCGGATTGTGCAAAGTGTGCGAAAAGATAAGAACTTGAAAGAATGGATGAAAGGCGGTACTAAAATTTGAAAACAAGTTAGAAGTAAGCAACAACACACAAACAAACTAAACATACAAATAGAAGTAGGTACAAGAAAACATAACCAGTGTAAGAATAACTACACACCCCTTGTCTGATCTAGGACTCAGACTAACCCTACTCCCATCCTCTATCTCTCCAGATTTCTTCTTCCCGTCTCGTAGTCATTTGTTAAATGCATTTAATCATATGTGAATTTCCAAAAGATACACTATCTTTTAGTATTATCTTTTAGATATGCAAGTAGATTCTTTTTAGAGACAGTGGAGTAAAATAACATAAGTCACAAAATTGCTATTCGTGTTCCTTGTCAGACCGTCCTGCAGGGACATATTTGGACTACAAGATGACATGTAGTTGGCTTTCGTGAACCATTCAACAGCCAGAATTAACTTTCATGCTTCATAATCAAAACAAAAATCTTGCTCACTGGTAGGGTATAAAACAAAATACAAAAATATTACTTACCAGGTATTGTTAGTGCGCTGATGAACTTCCACCTTCTTTCCGATTGCATCTTTTCCCAACTTTTGGATTATCCAATTTGCATCCATGATCTCCATCAAAACTATGTCTTCGTATGAGTGACCAACCCCTTCATCTTCCTTCACAGAAGATGATTTATCCATAAAAGGTGACGGTCTCTTTCTCTTAGATCTTTGTCCCTTGACAGAACTCCTATCATCCTCTCCAGCAGGAGCCCAGGAGGTCTGGTTGTCGGAATATGGGTTTTTGAACTTGAGTCTCAATAAAGGCTTAAGTTCCTTCTCCGAAGAATTTGCAACAGAAGCTGGGCCCTTATTTCCATCATTCAGATCATCAGATGACTTTTGACCTCTTATTGCAAACGCATCACTAGCATCACTCTTCTCTGTGTTTCTTTTACCAAATGAAACGCGTGCTTTCATGGGAGGAAGAGACTGTTGTACATCAGTTAGGTTGGCTCCACCACCAACATTGTAAACATCAGAGTTGTCTGGATTCAACTTTCTGATTTTGATAGTGTTCCCCTCTTTTCCTCTCAATCTCAGTCCTTTCGGTTGATCGGCATAATCTAAATTCTCTCCTGGAAAAAGACAAATGATGATGTTAGAAATAACGAAGACCATTCGTGTGCATAGGTAAATAATGATTAGTGGTGTAAATACCTTTCATGTCGGAGAGTTTAGATGTGTTATCACGCCTCTCCAAATGTTTGTCATTTGCTCTCTGTATAGTCATGTCGTCACTGCCTGTAAGCACAAATGCAGAATATAAGCACAAACATGTGGAGGTTATGTGAACGTTTATTGCAAGCATGAAAGAGACCATCAGAAAAGAAAGAAAAAGTACTTGGAATTGACAACACTAACAAATAGGAACATGTAACTGTCTATTTCTCAATATCTAAACATCAGAACACTAAAAATTAGAATTTGTGGAGTTAAATACTAAAATACTTGGACAAATATTTTGGGACAAAGTTCTGGAAAAAGAAAAACTTTTGCAAGAGAGAATATATGAAAGTACAAATATTGCCATAAGTTGAAGGGACATGACTTTTTATCCTCAAACAAGGGCTTACTTATTGTGATGCAACTTAATAAGCATGAAACTAAACAGAAAACTTTATGAACACAGAGACCAGGCAAATAAGAATGTGAATCTAGTGTATTTAAACCAGACAAAAAATTAGTTTTAAAAAATCAAGCCCTTTGTCGGCTCTATGGTTCTTTCATTCTTGTCTTCTTCAGAAACACCACAATAACGTCATGTTGGGATCACATCCTCATGAAGTTTTAAGTACTTCAGAATTATGTCCACAGCTGAAAGGGTATAGGGTTTATTTCCATCCTATTGCTTTGTATACCATCTAGCATCAAAGTTATGGAGTAGGAAGATCAAAGAGTTAGTGGCCTTTGAAAAATATTAGACTTCCCCATCATTAATAAAATAGTGTGGCTGTAAGAGATTAGAACTTACAGATGTTGGCAATAGCTATGTGGAACTTGAAACAGGAATGGTTCAACCTTCCAGATACTCACCTCTCTGTTTGCATACTTGTGGTAACATAGATGTACAGATTATATTAAAGGCTTTATGGGATTTGGCACCTATATTTTAGGATATGGATATGCACACTACTTCTTAGGTAGATTGTCTATGACTAGCATCTTATATTTTTAATCTCCAAGTTGCATGCATGTGCCCACATCATTCCAAACCAATGATTTTAGGTTGCATCTTGGATATTTAACTTAGTACATCATAGGTTCTGCACATTATTAATACAACCGCCTATAGTGTATACTCGAGTCCAATGTTTTAAAAGACAGAACATAAACAAGGAAAGGGGTTTTCTCTTGGTACCGTGAGGGGTTAATTCTGGAGGCGCATGCCTCAACAATATACAAGAATCATAGAACTTATAACAAACAGCACACAAATCCATATCAAATCAAAAGTAAATGCATATAAAAATCAATCAGAAAATTAACTACACCGAGTGAAATTAAATAAAGGAACTATTCAAAATATCATATATAAAAGGAAACTGATTTACTAAAACAAATATTAGGAGGGGATGTTGGTGAGAGAGAAGCCATGAGGAGAGAGGGAGTGATTGCTGCTGCGAGAAAGCAGGAGGGAGGGAGGAAGATCACGCTGTGAGTGAGAGAGCGAGGGGAGAGGAGCCGTGAGAAAGAGAAGTATTAGGGTTTCATTAGCATTATTATAAGACATTAAATAAAAATCAAGACATTAAATGAAAAGAGGCGTGCGGCTCGACTTCGGCTCATACAAGGCAGCAGAAGTGTCGCCTCACCTCGTCTCGAGGCGCACCTCTCAAACTTTTTTACGCACCACACTCATGTGTCACCAAATAATATGATCTTATTTCAAGGTACATGATATGGTAAGTTGAACTATATTTGACATCTTGCATTGACAAAGATTGTAGATGCAAGATGCTAGAACTAAAGTTGATATCATGTATTTATAGCATGAAGCTCCAAATAGAACAAGCTTCATGTATTTATAGCCGAAGCTCCAAATAAAACAAGCTTCATGTATGTATAGCCTGAAATCCAAATGATTTAGTCTTAGGCATTAGTCAGTTGGATTTAGACGTCCCTTTGATCTACCGGCTAAAGTGAAGCAAAGAGGCAAAGAGGCAAAGTGGATAGCTCAAGCAGCTATTGACCTAAATTCAGCTAGACATCCTATAGTAACAATGAGATGTTGTAGATTGTGGTAACATAACGGCAATGAATCATGTAACATTAATCACGAAAAACATACCCATTAAGGATGGTAAAATTCTTACATTTAAATTTAATGACTAATTAAGCCATCTCATCTACTATAGATTCAGAGCATTTAATATTCCATGATAAGCAATTGACTTGAAAATATAACCAAACAAACCAAGTATGTCCCACCTGATGGTCTGCGGAGGGTAAGATGTACACAAACCCGAACTCTAGCTTAAAGATCTAACCAAAAGATTAAGGCAGTTGTTTCCGTGAAGTGTGACAAAGAGAGAAAGTCAGAAGATAAAGATTTAAAAAGTTGGTTAAGAGAAAACAAAAGTATACAAAAATAGAGGCAGGTATAAGAAAAGCATAACCAATTTAAGGAAACTACACACCCTAGTCTAACTTACCAACTCTATCTCCAACCCTCTACCTCTCCAACTCCTTACCTCATGTCTGCTCTCAGACCCCCACCATTAGTCTGCTACACTAGTCCTACGTCTCCACGAACTCCTATAAGAGGTTATGTCCTCGGAAATGCCTAAAGCTGCCATGTCTAACCTCAGCTGCTCATCCCACGTCCTCCTCGCCACATCGACCATCGCACTTTCTATATCTCTTACTGGAAATGCCATGTCTCCTACGAACGTGACCAAACACCGCAAATGCCCCTCCCTCAACTCATAAGTGATACGCACAACTCCCAACACTATCTGGAAGACCTTGTTTGGTATCCTGTCAAACATGGTTCTACAACAGGTTCATCTAAGCATCCTCGTTTTTGTATCTTCCATCTTCCTCTCACAGACCTTGTCACTCAACACTCCGACCGTACAACATAGTTGGTCTGATGGCTATTTGCCCTTCAGTTTTAGTGGAACCTTGTCACATAACGCCCCTGTGGCACCTCTCCACTTTAGCCACCCCGCCTTGATGCAAATCCACCATATCATTTGCGACATGATTTAGATAATTGTGAACAGAAACAATTTGCAAGAACTTAAAACATAACCCATGGAGAACACATACCATTGGAAGTGATCAATTCTTGCTCTCGATGTAAGTTTGATGCATCAGACCTTGGAGAACTAGCTACATTTTTGTTTCTGGTTCCCAAGTGTATAACGAGCTTCGGTCCCTTGGTGTTCATGGACTTGTCAGCAAGTTTCCCAGATTCGTCGACGGCGTCAGCTCCATGTGACCTGTTACTGTTCATCTGGTCTCTTGAAATTCTTTCTGTCTTCACTGGGACCTCATTAACAAACGTGTTTTTTGGAACCATTGCCTGAGTAGCTGAGCATAACCCATCAGCCAAACTTCCAGCAGCAGGAAACGGAAGCATTTCAAGCTCTCCACTTCTGTAGGATTGCACGTCTTCATCCTTGTTATCGCCCACGATGAATCCAGTAGATTGAGCATCACTATGACCTTCAATCCGTGGTTCGGTTCTACCAAATACAGGTGCATGGAATCCCTTTTTCTTACCATACTTCTTGCTTGCAGATTTTTTCACATATTCCTTGCTCTTCTTGGGGGACTTTTCAACTACCCCTTTGAGAGAAACTTTCAGTGAACGTCCATACTCATTCTTTGATAAAGGTACATTATCGTCGTCATCTGAATAAGGTTGAATAGAAAATATTTCTTCTTGAGTTGGCAACCCAGCAGCAGCCCTCAGACTAGCAGTTAACTCACGGTCGGCTTTATCTCTCCTCCTCCAGAGTTCCTGAACAGCATCTTCATGGTCCCTGACCTGAACAGTTAAAACAGAAACAAAAGGTCGGTTCAGCAATAAATGGATTATTAAGATTCAGTAGAACCTCCATTTACCGATACCTGGTAGCATTCTCCACGGCATGTAGCACATCTATATTGCAGGTTATTATCCACTTGAAATTGCAAATACTTTTCATCACTGAAGAAAACTTTCCACCATTAGAAAAAAAAACATTGCTAAAATCAGGCATGTTACTTTGTTTTTCATCCTTCCTTGTTGATCGTTTCTTTCTCTCTCTCCTCCTACCATCCTCATTTTCAAGGATGCTTAAATATATACGACTTATGAAAGGATTGTTCCAAATGCATTTGCATCATGTTCTAATAATGTGCATATAATCTCATCATTTACAAGTTTTCTATCAACATTTATCTTTGCGTTTGCACTTTTGTACCTTCATATTATTATCAATGCATATGCTTACACTATGTCGACAATGCAATAAAATTTGAATTCTACTGTGACTGAAGCAAGCAGATGCATTGTATTATATAGAAGCTCAATAGACATACCATTCAAAATTTTCAATCAACGTTTTCCAAATACGAACAATCCTACAATTAACCATTTTCCTTTGTAGTCTCTTACACTTGTTATCGAAAAGAAACTTGGTTTTTTTTTTGCAATTTGTGCTGCAACAATTACTTCATAACAAAATAAGAAAGGAAAAGGGGGTCCACATGATACATTAATGCCAAAACTGCCTTTACCTCCTTGACTAACTCATTCATTTCATACATCTGATGAGTTTCTGTCTCCAACTAGAATAGGGGATAAGAGACTTTCATGGATGCATGAAATGTTGCAACAAGTATACACAATACAGGATTATCACAGGTAAGAGCGAACCTAATTCCATCACAGTGACAATGCACCCACCGCTGACAGACATCACAACAAACCATGGGTGTCGATTCAGAGTCTCTATAGACCTGCAATTATTACACCAACCACATAGTCAGCTAATATAGCAGATATGCTGCAACACAGCACAAACAAATCATGAATCTTAGGGGCTGTTTACCAAACGTTTACCAGGTAAGCGCTTAACGAGTATCACTTACCTTACCAGGTACCATGACATGGACCGAGAATCTTACCACATAAGAGGTATAGCAAGGACTGAAAATCTTACCACCATAAGAGGTATAGCAAGGACCAAGAATCTTACCCGATAACCGGTAAGTGCTTACCGAATAAAAGGCGCTTACCAATGATTCATTTTTATGGCCAAAAATGTTACCCGACAAAGTAAGTGAAAGTGGTGACTCTTGTCGGTAAGCGCTACCCAGAAGCATTTGATAAACAGCCCTTTGGACATAGCACCAAGCAGATGAACCCACTATGTTCAAGTGTAAAATCAACATACGCAACATAAAACGCATAATTTAGGTGGCCCAGGAATCTGGAGAGACGATAAATTACCTTCAAACAAACAGGACAATAATTTCCTTTCACAAACAATCTGCCGCAAGCATCACAACAAGTATACCCTAAAAACCACCTGCAAATTGTTGTATAGACAATGAACCAAAAATATGTTCAATCGTCACCTAAACTAAATGAAAGTTTTGTTTTACTTATTTTCAATACTTCTTTATCCACGGATCTGAGGTTCAAAAGTGTTTGTAATTTACCAATTTAAACAAACTATTGGCTTAGAGAGAAGCTAAAAGTGTAATTACTGACATGAATATAATTTTGCAAATATTATATATGATGACATGCAGTGATTCTGTTATTTAGGCGAATCATGGAATGGCAAAGAAAAAGAAAAATTAATCATTGATTCACAACAATATATGAACTGTGGGTGGGTAACAAAAATATCAACATAGAAGCATGATCCTGCAAGGGTGACGGCCATAAGGTTTGTTTGATAAAAGATAAATGAAAAATACTTATTTTTAATGTGTAAATAAACATACCTAACACTCAAACCATTTCCAGGAACTGTAGAAGCACAGCTGTGACACTTTGTATGCTTGGGGCACAAATAAGGTCCACTACTAACATTCTGCACAATTTCAAAATACAAATAACACCATGGTGCCTCTATTATAACGTTCAATGTAAGAATTAAAGGGTTACAATTTACCTTGTGTGGAGGCTGCTGACAGTAACAGTGATACGCACCATCACACCTTTTGCAAAACATAAGCTTGTTTGGGTCACCAGTTCTACGGCACACCTAGGTTGGAAAAAAGTCATTTGATGTCAACAACATGATGAAAAAAGATTGCAAACACAATGATAAACATAGTCTTGCAATAAACATGACCAATAGCGAAGATTGTAGCTAAGAATCCAAAGTAAAACATTATAAGTAGGTGAACCACAGCAAATGTGCATTTAAGATGCAATTATACATAGAAATATATAATGCACAGGCGGAAGCACTATATTTTATTGTAGCTCTTTGCTTGTAAAACTAACAATGATTTCAATAATACTGCCATCATAGCAACCATGGGCACACCTACATGAAGCCAGGACATGCACAAGCATAGCCTGAAAAACTATAGTGTCTTGTGCATAGAAAACAAAAAAATTGGACACACTCTGGTCAAAGATCCTGGATCCAACCTGATAGCAAGTGTGACGAGTAAAGAATGAATAACTTAAACTAGACCAGAAGTAATGAACTATGATAACATTATGGCAAAGGTAAGAGAACATCGTATGTGAGCATTACAGCCAGCTCCCAAATCAGTCAATCATCAAACTACTGATGCAGAAAGTAAGTATAATACCAATTGGACTAAAAGTATTACCGAAGGGACTGCAAAACTATGACATGCCTATTTCAATTCTTGTAACTTATGATAATATGACCCCACTTTTACATGAGATAAGGATCAAACGTAATCACCTATCCCTCTCGGATATAAGTCTAATACTAATTGGACTAAAAGTATTACCGAAGGGACTGCAAAACTATGGCATGCCTATTTCTATTCTTATAACTTATGATAATATGACCCCACTTTTACAAGAGATGAGGATCAAACGTAATAACCTATCCCTCTCGGATATATCATTTGCATTTTTGTTTCCTTTTGTGTTGTTCCCTCCCTATCAGGATGAGAAAGGAAAAAAACCAAGGAAGTTCTTACTTTCAGATAGTACAATTAATTAATATGATATAAAGATGTAGAAACTTCTGAGGAAAAGAAAACACATATATAAACATGGTAGATTTTTTTTTAAAAACGTTCCAACCAAGTAGAGGGAAAAATGATACAGAAATGGCAAAGAGAAAAAGAAAAAGAGACAAACAACCCAAAAAGATCTCGCTGGCGCTTCCTCCATATCCTAATTGCTCAATGAAATGCATACACATATGTTTAAAAGTTAGTTTTTACTGAAAATGATAACGAACAACCAATCTACCCAATCTTTACTTTGGAATGTAGTCAAGAGGTCTTGAGATCAAATTAACACCCAACATAACTCTTTCTAACTATCGCCGAGCTATTGGTAATCGATAACGGAAACACTCACAAGGTTCTTGTAAGGCGACACCCAAGGTCAATGATAAGGCTCACTAATGTTTTCAAACAACTTTCAGAGTAAGTGTCAACAACTGTAAACACAGATTATGGAGCTTGAAACAACAATTCCTCACTATAAACACAGATTCTGGAGCTGTACACAACAATTTCAAACAACTTCCAGAGCAAGTGTCAACAACAATTTCTCATATTAGAGTCTCAAACTTCATTCGTCCCTGTGTCTTTAGATGTGCAGCTTATATTCACAGCATTTATCCATTTCATGGAAAACTAGATTCTGGAGCTGTAAATGTAATTTTTAGATGCATACACAAAAGAGGTCTAAGTGTTCTTGTCCATCCTTTAAAAGGTTGTTTGTTTCCTATGATATCACCACCTTTGAGATATAGAGTTTTGAGTTTTGATCCTGCTTCATCTATTCATGAAAAGACTCCTAGTGAAAAGTCATTGAGATCCATCAATAACTCTTCCTATGTCTTTGCCCAAGCTACTATAATTACAATATCTCAAACACATGAGAAAGAGTTGGTCTCAATGACAAATCAAGGGTAAGTACCACAACCATAAACCACTACACCCATATGTATATATCCCAAAAGGTTGCATCCTCATTACCAATCATCAACACTATAATAACCTATTCGTTCCCAAAGTAGTAGTTCAATTAACGATACTAATTTACCGATTACTACAAAAATGGAGTCAAAACATGTACATACTCTCATTGTCTAGACCCATACCTCTCCACTGGGTAAAGAAGTAATTCCTACAAGAACTCACGAGGCTCTATGCGATCTGAAGCGAAAGAATGTAGTTACGAAGAAAAAATAGATGACCTTTTATGAAAAAGAGACATTGTCAAGATTCCCAAAGATAAAAAGGCGATTTGGGAGTAAATGGATATTCTCAATTAAGATAGGTGTTTATGGGGAGGTTGAGAGTATAAAGACAGATCGGTTATGTAGGATTACACTCAAACTTATAGAATGGACTATGAACAAGCGTTGGTAATAGTCACAAAACAAAATCCAATTCGAGATTTACACTTGTAGCAAATCTAGATTGGGGCCTTCATCAGTTGGACGTAAAGAATGCATTCCATAATGGAAGATTACAAAAAGATAACCTCCCTCCAAGTTTAAAAAGAAAAGAGAGCCTGGTAAAACATGCAAGTGAAGAAGTATGTGTATGGGCTAAAACAGTAACCTTCCACATGGTTAAATCAACTGAGTATCATGACGAGACAATTCAAAATGTACGCAAAGGCCAGCTAATCATAGTGTATTTGTCTTACATTCTACTGATGGTGAAATATCATTTTTCATAGTGTACGTCAATGATATGATCATCATTAGAAATGATAGTCAAAAGATTAAAAAGTTGAAAACTATAGCCTGAGTTTAAGTATGGTATTTTCTTGGCATGAAGGTTACTAGAAGTAAGCAAGGAATCTACATCTCTCAATGAAAGTACACCCTATACCTTATAAAAGGGGCCAAAAAATAGAGTATTTAGCTAGCTGACCTTCTATGGAAGTGAGTTACAAACTAATCTCGTATTGTTTTACAAGGTTTACAGAGGCCAGGTCTTTAACACCAGAGGGGTGGCTTTGAAGGTTATTGAGTAAAATATAATAAAAAACTTAAAAGGCCACGCTCCTAATTAAAATCTCATTTAAGGTCAGTTAGCTAAATAACCCCTGAAATACTTGGGTTTAAACTTGCAAGCACTCCCTTGAAAGAAACAGAGATCCAGAATAACTAAGAAGTAAGTACAATCCTTTAGTTGACTATAAGAGATACCAACGATTTGTAGTACACATCCAGATATTGCATGTAGTGTATTGTGAGCCGATTCATGCACTCACCCACAACAAACACCTTGAAAATGTTCAACAGTCTCTTCAATATTTGAAAGACATGCCAAGAAAAAGATTACTCTCTAAAAAAACATCATTGATATTAAAAGGTTTGTAGATGATTTGGACTCCACCAAAGAATGTTGTACCAAAGCCTTGCTAAGATCAATTTTGAGTGTAATGTAACCAAGTTGGGAACATGCTTTATACATTCACCAAGTTGAGAGGAAGCATTGAAAAACAAAATAGGATTTTTTTTCTATTTATACACATAGATATACATCCATGCATATGTGTATATCCATATAAATATACATCCATGCATGTGTATATCCACATATATATGTGTGTGTGTGCTCGGTAATTTGTTCACTAGTGGAATACTTGAAGGATTCTTCTAGTCATGAACATGAACAATAGTTGCTCATAGCAAGTCTTGATCGGATTATCTCACATATAACCCCTCAATTTACAGTACAATGGTCGCATCCTAATCTTCTCTTTTAACCAGCAACATCACATTGTGACTTAGCTTTTGCACCTTGTGTATTACAGTGCCATGTGGTTTAATGTCTAAGTATCTAATAATGGCAACTGCCATATGCATAACAGTAGGAGCTGTGCTAATGTGTACGAGGGTATAGAACATTAGCATTAAATGATGATCAACAGTCTAAGCAAATTTTAAATCTAGTTAGCTGAAGTCACATCAAGCTTCTGTGAGTCCCTAAGGAAGAATAAAGGAAATAAAATATGATGCTATAAATGATTATGGCAATATATCCCAAATATGTGGTAGGTAGCAATGTAGCATAAATACTTGTTAAATAGCTAAGATTAGTGTCATCGCAATACCTCACAACTCCGACATGAAGGGCAGGTCCAAGAACTCCAGTGAAACAGATCTGAATTAAAACCCTCAGTTATCGAGCACCCAATTCAAGCATTATGAACATTTTAGCAACATCAAATAATACCTCTATTCTGAGCCCAAGACTTCACACAGCTCCTGTGATATTTCTTGCTACAGCTTTTGCATGATAGCATCTTTCTGGCTCGATCACTTCCTTCATTTTCACCAGAGAAGCAGAGGCGGCACATCACTTTGGCATTCGAGAGGCCTTGCTCATCTCCAGAAAGATCTTTAGTGAATCCCTACATAAAACATATGGATGAATCAGTTAGCAATAAATGAGAGCATAAACATGCACAGCAAGAAAACTGTTGTAGCAGATGCACAGAACCAATAAAAGGATGATGGATTAAACCATCTTATTCATGAAGCTAAAAAAAACTAAAATTACAGTTCAATAACATTTCCGAACCTTTATTCGGTACAGCATCACAAAGACTGAAATCTATGGAACATTAAAAAAGAAACAAAAATAACGCTCATTTAGGCAAATAATCATCACATATGCATATTTGAAGCCTTTTTGGATACAACTTTACTGGTCCATAAACATATTTTAGGAATTATTTGATGTCTCCCCACAAGCATTATAACAGACATGAGGGAGAAGGTGTGAAATACTCCACTTTCATTAAAAAAAACATGATGGAGGATGACTGGCATGCCTCTACCACATGGAGTAGCATGATATCACAGAATTTATGACTATAGTTATACCTTTAAACAGAAAATCTAGTCTGGCCAATTGGTTAAAGAGGCAGATTTAGACTTTCCACTCTGCTCACACAAGTTCAGTCTCTTCCTAGAACATAATTATTTTCCTACCTTCTTTTAGTATTCTATCCTTTTACTTTCCAGCTTGTGTGCTCTTTAAGAAAGTTTCACACTTGTAGTAATACCTCTTGTGCAAATTTCATGATTCCAATTTCCATGTCACCCTTCTTATCTTTCATTTTTTATTTCTCTTCATGTTTCCATATAAGGTTAATGACACAATTACTTTCCACAAGAGGTTTATAACACCATTGAAAATGACGTAAATGGATGCCTCTTAACTATTTTAAGTCCCCTTGTTTTTGCTGCCCATGTTCAACAAGAATCATATTTGACTTTCAGTGTCAAAAGATTTTACTTATTTACAGCTTGATAACAATTGATTAAGTAAAGAAAAAGAACTGTTGGCCATATGATCCAAATCTTGGAGCTAAGAAACTTCAAGTAACTATGTTAATTTTAGAAATGTTGACTTCTATGTATCTCTATAACTTATCCATCAAAAAATCTGCCTTTTGTTATAAACTCCTATTTATGGCACTTCAGTACCATGTCAATGTTAGAATCCTATGTTTCAAATTGTTGAACTATTCATTATATATTATTAATTGTTGACGATGACTTCTTATGTTTCAAAGTCAGCAATGTATACTTAGATATCTTTGCATGTTTAGCATATATTTTGTAACTTCTCATACTAATATTTTATGTCATTTGTTATAGACTCCTATTTATGACACTTCAGTACCATGTTAATGCTAGAATCCTTTGCAATTCATTTTTAATAGGATGATACCAACTTGACCTTAGCATAATCACTCACCCACCACTGAAATTCAATGATGCCATGTCAAGCTTAACTTAGATTGCAAAAATTTAAGGAAAACAAATAATGCTTCAGCGTTGAATAATGTCAGAGATTCAATTATTCATGTGTGAAAATCGAAGGAACTCCAAACCACGAAACTTCAAGAATACATAAACATAGTGGCCTCAACAACCATTCCAACATTGTAAGTTCATATATAGCGTAGTGTCAAGAAAGAAAGAGTCATGAATGTGGAAATCCGAAGCCTTAGTAAAATGCCTTCAACAAACATCAAACCACTTGCACACAATTAAAGCATGCACGCTTGCATATGATGTATGTGTTTGATTATCATTTACGAAACTTTATCTTTTACCAAAATCTTGATCTCCAAACAATAGACACTAAAATCCCAAGTGGTTTTCTCATGTGCATGAGCATGGAATGTTTTAATTTTCACAAAGATAACTGTCAAGGTGTTTTATCTTTTCTTCCCTCCCTCGTATAGGAGACTTGCTTTTTGTGGTGGTGTGTTGATATCAAACGTGATAAAATACAGGGCCGGCTAGAAAAAAAAAAACAATGGAATTAAAACATATAATGTGTATCCTGATGGAGACATGAGAGCCACAATCATTGACATAATCAAAACATGTCACTAGTACATATTTGTGAACACTAAAATACCTAAACTTAATACCTACTTACGCCTTGTGCGTAGGGTGTAACTGAGCAAAAAAAATAGCATCCCAAGCAAGGTGAGACCCTCAACCCCTCTGACATTGCACCTCAAGTTTAAGTGTGCTTCTAAGAGCTATGTTTTAATTAACCTTAATAGTTATTATAACAACCAACTTAACTTGGTATGGTGGAGTATGTCACCAACCATAATAACTATGCTAGTACATACAGTGCGAAAAACCACAGTACATTTGTTTTAGAATGATTTGATTAATCTTTAACTAGTATATTCGATGCCAAAAAACAACAAAACAACAACTAAATTAAAAAAGGTTTAGTTTCACACAATCGACCCAACAAAAGGAACCAACAATAATAGATAAACAAGAGCGACCATAACTTATGTAACAAAACCGTTAACAAGTTTAGCATAAATAAAAAAAAAGGTAAAAAAGTAGATAAGTAAATAAGACCACATCCATTGCAATAATATACATCAACTATTAGTGGGTTGTTGTATGCATCTTTCCTCTTATTCAATATTCGTCAGGATCATAGTGTTCATCGTCATCACCAGCATATAGGATTGTTAAAAGGACTTCTATTTCTATGTTGGATTGTCAAATGGTCAACTAAGAATCGCATGCATAATTGGTGAAAAAAGACAGGTGACTGGGTGAATAGTGTAGAGTCACTGACAAAACAGAGTGGAAGAGACCGTATGTTGACAGGCTGTATTTTAATTGGCTGATAGAAGCAATTAGGTCTTGTTTTTTAATTTACCTTCACTTTGTTGATACATTGCATTAATGGACAAAAATCATGTTGAATTTAATTGAATGGATCGAATCAAGAATATTCATTTCATGAATTCTAATCCAAAAACTGAACCACAGCGTAGATTTAAATCAAGTTCTTCTAAGATATTTGTATAGCATCTACGAATAGAGAACACATTAAGTAAGCATTAAAGTGATACATAAATACCATGTTCCATCTATACCAACATATATGACAAGAATGTAACCCCTTATAGCTTCAATTAAAACAAACATAAATAAGTATTTGATCAATAAACCCTACAAGAAGATCCGTTCATGTGGTTACAAATTACAATGGCCCCACTTTTGCCTCGACACCCATGACACACCAAATTCTGTGATTTGCCAGAAAGCCTTGATAGCTACGACTAATATACTTCAATTCTAAATCCGATTCTTATGGGTTACCGAAAAGTAAATATAAATTTATTTTCATATAGTAATAAAATAACAATTTCTACATGCTAGTCTCTTTATTTGTATTAATGACCTTGTTCACCCAATCATGGGTTCATCGTAACTTTTTACAGTACAAATCATGACATATCATCAGCATTTATTTAGATAAATATCGGGTGTGCTTTTGGACCAGGCTTGCCATATCTTAGACACAAACTGCATAAAACGCTTTAAAAGTTAAAATGTAACATCATAAAAAAGAGCCTGCCCCCAACAAATTAAGTAATGGAAAGAATACTGCAGTAATGCCTAACTATAATACATTTGCACTACTGGATGCAGCAACTAAAAGAACTTTAAATTTCAAAGAAGCAATATTCTAAAGGCTGACACAAAAACACCCAGAAAGTTCAGACCTTAAAGAGCTATAAACTTGAAACATCCTGCATAATGCAAATTACGTGTCATCAAACTAAAAGGAAAAAATATATAAATCCAGCAACACTGTCAACAGAATTATATGCCAAATTATCCAAGATAATCCTATACGAAAGTCAGAGACTTTATATTTTGTAATTAACAGTACCTGAGAATACTGAGATGCAATTTCATTCTACTTAAACCCTCACCTCTTTTATAGGTAAATGGCAAGTACTATCACCCAAATTAATTCAGCATTCAGAAATAGTCTGGGCATATGCAGTAACGCAGAGAAACAATTTAATCAATCTTAATTCCGATATTCCATTTGTACAATCTATCGTTTTCCAGTATCTGAACAAACTTTACCCTGCCACTAACTTATACTTGCTACAGTTCCAATTCAATGTACAATTTTTTTGCCATGTATAGTGAACCCTAACTTGGTAGTTATAACACCTAAACACAGGTTTCACATAATCCTTTGTGTTAAAGCCGGCATCTATCTGAAATTTACGGACAAGCTATGAACTTTTCATTTGAAGGCCCTTCTTCTACAGTACTATATTACTCCAGTCAAGGCTTAAAAAAAATACTATAAACTGCCTATCAGGAAATATGTCTTAAGAATTTCCATCTTGTGAATTTCTTATGTACTAGAGCGTTCACACAAACACAATCGCTACACCTCATTAATAAAGATGTCTACTTAAAAGAGGTGTCGCAGTTTCGTAACCTGCTTGTGTTAAAATTTAAAAAAAAAATACCATCATCAAATTAAGACGACCGCTTTTCTGTCACTCAATTCAACCACATTTTACAAGAAACACTCGCAACAAACATATCATCCAACACCTATCACCAGACTCAAAAAAGTCAAAACAGAACTTACCACAGCCATATCCCCAGATTCAAATCTACGAGCATAATCCTCCGCCGCCACGGACGCAGCAGCAGCCTTCCTCTGCATCGCCGCACGCTTGTTCTGCGACGACAACAGCTCCTCCGCCGCATCTCCACCTCCATCAACAACCGCACCAACATTAGGAGTCACGATCGCCGGGATCGGAGTAGGAGGAGGAGGCGGAATAACCACCTTCGGTACAAGAACCTGAACCGTTTTCGGTTTGCCATTAATCAGCAAGGGATTCTTGAAAATCGCCTCAACCCTAGCCGCTGCTTCCAAGAAGTCATTCGTCCCCTTGTCGGTCCGCAGCTCCGACGGAAAACCTAGCTTACAGTAACAAATTCGGCGACTACAATCCAAGGAAAGGAGAGAAATTTAGAGTGAGAAAGTAAGCAGAGAGTGAAGAGGGAAGGAGAGAGAGAGAGAGTACCATGTAATTGGACATGCGACATGAAAGGCCATCATATACGAAATTGGGGCTTTTTTGGTGAGATTTTTTGAGGTTTAAAGGTTTTAGGGCAATTTGATTTGATTTTTAAAAAATATATATATTTATGTTCTCAAATTAAAATTGGAAGAGAGAGGGAGGATGTACATGGTAACATGGGTTAATTTATGATGAATAGGATAGAGAAGAAGATGATTAATACGACGCCGTTCTCTGGTTCTTAGATGATCCTTCTTAATACCAACCTTGGGGGTCATGTGGATCTATTAGAACTTCTTTTAGGCAAATGAGATATTAGAAAATAAATATATATAAATAAATAAATAAAATTTGGAAAAGCCTTTTGAAATCTTAAAAAAATTCTTGAAACATCGGAATCTGGTTAAAAATACGTTGGACGACTTTATTTACTTTTGATCTATCTTAAAGATACAGTTGTTCAGCAAAAATCATGTGATCAGTTTAATTCGACTATTTTGGTCTAGAAAATGTAATCTAACTTTATAGCTCAACTTGATCCATTACATTTTTTTTATTCATTTTGGTTTTGTTTGGTTGGAGTGGACATATGTTTACATAAATTACTAGAAGGGTACTCGCACTATGCAGCGAGATACATCTCAATTTTAGTGTTTCGTTTTTTTTGTCTTAGTTGATGTTATAATACAGTTTTATGTGGTTTTGAGAAAACAATAATGTTTTTATTTTTGAATAAAATATAAATATGAATAAATCATAAAAAATAAAATAAAAATATTGATATTATTACCAGATTAACTATTTAAAATTTATCGGGTTTTTTTTCTTTAATTCATTTTTTTATTTTTTATTTAATAATATAATTTTTTAATAAAAATAATAATTAAGTATTTTGTTAGAAGTCAATGATTATCCTAATTATATTTTAGTTTTTTATATTTAGAATAAAATGTTTATCCTCAATCTGAATTTAGTTATACGGATTCAAACATGAAGATTTAATAAGTTGTAGTTATGCACAATTTACTTATAGTCTTGAATTTTTAAGTAATATGCATCAATAAACAGTACTTCATGCATAAAAAATGGTTTTTAAAAGATTGGGTCAAATGCTTTATAATATAGTATAGATAGTTTTTAAACTAAAAATAATTAAAGTGTTAATGGTTGATACATTAAAAAAAACGCCACATATTCTAAATTTATGTCACCGTTGTAAGATATTTCTAACCTTGTTGAACGCCACTTGTACATAAATTCAAATATGAGCTAAATATTTGTTAAGAAAACTCATATAGACACGGTTTATCATTCTCATATATATATATATATATATATATATATATATATATATATATATATATATAGCATGGAGAAAATACAAAAAATTGTGTTAATGTGATGTTTTTTGTTGATACTACAATATTGTTTTCATGTGTTTTTTTTCTATAAAGGTATGATCTGAGTTTTTTATTTATTTATTCTTATATATAATTTGGTTATGGATTTTATAAATGAAAACAATATGTGCTGATAATTCTAGGCTAAAAGGTGAAAATTAGATGAAGCAACTTGTTGTCGTATCGAACATCATCCATATTAACAGTTGTCAAAAGTAAAAGATCTGGTTTTTTGATGATATCATTAAGAGATATGTCATTGATATTTAAGATTTGAGCATACGAATAGATTTATATTGAGAAAAAATGGGCATATGATTACATGTTTCCAAGTCAAGTGTTAAAATAGGACTTTTCATTCAATGGGTAAAGTCGAAATGCTATGGAAATTATTTTTGGACTGATGGTTTTAGGATATTTATAACCCTTTTATTGGTGTTTCCGAGTGTAGAATGTTGGTGATTTTAGTGTCACCAAGTCATTCAAGTGTAATTGGAAGTAACATCGAGTTCTAGGGGGTTTTATATTGTGTTTTAATAAAAGTTAGGAGGTGCAAAGTACACACTTGTTATAAGACGAGTATGACCATGGGGGGGAGTTAAGGGATTGCACCCCTTGCATTGTAGTGGAAAATTGATCATACGGACCACAGGGGCTTTGGTCAACCTTGTCTCTGGTTGTTAAGAATGGCATTGAGTCTAGTTGTTAAGGACCAGAGGCTCTGGTTCCTTGCCTCTGGTTGGTAAGACCACAGGGGCTCTGGTTGGTTTTGTCTCTAGCTTCATGTATGGAACGATTATAATAGTTTTGTAATTGTCCACTACCATTAATGAGCAGTTTTTGTAACTGTCCACTATTTTAATGTGCAGTTTTATAACTGTCCACTACTCCTAAATTGAGTCATAATTATCTTTTCGGTTAATTTTCATGAGCACAAATAACTTTTATGCTTATGTTTTAGGGACGGGTTTTTTGAACAATCCTAATATACTATCCACTAAGTTTGCTCTCACTTTTGTGCCTAAAAGCGAAAGTCCTCTCTTGAGTCTAATCTCATATTGAATTTCATGTAACTCAGATATAGGGTCCAAAATATCAATTCGAAAAGTGATCCCTTACACGATTTTCAAGTAATCCGGTTCTTGATCGACCAATCCTTTTCAGTTCTACACTTTTCCCTAACATAAAACGTAATAGAAGAAGTAATGGAAAGGCGAAGTGTAATGTAGAAGTCGAGAGTAAAATAGTTGTAATTGTAACTTTATTTTTATTCATTTAAATTATTCATGTCGTTCTTTAATTTATCGTGTTACTTTTACTTCCAACTCTCTTGTCTTATGTTTCATCTATCTCCAAGTTTGTAAAAATACACTAAAAAACTTACAATAGGGTGTAATCAGTCAGTGCTGGAATCATATGGTTGGGCCACATTTTGGAGTATCAAAATACGTTCGAAACCGAATAATTCATTTGAACCAAAATGGTTTCAAGTTATCGGTTTTTTACTTAAACAGTTCGGTTAATTGAATAAATGTAACTTATTAGCAAACAGACAAATCAATAGCAAATCCTAAATCAAAATAACATATTCAAGAGCCCTAAAAAAAAAAAAACAATTAGCAAATAGAAAACTAATAATTAACAAATAACAATAAATGATATCTAAATTATACTATATTATAAAACATTTGACATAAACTCTTAAAAATAAATTTTTATACATAAACTATTGTTTATTGATGAATGTTACTTAAAATTCAAGATTACAAGTAGAATGTGCATGAGTACATCTTATTAAAGCTCCATGTTTGAATTCGTGTAACTAACTGCAGATAAACATAATCAAATACATGATAAACATTATTTTAAATATAAAAAATCTAAAATATAATTAAGAGAATCATTGWGTTMTAAYAGAATACTTAATTATTATCTTAAATAATTATTTTATTAAATCAAAAATAAATTAGTTTCTTATTAAACATCAATTAAATTTATATTGTATTATAAAACATTTGATAAAAACTCTTAAAAATCATTTTTTATGCATGAAGTACTGTTTATTGATGCATTTTACTTAAAGTTCAAGATTACAAGTAAATTGTGCATAAGTACAACTTATTAAAACTTTATGTTTGAATTCGTATAACTAACTGCGGATAAACATAATCAAATAGAGAATAAATATATTCATTTTAAAATATAAAAAATCTAAAATATAATTAGGATAATTATTGAGTTATAACAGAATACTTAATTATTATATTTATAAAAAATATATTATTAAACGTAAATTAAGTTACTTCGTTACATAAAATGAAATTATAATAAAAAATTTGAATTAAAAAAAATACACAAACAATAACTTTTAAATAATTAATTTGATACTAATATTGGTATATTTTTTGCAAATTTTATATGATATTTTCAAATTTATATGTTATATAAAAATAAAAACATTATCGTTTTCTCAAAACCACTTAAAATCGTATTATATCGACATAGATAAAAAAATACAAATAAAAACATTGAAATCTAAATGTGTCTCGTGCAAATATGTCTCGATGCATTGCACAAGTACCTTTCTAGTATAATAAAATGCAAAAAAACAATTGGAAGAAAAACAAAAACAGTGTTTATCAAATCAACAACATTATATCAAACAAAATCAGAGAAACCAAATTATTTTAAACGGGTTGAGACTTCGAAAGTTGGGACCCGTTCGAGTTTAATAGATGGTATTACAGGAATTTCAACTTAATTAGGGTTGCGTCACTTAGATGTGGGGGACGTTCTTCTGATTGTTGATGGCCTTTTATAATTTACGACAAAATTTTAGAACCACGTGTAATGGATTTGTTTTTGGGGGGGAGGGGGGGGGTTGACCCCTACCACTATGCTTTACATCCGCCAATGGATGTAATGGCAATTAAAACAGAACCTACTGCAATGTAAAGATGGAGACTGCTACATGATGTTGACTCTCTCCAACCTACACATTTACGGTTCATATCAATGACAATAACAATTTTCAATAAGTTGATTACTTATTTAAGTGACGGAGTATGTTGGACGTATTAATACGATAACAATGACGTATCAACTTGAATGATATAAAACGTATCACTGGAAACGTTACCAAGAATCAAATGAATTTGCCTTCAATTCATTTGCCTCGAAAAGTAGTATAATGTACCATGTCTAGATTTTAGTTTCGCAGAGAAATACGAGAACATGTTCATGGATAAATGTCGCTCCCAAACTTGGAAAAATGCCTGTATAAGCATTAGGGGTGAGCATAGGCGGGTACCCGCCTTTTTTGACAGGAACCGGAACCGGTTAGAACGGTTCTTAATTTTTGGACGGTTCTGGTTCCGGGTACCCGCTTCCTAAAATATTAAAATTTTGTTATTTAGAAATAAAAAATAAAACATTGCCAAAACAATAAATAAGTAGGCAATAATACAAACTATACAGAATAATGGTTACAAATATTGTTTAACGATTACAAACCATAATAGACTAATATAAAATGTTCAAAGTTTAACGATTACATAATATAATGGTAAATGTTCAAAGTTTAACGATTACATACTATGAATTCAAGTGAACACACAATTTGAAAAAATACGAATCATTTTATATGAAGAATTTAGATGAAGAATGAAAATGACGACGTGTTATCAAGATGTAAACCTAATATAAATTTGGTATTAAAAAAATAATTATTATTTTTTTGAAAAATACCGGGTACCCAGCGGGTAACGGTTCCGAAAAATTGATAACCGAAACCCAAACCATTCTCAATCAGTTCCGTATTTTAGGAACTGGAACCACTCATATCGGTTCCGAAACCGGCGGTTCCGGTTTCGTAGCCGGATACCCGGTTCCGCTGCTCACCCCTATATAAGCTGACTCCTAGATGTAAATTATTGTTATAACAACTTTATGTTGGAGCATCATTTGCTTAATTATTTGTTGCGCTCTCAACAAACCCTTGTACTTTGGTTGTTTCTTACTTTATGTCTTAAAATCAAAATTACACGTTTTAAGTTTTATCTTAAATTTTGTTATCTGATTGTAGCTTTTCGCTTTGATTTGCTTTGCAACTTTGAAAACATGTGCACGTGGAATACAATACTTTGTATATCATTGTTTTATTATTTGATAAAGGCGATACTATTGACACATGCAAATTTGCATGGGTTACCACTAAACTCTTATAGTTATATACTGTTAGCAGATCACATTGTATATCAGGCTTAGGCTTAGTTTATTAGCCCGTATAGCGTTTGGCCCATGGCTCATCTGTTGTATATTTAAATGATTGTATTTTGTTTAATCAATCAAGAAAATTATTCTCCCTAATCTCTAATATGGTATCAGAGCAAAATTATGATCCCTTCCTAATTCCTCTCAATCTCCTCCCTTCTTTCTCTCTTTCGACGATCTAGGGCCGGCCACGCCTCCCATCGCCGCCTTCTCTTCCTCCTCAATCGTTTTTGTCTTCCTTCAAACAAAATACAATCATTTAAATATACAACAGATGGGCCATGGGTCAAATGCTATACGGGCTAATAAACTAAGCCTAATATACAATGTAAACTGCTAACATAGACAATATCTCGTTGATAAGCTGCATTAAGATATCATATATAACAGGGGTAATGTATATAGTCCCCCTTGATGAGATAAAAAATGGTTTTCAGATAACATGCAAATGTATCATGATTCGATTGTTTGGAATAAATTATGAAGACAAATGAAATTATTTAAGAGAAATAATCGTACATTGGGAACCATGTAGTGAATAACTCGATTAGGGAAAATTAGAGGGTGTCACTTTAATAATGGAACCAAGCTATGTTATATTTTCACTGAAATAACATCGTTAAACCTTTTGCTAAAAACGGGAAGGCTATTATATCATAGCTACGAGGATTAGATCGGGACAACAGAGCAAGAATATGAATCAATAATGCATATAACTTTCAAAGGATCAAAGCTGTAGGTCACCTATTACATCAAAGATGCTTTCTTCTGTTTGGTTTTCGTACCTTGTATTTATTATCTGCTTTGGCCTTTGTGGGTTCGTTCCATCTGTGTTAACAAAAAACCCATCTTTTCTTTTCACATATTTTTTTATTTTGTATAAAATAACATTATAATACTAAGTCATGAATATGTGTTTTGTGATGCTATCTGTTAGAACTACAAAAATTACGATAAAAGATGAAAAACAAGAAATCAAGATCAATATAGTAAATCGTAAACAATCATATGGGCTAAAAAGTATACAATTTAGTCACTTCCAAACCTTTTTTTTTCCACAAAATTGTCAAGAAACTGCAAGTGACATTTTTCTTGTCATGTGCAAGTCGCGACATGTCTTTGCGGTGCCACAAGTTGTGGCATGTTCTTGCACTGCCGCAAGTTGCGACTTTCACTTGTTGTTTGTGCATCGACGCATGGCCTTGCAATGCCACAAATTGCGGTGTCTCAATTTTTTTTTGCGGTAGGACCGCTTTTCATTTGGATGCATACGAAAATGTCGAAATCGTAAAGAAAAGTGCACTGCAACGTTGACCTACGCTTTCTTTTTTATTTTGTGAATAAACAAATTGGAGGTGGCTCAATAGTATAACTTTTTCCCCAAATGGTTATTTATGAAATAACCCAATAAATTGTTGTTTCCTCAATCTCGAGCTAAATGCGAGGTTTGTTTTTGTCGTTGAAATATCTTCAAATACCCATATCATTTTTTAATTGTAATTCAAAGAAAATAAGAAATACATAAATTCTGAAACATCTCATAAGACTCTTACATGCGTCTTAAGGGTTCATTGATAGATAGCTCAACCGTACATGGTTGTGTATGTAGAGCTTAATGATTAAGCCACAAATCGATTTGGCTTAATTTAGTCAACGTTCCCCGTTGTTTAACCGATTCAATAATTTTATTCCTCAAATACAACTTGCCCTAAAAACTTCCTACAACGAAGAGAACGCCCACTCTCTCATGTTTCCCCCCCCTACTCTCTCTCTCTCTCGTCATTATCAAGTTCTCCTTTTACCATCCAAGTCACCCATGAACCTTCATTAAAACACAGTGTTTGATGGCTTGGCGTGACTTGCAACTAAAGTTCATGAAACTGTGTGTACGAGATCAAGACTAGAGACCTCAGTAGCAATATATTGATATAACTGAATTTGGGTAGTAAATTTCGTGAACAATAGATCGTGTTTGTGATACCATTATATGATTTAAGTTTTGTTTATATCTATACTCAAATGTTGAAAACCGAGCTTAAAGTTTATTATATGATATAATAAACACTTCCGTGAACATGTAACAGTCTAAATTTATACGGACATATTTTATCACTTTTTTTTGCCTCTAGCTTGTAGCTTAGTTGATAAAAGGATGAGACAACTTTGTCCACAGTTTCGAGTTTGATTCATGCGTCCTGTTAGTCTTAACCGCTATGAGCTAAAAATGCTCTGTATATTGATGTCATTGGAGATGGGTTCCATGTAAGATCGATTGGAGTTTCCGATAATTAAACCGTAAATAAAATATGTATTTAAAATTAAATATTTAAAAATAATAATTATTAAAAAAATATTATAAAACCCAAAACGAGGGAAAGGTGGGAGACTTACGGAAATTTGGAACTTGGGAATATTTTTATTAATAATAATTTAATATTTTAATTATATTTGTGTTACTGGTGGTGATTGGAAATCAATGGTGACGTGGGAGAGCGTGACCATTGTCGTTTCAACTTTCAAACTTCTCGTTGACTAAAAATTTCCTAGCTAACATGCGCCGGGGAAAGCGCATTACACCCACTCTCTGCCAAAGGTCTAACTATGCGCTCTGCGCACCTTGCGTATCCAAGTCTCTCTCCTCTTTTATCTTTGTTTTCCATTAGTTAAAGCTACGTTGACTGAGATAATACCTTCTCTCTCTCTTTGTTTTCTCTCTCTTTGTCAAAAAGCTAGAAATTTCAACCATTTCTGTCGCCGGTAGGTATCGCAGCTTCGACTCTCACCGACGTTGTTCTCCGGTGATATATCCGACTGATGCTCTTCTTTTATTGTACTGAATATGTGCTGTTCGACTATCCATTTCCTTGTACCTATTTTCTAACTTAGGGTTTTGAAAGGGAACAAGAAGAAAACGTAAACTATGGTTTTTTTGGTTATTTGGTTTTGCTTGTAAAAATTTACTTGTTTATGCAGCTGGATTAGTTATTTTAGATGTTATATTTAGATCTGTAGGTAGACACTGTTGTTGTAACGGGATTAATTTTATCAGCTAAAATCTAGGGTTTCCGAAAGTGCGGTTTGGTAATCTGCAAGCATTTGAAGAAAGCTCCGAAGTTATGATGTTTGTTATGCTTTCTGTAGATGTAGTGGTTAACTGTGTATGTTCTTCTTGCTTACAAGCTGGAGAATGATTTTCTGATTAGTGACTGGAGAGGCTGAGGTGACAGCTTTGTTTTATGATCGTCTTTTGTTTAATCTGTTGTGGTGGTTGTTAGTTAAGTATGAAGAGATTAAAGTCGAGTGATGATCTTAACTCCTATGGAGGGGAAAAAGGTGTTTTTAAGGACTGGGGAAGAAAAGATGATGATCCAAGTTTGCACCAGTCTTCATCACACAGGAGTTTTCATTACAAGTCTGAAAGTGGGAAAAAAGGGTTATCCTCTTCGTCTGCACGATATGAACGGGTAGAGGATGATCGAAAGAATTCAAGGTTGATCCGAAAGAGGCCTGACTATGATGTTGATAGTTATGAGAGGAGAAAGAGTTATGACCGGTATAGGGATAGTAGTGAGAGGGGAATCTTGAGTTCATCTCCTCGTGGTGGATATGTTGGTGATAGGATACATAGATCTGAAAGTTTTTCAGGGCCAAGGAGAGATTTCCCCAAGGGGTTTAGATCTGAGAGAGATCGGTCTCGACGAGAGGGAAGTGTCTCTTCTTGGCGGCGGTTCAGTGGAGGGAAAGATGTGGAGGAAGGGACAAAGAGTGGCAGTGATTCCGCAAGAGGAAGTAAAGCAGCTTCAGAAGAAATGGGTAATGTGAGGTCTCCACAGGGAGGGAGAGATGCAAAGTCACCAGCCTGGTCAAAGGACTCTGGAAGCGAGCAATCAAAGAGTGTCGAAGTGAAGAAGAGTGAAAGTCTTCCGGCAGAGAGTGGAAATAATAGTGAAAGGGAAGAAGGAGAACTTGAACCTGATCCTGAACCTGCTCCTATTGTTGAGAACAGAGCTGATGATCTACCTTCTGGGTCATTGAATGCCAGCCAGGAGGTTCAACATGAAAATCACACTGATGACAAATCTTCAGAAGATAGGACAAAGCTAATGCCGAAAGAAGAGATTAAGCCTGAACAAACACAGATTGTTGCAGAGAAAGCTGATGTTGAAGAACTAGAAACTTCTCACAATGTATTGAACAAAGTTAGCAACTCATCAACTTCTCAGGATTCTTCAACACAAAGACCAGGTGAAAATGGAGTTGCAATTCCATATTTGTCAGATAATGAAAAGAAGGTTGCAGAACCAATCCAAGATTATAATGATCATGAAGAGGAAACTATGGATGTTTCTGCAAGTTTGAACCCCGAGGAAATAAAACCAAAACAAGACAATGATGCATATCTTGAAGTCAAGGAGGAAAATATGAATATGCATGGACAGGTAATAGGGAATGCAGAACGTCATGGTGCACCTGGAGTTGTTAATCATTCTCTTGTGACAAAGGAACTGACCAAAAATTTTAAGGATAAGGGCAAAGGTGTTCTTGTTTCTGTTTCTAGTGGCAATGATCCCTTGGAAAATAGTTGTAGGGTCGAGAACGAATCAAGTGGTTTCTTGACCAGCAGAGAGATTGACATTGAAGGACCAAGCACAAGGGGTTTTGATTTGTTCTTTACAGACCCTGTTAAAAAGCCTGAAAATATCGACAAAAAAGGAGTAAGCAAGCCAAAAGATGAGAAACTTACTTTGGAACCACTTGAACTTTCTCTGCGTTTACCAAATGTTCTTCTGCCAATTGGTTCCCAGAACCCGGTTCAGGCTCCAGATTCCCCAAGTCAGGAGATGAGCATTCAGTCTCATGCCAGCTCTTTCCAGACAAGTTCTGATGGATTTACAGTATCAAGATCTTTTTCTGGTTCCCAGCACTTCACCCACAACCCTAGCTGCTCTTTAACTGAGAATTCATTTGATTTTGAACAATCTGTTGGCAGCAGGCCATTGTTTCAGGGTGTGGCCTGGCAGGTTCAGCCTTCAGATGAGCAAAAAAATGCAGAACCTCCCATGCACCAAAGAAGCCTTTCAAATGGAAATGGTATTTTTCATCAATCTCAAACATCTCAGGCCATTGCAAATGTTCAGTCTGTTCAATCACATGGTGCTAGAGTTGCAGAAGGAAGTTATAAATTACCTCTTGGACTTGAGAGGCAGCTAAGTAGTAATAATAAGCAGCCATCAGGATCACACTCGAGGCACCGGAGTGAGATAAGATCCCCAACGCAGAGTGTTGGATCTCATGAAACTGGTTCAGAATATCATAAAGATAGGAAGCGTGTTATGAGAGAGGTTATTGGTACTTTAAGTAAGAGCACTAATAGTGGTTCGGTCGACTTGGTTGAGCCCCTTCTTGCAATGCTAGTTTCAGATCCATTGCACATTGTGGCCAGAATATTAAACGACATGACAGGACAGTCTCTAGCAAGTTTGAAAGAGTCTGCCCGTGATGTCATCTTGAATCCAAGTAAGCGAAGACAGCTTTCTGCTTTTCGTAAAGCACTAGAGAAGAGATCGGATATTACTTTGGAGATGCTACAGAAGGCCCATAGTGTGCAGATAGAGATACTGGTGGCATTAAAAACCGGTATTCAAGATTTTCTCCAGACAAATTGTGATATATTATCTTCTGATTTGGCAGAAATATTTTTGAACTTAAGATGCAGAAATCTCACCTGTCGAAGTTACTTGCCTGTTGATGAATGTGATTGCAAAATTTGTGTGCAGAAAAGTGGTTTTTGCAGTGCTTGCATGTGTCTAGTATGTTCAAAGTTTGACTTGGCTTCCAATACTTGTAGTTGGGTAGGATGTGATGTATGTCTGCATTGGTGTCACACTGACTGTGGCTTACGGGAATCTTTTATTAGAAATGGTCGTAGTGCCACTGGGGCTCTAGGACAAACCGAGATGCAGTTTCATTGTGTTGCCTGTGATCACCCTTCTGAGATGTTTGGTTTTGTGAGAGAGGTTTTTCAGAATTTTGCCAAGGGGTGGACGGCCGAAACATTCTCAAATGAGCTTGAATATGTTAGAAGAATTTTTTCTGCCAGTGAGGATATTCGAGGAAAACGTCTTCATGAGATCTCCCTCCAGATGCTGACTAGAATGTTGAACAAATCAGATCTTCAACAAGTACGAAGTTATATAATGGGTTTCCTTACTGGTAAGTGTTCTTTAATCCATGGAATTTGTTCTGTTGTCATGTTTTCTTACTGGTCATTGCTTTTAATTTAAATTCCTTCTTTCATTATTTTTTGTTGTTAAACCAAGATAAAAGGGCATGGATTTGAAAATATGAAATATATAGATTGAATAAGTTGATTTGGTTGATGAGTGTTGTCCCTGAGTTTATTTCTTTGAGTTCTATGCCTTTTCTTCCTGCTTGGACACAGTTCTAAAGCCACCAAGAAACTGTTGCACTTCATGTCCTACATTTGTCAATTGGCTATTGGCTATTGGCTTGGCAAAAAGAAGACACTACCCACTTATGTCTCGGCTGCAGTATGCACATACTACTTAAAGAAGAAGTTTTTATTAAATAATGTAATTAAAGGAAGTTGAGATTTAAATCCTTGCTGCTTTGCGTACTTCACTGCAAGGTATTGATATGAAGTAGTGAACTTAAACAACCCAACTTTGTTGCATTTCTGAAATGGTAATGATATATCTTACTGGCGTTGCATATTGGTGAAGTAGATGGAGGCACCCGTCTCTGATGAGAGGCCAAGCAAGGGCATCTGACGATGAGTGGACCCTGGGCGAGACAAGTTCAATAAAGATAACACCTAATATTTTAACAAAATAATAGAAAATAATGATAAAAAATTTAGTCAAGGACCAGCTGCTTTGGATAAATGCCTTGGGAATTTATCTTTCAAGGAACTCAAGTCGGCTTATACAGAAGAGGAAGACTGTTAATAGTTTTAGTGAGTGACAGGGATTATTTGGAAACTTGGGATTAAGTGGCTGATCAAGTTTAGGACTTAATACTGTGGCTAACTCTATGGGTATCTTTGTTGTATGTTGCAAGTCATATATAAACATTTTCTCAAGGCAGTGTTCTGCATTAAAATAACACTATCTTTTCTAAGGTATTATGCTCCAACAATGCAATATGATCGATTATTACAGGATACCTAGATGAGTATTTACTTTATGGCAGAGAAACTATAGTTATTATATATAAGAACATGAATTTTGATGAATGCTATTGACTTTTGACTTGAGGACTAGGTGTAATAACCACTGGTGAGCATTCTGTAGCTATAGCATCTAGTTTCCTACTGTGTACTTGGAAATTAAGATCATTCTCTTTTTCTTTTTTCGTTCTATAAATCAGGTCCATTTTGAAGCATATAGAAAATGTAAATGTGCCTCTTTATGCTGTTATTAGGAAAATTTAAAGGCCTAAAAGCACTTCAAAGATCAAAACAAATTAAGCCATTAGTTTCCAAGGTCAATGGAGATCAATAAGTTAGTAACGATTTGTAATTGATTTATAACCCATCTGCACTTTAGTTCCATTTTCTAGCTTTCTGTCACCAAAAGAGTTGTTCCTCACTTAAGTAACCAATTGCAGATGATGATGCCTCCAAATCGGACAACATTCAAATCTCACAAGAGAAAGAAGCCTTAAAACAAAACCAAGGAGAGCGAAGTAACGACGTTTCCAAAAGCAGCCAAGAAGCCGCGTTGTGGATGAAATCCGTATACGCAGATAGACAACCTCAACTGAAAACCGTCAGCTCAGAGCTACAACGAGTCGCTTCAATTCCACGAGAACCGGTTTTCGACGAGTTAGATGGCATCGTCCGCATCAAACTGGCAGAGGCTCAGATGTTTCAAATGCGTGCAGACGATGCAAGAAGAGAAGCGGAAGGTCTGAATCGCATTGCACAAGCAAAAAACAAGAAAATCGAGGAGGAATTCGCGAGTCGGGTTGCGAAGCTACATTTGTCGGAGGCGGAGGAAATCAGAAGACAAAAACTAGAAGAACTCCAAGCATTAGAAAATGCTCATCAGGAATATTTCAATATGAAGGTGAGGATGGAAAGAGAGATCAAAGATTTGCTTTTAAAGATGGAAGCCACAAAACGCAACTTCAGTTGAATATATCATCATCATCTACTGCTTCTTTTCTTGGGTAAGTTTAGTGCACTTTTACATTTGTAGGTTTTAGTTTTCCTGCAATTATATATGCTCTTAAAAGACAGAATGTACAGAAACTGCCCTTTTATGTTAGATATAATTCCCAGTTAAGATACAATCATAACAGTTCATGTTCTGTGCAACTTTTAAAAGCACACTTTTGAGCCTCTTTACTTCTTGAATTGAAGTCTATTCCTCTTGGAAGCAAATTTGTCTATATTTTTCAAAATGGTGAAAGTATTTCTAGTATTTTCAGAAAAGCGAGTGACGAGAGTTGGGGGCTGTTTACTTAACGCTTTTTCGGGCCACTTTATCTTATTGGATGAATATGACAAATGATTGAGAATTATACCTTGTAAGAGCGTTGACTTGGACCAAGAGTTTTATCCGGTAAGGGAGAATAACGACTCTTACTTGGTAAGCGCTTACCGGATAAATTGTTGTATATGATACTGTTCTAATGGACTAAAATCCTATCCAGTAAGTTAAACAAAAGTGTTGATACTTACTAGTAAGTGCTTACCGGGTAAGTATTGGATAAACGGCCTCTTAACAATGGAAGTGTCCATCGGAGATGTGAGGTTGTAAAAAGTAGTCATATGTTAGTTGATAGGAGAAGGTTCAAATGAGAAGACTAAGGGACCGTTTACCAAACACTTACCTAGGTAGTGTTTACGTGTAAATTTTAACACTATTATTTATTTACCGGGTAAGATTTTAATCTATCAAGACGATATCATATGCAACAATTTACCCCGGTAAGTGTTTACCGTGGTAAGAGTCGCCGCCCTCACTTACTGGGTAAGATTCTTGGTTCTTATCATCTTTATCCGGTGAGGTATTGTGACTTGATAAGAGCTTACATGGGTAAGCGTTTGGTATACGGCCCCTAAATATGGTGAGAACATGTGAATGGATGGATGGGTTATATGTGAATTATTGTAAAAATCCATTTTAAGATGTATATGTGAACCGATATGAATAATCTGTAACATGGGTGTATGAAGGTTCAAGCCTTATAAGCAACGACGAGGTCGCGGCGTTTTTTAAGACAGGACTTGTAGCGGCAAATCTCAATATCATATATAGTACTTTATATATGTATATATATACATATATTTTCTATTATTATTCAATGAATCAATGATTATAAACGATTTAAATTATATTATATATTAAAAACTAAAGAATAAAACATTAAAAAGGTAAGTAAAATCAAATATTATGTTACAAAAAGAGCGTATAACGCCATGACGTGTCATAAGCTTAACATGGTGTGAGATACAAGTCTCGAGCAACGATACGCCATGACTGTTGTTACAGTGAGTCTTTTGGAACAATGGTTTATAGACTGTAATTGATTTTTTTGGATTTTTCAATTATTCACATATGAACTTTTTTCTCTCTATATTCTCATAATATTTAACTTTCATTTGAACCTCTCTCACTTAGTTGATATCGGATTAAGAGTAAAAAACAGTTTGATAAAAAGTGAACAACCACCAAAGGGCCTTCGTCCTAGCAACATCGTAGTCCTTAGCCTCTTAGAAGGTCAGATGTTCAAACCTCACAAAAGGTAAGAATGGTGTGTGAGTTTATTTGTTGCATTTATCGTATATAAATATTATATAATTCAAAAAAAATAAACAACCATTAATATCGTAAGAGGGAGTAGGAAACCATCCAAACCATCATCTATCCAACGAACATGGATCATTTGTTTTCAGATATACCAGTTGATGCAGTTATTTTTATTCTTCTCTTTGAGGTTTTCTCTTAAACCTTTGTCTAACATTATAAATTAGCATTAAATTTGTTGTAGGCTATTGATTGACTCATAATATACGGGTATATATAAAAGAGTATTTACAGTACCTTAAAGTTTTATTTGGTATCCATTAGGAATGAACATGTCATGATATCATGTTCTTTTTTCTCAATACCGTGTACCAATCAATTATAGCTGGTATATAAATATTTGTACCATGTATCAACCAACTTTACTTGATACCAATTTTTTTTTGGTTGACACATGTTGGTAAGTTTTTTTTACTACCATATCAAAAGTTGAAGTTACAGATTCATAAACATGACATGTCCAAATAAGTGAAACAAAAGTAATACAACAAAAGCATTCCAAACAACATGTGGAGGTGTAGACTGTGTGGTCGTTGAATGATGGAAAAGTGTGTGCGTTGAGGAGAGAAAGAGACGGGGAGGTACTTAGAAATGAGTTAAGGTTGTTATGAGAAGACGTGAAGGAGTAAGTAATGCATCACACAACAAACAAAAGATGTTAAATTGACAAATTCCTCTAAAAAAGGAATCAGGCTCATCAATATGGTTCACATAATTGATTTTTTATATAATAGATAACTAGAAGGGTACTACTCGAGCAATACAACGAGATACATCTCGATTTTAATGTTATGTTTTATTCTTTGTTTCTGTCAATGTTATAATACGATTTTATGTGTTTTTAAGAAAACAACAATGATTTTATTTTTGAATAAAGTATAAATTTGAAGATATCATAAAAATTTGAAAAAAAAAACATATCAATGTTAATATCAAATCAACTATTTAAAAATTCTTATTTTTTATGTAACTTCTTTAATTTTTTTTATTATAATTTAATTTAAGTTTAATAATGAAATAATTTATTTTTGGTTTAATAATATAACATTTTATAAAGATAATAATTAAGTATTATGTTAAAACTCAATAATTATCCTAATTACATTTTGGATTTTTTATATTCAAAATGAGATGTTTATCCTGTATTTGATTATGTTTATACTAGCAGTTAGTCACACGAATTTAGATATGAAGCTTTAATAAGTTATATATATACGCACAATCTACTTGTAATCTTGAGTTTTAAGTAACATGCATTAATAAACAGTATTTTATGCATAAAAGATGGTTTTTAAAACTTTTGTCAAATACTTTATAATATAGTATGAATAATATAATGAGGTAATTAAAATTTAACTTATTAATACAAAAATTTGTATAAAAATTTACAAGAAATGAAAAATAAAACAAAAATAAAAAATTATTTTATGGTAATTAATTTTTTTTTTCAATTTCAACTTATATATTTTATAGATTCATTAAAAAAAATAAAATGATTAAAAAATAATATATAAAATAAGAACGGAAAATGAATGTATAATTTGAAAGCATCACTTCAACAGATAACAAGAATCATACCTGATCGGAATATTAATAATGACATCTATGACGATGTTCTCCGTTGCACCGCCGATCAGTTTTCCTCTCTCCACCGTAAGGAAACGTCTCATTTCTCCGATGTAATATGCTTACGCTTCTCATTGCTCTCTAATCGTTAGAAAGGCAAGCAACAAAAAATCGAATCGGATCAAATCAGCGGCATTGGATTCCGTCATCGGGGATCCGACGTCGGAGTCCACCTCGAAAGAAGAAGAAATTCCGGTGAAGATCGGAGCTAGGGTTAGGGTTAAAGTGCCGTTGAAGGTTTATCATATACCTAAAGTATCAGAAGTAGAGTTGAACGGAAAGGAAGGCAAAATCAAAGAGTACGTTGCCGTTTGGAAAGGGAAGAACATCTCGGCTAATTTTCCCTACAAAATTGAGTTCCTGCAGGAACTTGAAGGCCGTGGCGATAATCCTGTGAAAGTTCTTCGCGCATCTGAAGGAAGATGAGTTCGATTATATTGACTGATTACTGATTACGATTTCTAGCTGTAAATCTGCATCCACTACTTCTCTGATTTCATATTGCTGATACGATATCATATACTTCATGACTGTCACTGATCAAATGTTACAGGTTGGGTGTAAATAATTTCAAACTCTTCTTTTTCTTCCAATTGTTGTTCACTGGCATTGTATAAAACCATAACGTACCGTTTTTAACTTTTATCGAGATGGATCGAGAAATTTATTGAGATGAATCTAGAACTCATCAAGATTAATTGAGAACCCAATAAAGAAAAAGAAAGAAGAACTAAAATATGTAGAGTTGAAACTATAGTATATTCATGATGAATAATATGTATTAATATTTATGATAAATATAGATATAGAGAGTTATTGTATACACAAGATCATACATAAATATTCATGATGGATAGTATGTATATTCGTGATGAATTGTTACAAATAAAAATGTATATTCATGACGAATATAATGCTGATGCATGAATATTGAAAAATTATTTTTATACACGTGAACATACATAAATATTCATGATAAATAATATGTATCATATTGATGTATGAATACTGAAGAGTTTTTTTTGAAGTATATAATATTTATAAACGGAAAATAGAACAAATAAACTCACACTCTCCTCACATTTGCCGATGTTTGAAACCTCGACCTCCTAGGTTGCCAAAGACTCACATACTGCTAGGCCAAAGACCTTTTGGTAAATACTGAAGAGTTATCGTATACATGTGAACAATATTATAGAGAAAACGTATATTCATGAGGAATATTATAATGAAAATGTATATTAATTGATGAATATCATAGTGATATATAAATACAGAAGATTTGTTGAATACACATGAAAATAATAACTATTTATGATGAATGTTATACTAAGTTGTATATTTATGATGAATATGATACCAATTTATGAATATTAAAGAGTTGTTGTAAACGTATGAATGTGCATAAATATTTATAATGAATATCACATATATACTATTTGGCGTAAAAAATGTAAAAAAAACTATATCGAGATATATGTCAAATCAAAGAGAATGAAATGCTTAATTTTCTGATATAATTTGTTGACTATTAATAATTTTTAAGATAATTTAATAAAAAAATTTAATTAAAAAGGAAAATAAAATATCAAATATGACAGATCTAAATCATAACTTCATTTTTGCCCTTAATCATTTTTCAATTAATCTTTTAATGTTTTAACCATTGATTAATTTCCTAAATTTTGATCACCAGTAAAGATTTGTCCCCATGTTTACAAAAAAATTTGGTTTTCATTTGAACCTTTCCGTGTGTGTGTATATATATCGTATTTATTTATGTTATTTAATAGTATGATTAAATACAAAATATTCGATATTGTACTCATTTGAAGGTATTGACGAGACAATTATAATGGTATAATTTGTAAAAGAAAAATGTATTTTCATTTGAACCTCTCCGTGTGTGTATATATATTGTATTTATTTATGTTATTTAATGAATTTATATTAATATGACAAGAGTGTAAAATGAAAAATGAAAAAGCAACGATATAAACAAGTTAAATGACTAATTATAAAAATATTAAATGTAATTTAGAAATTAAAAAATGATTTCATTTTTGATAGGTGGAGATGTGAAAGGTTGTGGAAGCTTTCAAGTTTCTACATTTGCCATAATAACATGTACCTCTTGAAAATTTCAAAATAACTGTAACTATTTTTTTTGATATAGTGTGTGTGGGTGTATATATATATATAGATAAACTTGGGATCGTGTGAGACCAAAAGTTTTTCATGAGACCCGTAAGAGTAATTCTCAACCCTTGGATTAGATCTACAATCTAAACATTCATAATCAAAAAATTGCCACGAGACTTCTTAATACTCACAAAATTGCCACCGTACAACTTTAGACCATTAGATCATTAGTTTATAAAGTTGATCAATGAACATAAATTGATTTTACGGGTCTCACGAAAAACCCTTGGTTATATATTTGTGTACACATAAAAATATTGTTTTTACCTTTTTATAACAAACAGACAAAAAATATGCAAAATCGCTAAAATAGTCCTTGATTTAATGAAGTTAATGGAGGTGTTAATTAGAGAAACCATAACCATAACAAATTGAATACCACAAAAGACCAAATCCACAATAAACATACTATGAGACCCTAGTCACGAAAAAACATCAAAACACAGTAACAACATCAATTCACTCTAAATCTTGAAATGTTGTGAGCTTGGTAATCCTACATTGACGAGAAAATGAATTTTATTTTATCAAAGACGTGATTATATATTGACAATTGGAGAGAATGTCTATTTGTCGTAACTCATAAGGTTGGCTAATTCTAGTCGACACTTATATGAAAAAAATAATAATATTTAAACTCTTAATAACAACAAAAGTGATATGGTGACTGTATATGTCGTTTGGGCTATAAATAACATAACAACAGAATTATCACCAATGCATCTTAAACTCGGTAACAACAAATGATTATCAATATATACACTTAGAGGTTGTGTTGGTTTACCTCTTAATAGTTCCATTAAGAAGCAACCTCTGAATCGTTAAGAGGTGAATCTTGTTAGCCAAAAAAAAAAAAGTCTGCCTCTTAATGATTCTAAAACCCTCTGAATGATTTTGTATCATGCATCTCCCTTAACCATTAAGAGCCTTAATTTCATTATACACAATTACCAAACAATTATATTTCATTTTTGCATTATATCATGAGAGCCTCTTAATCAATCTGACCACTTAATCATTCAACACCAAACCATTCAACAATTGCCAAAGATTAATTGTTAACCGAATGGATCAAGTAGTGGTTAAGTATATATGTATGACACGTGGGATAGAGTTAAAGACCAAATTGGTGTGGTAAATTGTGTCCAGTAGTTTGAAACCACAAAATTAGAAAGACACAAAGCCGCCTCCTACTCTCACTCTCTCACCCTCGTTCACTAACAAAATACCAACCCCGATTTCCCTCCATCACATAAATAACTCGCCCTTTTCCTCCACCACTCTTTGTCACGGCTGGTTTCAGGCGGACGGCTGCTGCTCCACCACGGGCCGTCCTCCTCCCTCCCCTCCCCTCCTACATCCATGGCTGACCCCACCACCAACCAATCCATCCTGACTTCCAAATCCGACACCACCACCACCACCACCACCACAACACAACGTCCCACGCCTTTGTGGAAGAAGCGTAAGGTCTTGTTGAAGGAGCTATCGCTGAACGAGATCCCACGGCATGTAGCGTGGGAAAGGCGGCGACGCCTGAAGCGAATGCAAGAGAAGAAGGAGGACACTGAGGGAACCAATGACGAGTTGTCGGAAGATCTCAACGAGCTCAAAGGCTGCCTTCAGCTTGGTTTTGGGTTCAATGACGACGAGGGTGGCCAGAGTTTGACCAACACTCTACCTGCCCTTGATATTTATTTTGCGGTGAACCGACTCGGGAGCCCGATGGTGAGCCCCAGTTCTACCGCCTCACCAATGCCAAAATTTGAAAGGGTCGGTTCAATGTCGTCAAAATCAGGTGGATCATCATCGTTCAGCAGTGAGGACTCGTGGAAGATTTGTACCCCAGGTTTGTCGATACCCTATACTCGAATAACAACCGCACAACCTTGAGGGCCCTAGAGGATTGGTCTAGGTGAGGGCAAGCTGGCTCAAACACCCACCGTTAAAAAAAAAAACTAATACTCCCACCGTTCCAAAATAAGTATGTAGTTTTTATTTCAATTTGTCCCAAAAATAAGTGTCCACGTTCAAAAGTAAGTGTCTACTTTCCAATTCTACCTTTATTATGAGATGGAGAAGGGTAAACTGTCATTAGTTAATTAAAAAAGTGTAATAGTTACACATTTCTAAAACTGCAATTCATATTTGGACGTTTATTCTGGGACGGAAGGAGTAATAATATTGAATGCACCCACTTTTTACAACACCCAAGAAAACTGAGGTTGTTGCCGAGATGCTTCATTTACAACATCGTACCATACAACGTAAGAAGCATAATATAACTACCAACATTCATATGATTTCCACATATATCAAATATTCACTTTGCACTATCTGCTATGCAGGAGAGACTCCGCAGCAGGTGAAGGCAAAGTTAAGGCATTGGGCTCAAGCGGTTGCTTGTTCCATGATATCTTCTTAAAGAAACAAAGAGGGGAGGGACACACACGCATACGTGAACCAAAAACAAGAGATCCAAAGGAAGTGAGATTTTAGAAGAAGCAGTGTCTCTCAAGAAAAAGAAAATGTTAAACGGCGGATCTAGCAACCGGGATGTCCCATGTCACCAACACAAAAGCGTTGATGATGCATCCGAGTAAATCTGGATTGAGGGCTTAGAAGGATCTCAGGGGGATTAAGCGAATTCTATCAAATAATATGTAACAATCACACACGAGTGTAAATATGAAGTTAAATATACGAACACCTTTTGTTTACTTTGCATAAAAAGATGATTCAGTTTTGTTCATTCTTAGAAGCCATATATGCGGAAATAATTGTTGCTGCAACGGGTTGTTCAAGAAGACCATTCTTGAACACCCTTCCTATTCACGTCCAATACCAACAAAAAGTAAATAAAATGCACAACGAGATGAATTAAATTCAAGATGAAGTAGTACCTGCAACGCGCAACGAAGCAGAGAAGGAGAAGCAAATCCAAGAAACAGCCTTCTACTGAATCAGGCTTAACTCCGATCAAATCAGAAACACAAATAAGACCTACGTCAACTTAAAAGCAATGAAAAACACAATTTGAGATCTACAACTTGAAAAATGCAAAAAATGGTATAATAAAACTCTTTAACAATGTCAAACTTGGAGCTAACTGAGATGGTGAGATTTAATGTACCGTTTACCGAATAAGTAACAATAGTGTCATTAATATCAAGATACCACATTAACAGCATGCATTTACTTTGAAATCAAATAGAAAGCTCGTAGGCAGATGCAGTTAATATTCTCAAACAGTTCATGCTCCTATCTCGATGGAATTTGTCAAGAAAATACTGACTGTGTTTTTCCCACACTGGATATACACACAATGCTTCAAGAAAGAACTAAAGTTAAACTAGAAAGCTGATCTATAGAAATTATGTATGCTATTCCAACTGGGGAATGGGTATGATATTATTGAAGACATTTCGGAAGTGTTCTCAAGCTATATAATATGGTTTCAGAACCTGAAATAAGCAGTGATCAATGAACGTGAGCATCTTGGGTACCTCCATATGTAAGTAACAGCTAGCTTATGTAATTACCGTTATCCCACTACAATCAAAGTGTATGCCACTTCAAATTTAAGACCTCTTTTGACCGATTGAGTTACTATTTCCAAAACCTTCATGAATCCTTTGACCTAGCTCATTTTCCGGAACACGACAATTAACCCCCCATCCCACCCACCCAAAAGGAAAGGCAAACTAATAGGTTCTTCCATACAACCAAGAAATAATTAACAACTTTCAAATGTTTGTTCATAGCTAATAGTAATGCATATAGTCTTCTTCTTAGCGTCAAACTGGAACTACTACCACGGTCGATGTGTCCTGTAACATTTCTAGGATGACAAAGGCTTGTTGGACAATCTAATCAATATAGTGTCATGGAAATCATGATTCAGTAAGAAAAATGTAACGGTTCAAGATTTTCCTATGAAAGGTGGCATAAATCATATAGCTGGTGTATCTGTGAAACAGTAAAGCAGCTGATCATATGATTGCCAAGGAGATCATGGAAACTCCCTTTAAGCCTACATAAAAACCAAAACTTATGAATACATATGCGTGCTTATGGTATTTTCTTTGTCTCCAATTCTATATCAAAACTAGAAAGCATTTGCACCAAGAGATACTAGGCTAGTTGTGCAGTGTAGAAAATTACAAAAGGAAGATGGAAAAAAGGTTGACAATGGAGAGTGACTTAAGATCTCTGAATGACCTAATGCATCTTAAGAAGGTAAATGGGTCTATGCATATAACTAAAAGCATCAGTTTTCTCTATGGTTGATAATAGACTTAAATAACAACTGTTCAAGCAGTCAATTAATTAAGCATTTCTAAGTCTCAGTTTCTTGATGCAGTCAACGTAATCTAACATAGGTACGATAGTTTGAACACAGTTATCAGAAAGAAAACAAACTGTTACATGACCATTTATTATGAATCCGAGGAAGGAAAACTACGCCCTCCAATATCGAATCGTTTTTATTAGGAAGTATTTAATCATAATGGTTATTATTCTCTTGTGGGATCATTCCCTGTGCAGGCCTTTTGTGCACATCTCAAACTATCATACCAAGAAGCAGGAACTAATTCTTATTAACCACGAGGGTGGTAGCCTGGTGGATAAACACAAGGGGTTACCACCAGACGATTTACCTCAGGACTGTGAGCAAAGCCTACAGTTGCAGCTTGCCATCGGATTAGTCTCAGCAAAGCTAGGATCACCCATTTTCAAAAAAAAAGAGGAAAGAAAAAACCTCCATGCCCCATGCGGATTGGGGAAGGCAACTATAAGGTACCAAAAGCTGTTGCCCTATAATCATCTTATATTGGTGAACTAATCAAGAATGGTGCCTTTGTTATATCATTGGCAAACAAGAATTGAGAAATCTTGCAAATATATACATCCATAATACCAAAAGTAGAAGATTGTACAACTGAAAGATAAGGAGTGACACTCATGAGATATGATATAATATGATATGGTATTAATAATATGAAATCAGATGTTGAATAGGTTTTCAATCAATCAAAAATCATGAATCAGTCAATATACTCAAACTCCTCTTCCTTAAGATGCACGAAGAACTTCACAGGTTTATCGCCACGCCCTTCAAGTTTCTCAAAGAACTCAATCTTGTAAGGGGAAGTAGCCGAAATGTGTTTCCCTTTCCAAACGGCGACGTACTCTTTGACTTTCCCTTCCTTCCCGTTCAACTCTACTTCGGGCACCTTAGGTACATGATAAACCTTCAACGGCACCTTAACCCTAACCCTAGCTCCGATCTTAGCCGGAATTTCTTCTTCTTCTGAAGTGGAGGCCAGCGTGGGACCGTCCACGATCGCCGTGGAATCCGATGCCGCTGCTGCTTTGATACACGGAAGCAGATTCGATCTCTTCTTGTTGTTGACGCTTCTAAGTGTCAGAGAACGATCAGAAGCACAAGCACATAACAAGGGAGACATCACACGATTCTTCACCGTCGAAGGGGGTAAATTGATGGCCGTGGCGGCGGAGAATATCGCCGTAGATGTCATTATTAACTTCCCGATTGGGTAGTGAGGAGGCAACGAGTATAGGTTTTAGACCCGATGCCGAGGATTTTGTTATCCGTTAAAGTATATGGCCATGAAATGAAGAAGAAATTTCCAGTTATTATTGACACGTCATCTCTTATTATCGCTTCATTTTCCTTTTCAAAGATGCACACGCTTTCCTCACTACTATATATATATTCTCGGTTATTTATCTTTCTCACCGATACTCATAAATTTATTTCTATACTCATAAATTTATTTATGTATAATATTCTAAGGTATTTGACAAAAAATTTTAAAATATATTTTTTATGTATAAAATATTGTTTATTGATGCATATTACTTAAAATTCAATATTATAAATAAATTATATGTAAATATAATTTATTAAAGTTTCATTTTTGAATTCATATAACTAACCGCATGTAAACAGGTCCGTTCCTGACAATTTTTAGGCCCTGGGCGAGATGTAAAAAAGGGCCCTTGATAAGAATGATATTTTTTCAAGTTTTTATAATCAGAAATAACATTGAATTCATATAAAACCGTTTTCCCGAGTATTTCTGGACGCAAAATCAACCAATACTCATTTCAAAATTAATATTATCCACTATAACATTTTTTTGTAGTATCGTTGATTTGTTTCGTCATAAAAAACATCTTATGATATACTTTTGGTACATCGAATGACATTAGTTGGGGTCACAAAGTTGATTCTTCTGATTTCCAAGTGACACAATGTAAATCAATGTAAATATGTTGGTTTTCTATGTCATCTCATTTTAATGTTTTTAATACCATTTTAAACTTTTATATTATGTTTTCGAATTTGGGAAGATTAATACCATTTAAAACTTTTATCATGTTTTTGAATCTGAGAAGATTAATACCATTTTAAACTTTTATATTATGTTTTCGAATTTAAGAAGATTAATATTGTTTTAAACTTTTAGATATATGTTTTCGAATTTGAGAAGATTAACATTATTTTAAACTTTTATATAATGTTTTCGAATTTCGGAATGAAAGAAAAGAATGAGAAAGGAAAAGAAAAATAAAAGAAAAGAAAAAAAATAAAGTTTTTTGTTTATGTTTTTAATAGAGAAGAGAGAGAAACGAAAAATAATGAAATAAAAATAAATTTTGATATAATTTTTTTTCTTTCCCTAAAAAAATCTCGATAACAAAATATTTTTCTTCCCTCATTATTTTCCTCTATTTTTCTACGTAAAAGAAGACTCAAGAACATACGATTAAGGTTAAAACAATTTTTTCTGGAATCATCGATTATATAAATTAAAAAACTCATGTTGGTGATAGTTTGAGATCTTATTCTTCTTTTAGAGATAAAATAGTACATAAGATTTATACACTAAATATTAGATAATAAAGAACAACTATGAAAAAACAATTCTAGTTTTATTATTCTAAATATAGATATAAGTTGTACTGTCTTATATTGTTGGTATTTTTTTCAAAAGATGGGATTGTTAGCTAATAACAAGAAAATCTATCATATACCAATATAAAAATAGAATTCACGCGAGAATGGAACAATCAAAAGAGTCGATGAAAGATAAATTATGTAGAATATATCAAGGTTTTCGAAGTAAGTAGTTTTAGATGTCAGTTTTAGATTAAAAAAAACTTAGAAAAACATGAAATAATATTATATAATAAACGACAGATTAACCTCTTTAGGTATTTTTTTCTCCAATATATTTAATTCATACATGTTTGAGTCTTTAATAGTTAATTTAGTTCCAAAATATTTTCTTGTTATATTAGATACTAAATTTTTTATGTGTCATGTATTTACTAATGTTTTTGAACTATTATGATATATATATATATTAAAAAAAATTGGGCCCCTTTTATGGGCCTTGGGCGTACGTTCGGCCCGCCCTCCCCCAAGAACGACCCTGCATGTAAATATTATCAAATACAGGATAAACATATTATTTTATATATAAAAAATCTAAAAATATAATTAGAATAATCATTGAGTTCTAACGGAATCATTATCTTTATAAAAATTATATTGTTAAGCCAAAAATAAATTACTTCGCTATTAGACTTAAATTAAATTATAATAAAAAATTGAATTAATGAAATTGTAAAATACGAGAACTTTTAAATAGTTAATTTAATATTAATATCGATATATATTTTCAAAATTTTATGATATCTTCAAATTTGTTTTTATTCAAAAGTAAAAACATTATTTTTATCAAAACCACATAAACCGTATTATACATCAACAGAGACAAAAGATAAAACGAAACGTTAAAATGAAGATGTGTCTCGCTACATTGTACAAATACCCTTCTAGTTTAATCAAAACAGAAATTACCATCATCTATAAACTGAAATACGTAATTTATTAATAAAAAAAATATTCGTTTAGTTAATTTATTTTCTCGATAAACAAAAAAAATGGATACATACTTTTCTTTAGAAATCCATAACTGTATCCAACGTTTAACTTTTTTTAAGTGCATGTATAGCAACTCCTGACCCCCTTGATGCACCGTACTAGCTCGATTTTTGGAGTCGGATTGCTAACTTACACGATGTTTTGAGCTCGAGTAAACACGAATACACCACCACCCCCTACAGCTCGACCCACAAGCATATTCCGGTCGAGATACGAGAGGTAGTAAAGTCCTCCCACGGAACGCCTGAAACATCATTCTTAGCTACGTATGTAAATCATGCAAGTTTAATGAAATACACATCTTTAAAACGTTTAAAAAAGGTTTACGGTTTGTAATAATCTAGAGGAGCGTACCTTCCTGGGCTCGTATTATTCACTGGAACTTGCGCTTTAAATGTACGAATTGCTTGCAAGACCTAAAAACGATACAGTACATCAAACAATCCGATAAACTAACAAGTTAAGACGAATTTGTGACAATATGTGAAACCCCTTTGAATCTATCTCTAAGGGTGCGTTTGGTATCCATGCACGCAGGACATGACAGGACAGTTGATCAACGTTTCGTAAGATAGAATTGGACTGGACAAAACATACAAAATAACCAATTTACACCTAATGAGTTATTTATATCTTTTATATATTTTGATTAGTTTATGTAAATTATTAATTTATAATAAAATAAATATTTTTATAACAAAATATATTATTAGAAAGTTATAGTTAAGAAGATTAAAGTGACACCAAAATAAAAAGTTCATGTAGTTTCCAATTTCTTTTTTAAACATTTTCTATATTATTTTATTATTATTAAATATTTAATAAATTACATAAATCAACCAAAATATAGAAACGGTATAAAGTGAATATTTTGAGAAGCATAAAATACAATAAATAAAATGTAAAGAGGAAGACATTTTTGATATTTTAGAAGAGAATTAGGTTTTGTTTCGAGGTTATATTGGTACTTTGTTCCATGGGCTGTTGGTGGAACACGCCTGTTCTACATAATCCCTGTTCTGTCTTGTGTACCAAACGCATCCTAAAAGTTCTCTTATAGAAAGAGCGGAGGTTCCTAAATATATACATGTTTAATGGTATGCATCTAGCCGATGTAGAACTAAACACCCCCTCTCCCTCAAACGGAGGCTAGACGGTTTCCCCCAAAAGTGAGGCGAAAGAGTGTGTGGTAGACCTCGACTTTGATACCATATGAAGATATGTGGAACCCCTTTGAGCCCATCTATAAGGGCGCCTATAGAGAGGGTGGAGGTTCCTACACACACCCGCACCCCCACACACACACACACATATATATACATATACAGGTTTGATGGTCCATTTGAAATAAGGCGAAGAATATGTGTTCGATGGGCTTGTTTGTGAGAAGTTTACCTGTAGTGTTAAAAAAGACCGTGGCAGCAATGCCGGGGCTATGAGAGCTTGCAATTCTTCACTGATGTTTATATTTTGAAGAGCTATCTGCCATTCAACGAAAAATGGTACCAATTGATACGGAATGCTATTTCTACGGTATGTGGAGAAAAATTAACCGACCTTTTCAAACTGAAGGAAGATGTTACGCCGGGACACGATAGAAAATTTTGCAGAAACAAGAAGGGTGGCACCTTCATTCTCCTGTAAAAAGCAAGTGTCGATGGTATATTTAGGGCGACGTATATTTACTACCTGCTTACCGCCTCTTGCCAGAGATGTTTTTTTTGGAAGGGTGTCCCAAACTAATTCCGGGAAATTGCGACTGTAAGACATCATCAGCCCTGATAAACTCAGTGGCCACAATTGTTGTAGACGCCTAGGATTGAACCCAAGGCAGATGGGATATTCCACCAGATCCTCCCTGGGCCTCAATAACTACGTCACAACCCTTGCTGTTTACCAAACCCCTCTTACCGTCCATGATGCTGACTGAGATGCTGAGCTGGTAAGCTAATGGAGGGACTCTTACTCGGTCAGTGATTAGTGCTAACCTAGACAACATTCTTACCTGGTTAGCACGTACCCTATTTGGGTGAGAAAATGGCCCCTAAGTCTTTGGTTCTCATCTATGATACTAACTTACACATCTTTTGTACAACTCTTCATATGCATTTGCCATCATCTTTTCTTACAACTTCCTTAGCTTCTTTTTCGCCTAATTTATACTTCTCTACATTTTTTTTTCTAAATGCTTACCCAGTAAGTGATTTCGGGGTAATTTACCTTAGCACATGAACATGGCAAGGGCCGAGATTCTTACCAGGTAAGAACGACGACAAGGATGGAGTCTTACCCGTTAAGTGCTTACCGGGTAAATTGTTGTATATGATACCATTTTGATGTACTACAATCTTACCCGGTAAGGTAAGGTAAGTTACCAGGTAAGCGTTTTGGTAAACGGCCCGTCGGCCCCTAAATTCTTTTAATCATCCAGGAGTCTGCATTATTCACTTTCTCATCAATACCCTTTACCTCCATATTTTGGCTAAAACTACAAGCAAATTCTTATACGAAAAGATTTAATTATGCGGGTATCATATAAAATCAAAAACCAAAAAAGTGTACCTCTAACAAGCTGGGAATACTCCAACGAACAACATTGCGGACGTAGCCTCCATCATCTTCACCCTTACATTCAAACTTTTGAAATATTTGGCCAACCTATTCATTATAACACAAGTGAGGCAAGTCAGCTGCTAGCTCTATGCAACGGAAACAACAACATTTCATTTTCCGAACACTATGGGAATCACAACATGACGAAAGTCGAAATGACTCATGTTAAAGGCACTGTCACCATAAACTATATGTATCAAGCCAAACGGAAACAACTGCTCTACTCTTTGGAGTAGAGGTCAAGTCTGTGTGCATCCCAACTCCGGATGGAACATACTAGTCTTGTTTGGGATGGTTTATATGCATTGTCAATGGTTGCAAATTTCATGGAGCCATAGCCCATAGGGTGTTTCAAATAGTATAACTTTGGGACAATATGTGCCCGTCTAGCCCCTTCTTGACACTCTGGAACCTTCTTTGCCCGTCTAAGCCTCCGTTGGCAAGGGGAGGGGAACAAGAGTTGCCTTATAATATAAGGCGTTTTAAAACCCTGAGTCCAGACGTGGATAAAGTGGACTATATCTGATTCGGATGGACGAGAATGTTACACAACATCGGTTAGTGTTCGACCATTTCTACTAAATATACAGTACTCGAATGGGGTTCTACATATTATCACACATATGAACCAATGATAACAATGTAACATAGAGAAAATCTAGCATATGATACCAATCTGATTGGCATTACAATTAATCAACAAGCAACATAGGGGACCTGCAATTTTCTAAAATTACACAAGAACAAAGAGGAAAGGATGATTGAAGCAAACCAAAACCTGAAAAAAAGGAAGTCTGGAGGAAGAATCAAGAAGAACAAGAACATCAGAGGCAGATGTATACTGCAATCGCCATGTTCCATCCAACGTCCCCAAATCAATTGCTTCATTACCCACTTCAAAACTCTCCAAATCCACCTACAAAACCCCATTCCTTCCACAATTATACTACGTAAGTACGAAATTAATATGAATCCGCCATTGATGAATGAAGAGTAAATCCAAGAGACCTACCAAGGACTCCTCAATTTCAGAGCGTTGATTAGGGGTAGTGACGAGTCCACGTTGAGTGTCTTGAACAGCTTTCAATAAGTCGTATTTCTTGTTTTCCAATTCTGCTTCGTTCTTCTGCATCAACAGAATGAAAGTTTGAAACAAAGACAAGGGAGGAATCATAAATAGAAGAAGGAAGTAGAATTGGGTACCTGTTGGGATGATGTAAACGTACTCGCTGAGCATCGAAATCGGGGTTTTGAAGATGAGAGAGGAAGAAAGAAGGGTGATGATGAAGGCGGTAGATGTGAAGTTGGCGGTGGTCGGAAAAGAGTTGTTGTGGTGGCCGACGGCAAAGCCATTTCTCCGGTAACCCCAGTTGGGAGTTGGATATTTCTCCAAAAAAGTTTATAAGAAAATCCAGCAAACTACGATCTTAGTCCTTGTAGCTTGTTAAAAATTGCTACTTTAGTCCTCGTGTTTTCAAAATTATGTTTTTTATCTGTATGATTTGTAATTTATTGTTGTTTTCATCCTTGAGTCTAACTTCGTTAGTAATTTACCGTTAAACATGAGGAACAGGAAAAAGTGAATTATATATCATAGGAAAACCGTAGGAACAAAAACCTTAATTTTAAAAAACAAATAAACGAAAATAACAATTTTTAACAAACCACATGACTGAAAGTATATGTAACATTTGTCCGTTTTAGGACTCACGATTTTAAAACACATTTGATAGAGGAGTATTCAGTTCCTTATAAGTCAACCTTCGTTCCCCTACATAACCGATATGAGACCTTACAATCTCAACATTCTCGTTGGCGCAACAGTCCGGTAACTTAGCTTTGACACCATTTGTAGTATTTCAGGAAAAAACGTACTAGATATTAGTTTTGTCCCACACTGATTTTCCCCTTTCCAATCTAAAGACGATTTTCTAATCATATTTAATATATTAATTTTTACCAAATCAAAAAATAACAAAGAAAATACCGTTCGAAGATATTACTATTTTGATGATACACTTGTCCATTTTGTCATATTTAAAATACAAGGAGAAATAAAAATTCTCTTGTGACCATGGAGGTTCAAATTTGGTGACTCCAGCCTACCCACGAAGCGGATAAACGTTCTGGGATTAGTTGCCTCGCTTAGCAATAGCATGTTGGATATCTAGATTAATAAAAAAAATCTATAAGTTTATTGATTTAAAAAGATTATATTTTCTAAACCAATGCATCATATATTTCCATTTTCATTTTAACTGTAAATCCAATCATGCGTTTCATTTTAGGCACGTACTCTGCTTTCGGTCAAGCTAGGTTGAAGACTTTCTCTTTCTAACCAAACAAGTCCCCAAACGCATGCGTCGTTGGCCTTTTTGAATAAAATAATATCCAAAACCCGTTCTTTCTTTTTTCTCTCTACCTGGGTTTTTTTTCTGCATCTTTTCTGCCAATAATATTTCCTATACCCTTTTGATAATGTAGTGTCATTGAATATGTGAAGTCCCTTCTACGATAGCTATCGAATCATGTGGTACGATGTTCTCACTATCATTGGATGGAAACAACGATGTACAAAACACGTGACTCGTTTCAGAAACAAAAACTTATGGGCTTTAGTTTATGAACCAAACCTTTGTGTTACAGTCTCACATAAGTTAGACTTTGGATATTTCTCCTTAATATATGTTGGAATCTTTGTTATATCTTCAATGTTATTTTAAAGAGTAATCTAATCAGATTTTTCATACTTTCACCAGATATAAAAGCGAAAATGTATAACTCCAGGGACTAGACACTTCGAGACAATTTACGCTAATCTAGTCTCATCTATATCCTCTGGGGCAATATGTACGTGTCTAGTCTTGGTTGGAGAGACTATTTCCTCTCAAAACTTTCACGCATTTGGATGGAAGACTGTAACATCCAATTTCTAATATGCCCAATTATTTGTTTAGTATATTTAATTATTGGGTTAAAGAGAACTTATGATTTAGTGGGAGTTTGGGTCTGAAGTTTTAGAATTATATTTTTCTTAAGAATATATTAGAGGATTTGGAAAATATCACGTCAAATAGATACGTAAAATAGATTTTTTGGGAGATATTTTCTGGAATATTTTTGTTGGATGTTATAGATTATCTCTTTATGAACGTGTAGGCGAAAATCTCATAGAAAACGGAGGTCCGAGCGAAAAATTATGAATAATTTAAGTGTTGATGGTCAAAATGGGTATCTAGCCGGGCCAATCCGGCCCAACTCGAGTTTTAGCATTATAAATTGGATTTTTTGTCCATTTTTCATGTCATGTAAGTCCAGAACTCACACACACACTAGAGGTGCGATTTTCACACACATAGGCTCGATTCAACTCAAATCAAAGAAGAACTACAAGATCTTTGAAGGATTTGATCATCAAGTAAGGTATAATCCATTCTTTGTACTTGTTCTTCGTTGACATTCTTGTTATATGGATTGCATGTTAAGATGGATTGCATGTTAAGATAGAGTTAGGGTTTCATATGGGTTTGATCTTAAGTGTATAAAATGAATGCATTTTAGTGTTTATGACATGAAATGGTCATTAGATTCAAGAGATTATCAAGATTTATTCAAGTTCATCATATGAACTTTGACTTGATTAAGTCAATGATTTGGGAGATGATATAAATGATAAAATAAATGTTGGATTTTGGTTGTTTATGTCAAATATGTTATATTAAGTTGAGATTCAGAAGTTGAAATATTTTGGAATCGAAATGGTTTGAGAAAAATGTATGAAAAATGAGAATTTCGACTTAAGAATGCATTGAAAGTGTGCAGACTTTAAAAATCTGTATAAAATCGTAGCAAAATCCAAATGAGGTGAGACCAATTTCTTTAGTTAGATAATTGAGTTTAGTTTATTTCTTATTTTATGATCAAGGCATGAATCCGAGTTTAAAATGGGCAAAATAGTTCTGCATGCAGCAGCTGTACATAGAAATTTAGGTAAAGTGTTCAAATAGGATATGTGTATATCATGGGTTTCTTATATTGGTTGCTTATGAGATTTTGTGCATCTACTCCAGGGGGCAATTAGGACATATTTTGATGCTTTGGAAGCAATCTAAGTGTGGTAGCTTGGACTTTCTTTSTGAGCTYATTTTRRARCTTTTCGGTATTATACGGTTGTCCGGTGAGTTATATAGTTAATTGTTACATATTGATTTGAACATATATATTTTCATATGAATGTTTTTGGTCTTGAATGGAGTCACACGATCTTGATTTGTCTTTGATTCTGTCTCTTGAGTCGATTCTTTATTACTAACTCGGTACATCGGTTTGCTTTCTGGATCCGGACTCGTTGTTTTGTTCCTTGAATTGTACGCCATAGTACGGGTACTACTTCGTGTGGTACACCGGAAATTTATGGCGAAGTCAAGATCCCGGGTTGGACGGGTGTGACTTTCTGCGGTTGTGAATACTCATTGCTCGAAGAGGAGGAAGAGCAATGAGTACGGAACCTTGGCACATACCCGGTAGAGAAAGACGGGCAATGAGAGGTTTCCCGTAATGTACGGTTTTGATTCAGACCTTGGCATGAGCCCGGGAGGTGAAAGACGGGGTGATGCACTGTCCTCGTTATGTTTACCGATTCGATCTCTTGGTTCTTGATTTTTATTGGTATTCTAACGTTGCTGAATATATTTGGTCGTTGATCCTGTCTCCTTGTTGTATTGAGCATCAATGGTATGGTATAGTATGGTGATTTGAATATGGAATCCTATGATCTTAGCATCCGGTACGTAATTGTTCACTCGGTTTCTTGTAAGTCTCAGTTTGCATCTGGATGATGTCTTGAACTCTTTTATTGATTAGAGTTTATTATGTATGTTTATAAACATGTGCGATATTGATATGTAATACTTAACTATTTAACTCACTAAGCGTTGGCTTACCATTTAAGTGACAACCTCTCTCATGAAAGAAGACGGATAAAAAGCAAGAACCCGTTGTCTGACTCGAAGATTTATCGGGGAACTTGAAGATTTCGATCTTGCTTTTGGTAAATAGTAGTTTATTACCGTATCTCATAGTTGTAGTAAGTGTAGCTTATATATAGTCTTATTCCGGTTATAAATATGTCCCGTATTCTTTTGCTACTTAATTCGGGTTGTAAGTAAAAATCCGTTATATCCGGTTTGGAATTGTGTTTTGGGTGGTTTTATCACTAAAATAGAACGGATATTTCGAAGTTTTTCTAGAAAATTAATATCCCATATTTTGAGGTTAATTAATGTTATGCCCATATCTGTGTGTTTCAAAAGGGTTGGTCCATTTTCATCGCATCTGGACCAATTCATTGCCTTTGGTCCTTCATGGTCTCTGGACCTTCATCGCCTCTGGACCTTCATCGCCTCTGGACCAATTCATCGCCTCTGGTCTTTTTCCAGACTTAGTCATTTCAGCAACCTCTGGTTCATCGCCTGCCTCTGGACCAATTCATCGCCTCTGGTCTTGCTCCAGACTTAAGTCGTTTCAGCAGCATTTTCAAAATTTTCATCCTTGGCCCCGATTGCTTTGACAAAACTTTTAGAATAATTAGGATCAATTTTGGTCCCAATAATCAATAAATTATATTTTATTGGAGATTTTATAAAATTGGTAATTTGGGGATTGCTCAAGCGAGATGTTACAAAGACTCACACCTTTAGGCATGGGAATGGGGCGGGGACCTCAATCCCTGTCTCCGTCCCCAATTACTTATCTTTATCCACCTCCTCGTCCCCATCCCCGCCGGGAATATAATCACATCCCCATTCCCATCCCCAGTGGGGAACGGAGATTTTTTCCCCCGTTTATGTAACTTATTTTAAATTAAATATGTGAAAGATCATACATGTTTAAATCTCAAAACATTTTCAATAAACCTAAAACCAAAATGAATTTAATTTAATACAAAAAAACCACAACATCATATAAGAATTAATAACCTAAAACCAAAAAAAAACTTAAAAGTCACATGTACCAAAAAATATTGAGTAATATATAACCATATCGAGTAATTGTATTTGACTCACATCCAAAATATTACATATTAACATCCAAATAATAACAATTTTAGATTATAAACCTATTTAGAAAATAGGAAACATGAAATTATGAATTACTGTTTTAGTTGAAATAAATAATATATGTATATATATATAATTTATTAATTAATATACATAACGGGTACGGTACGGGACGGGGCGGGGAGTACGATACCTGTCCCCCGTCCCCATCCCCAGTTTGAGACAAACGGGGATCCCCGTCCCCATCCCCGATTTAGCGGGGAATCCCCGTCCCCGACCGGGACGGGTGGACCGGGTTCCCCGACGGATCGGAGGCCATTCCCA